ACCACTCTTCGGGTTCTGCTACACGTCGCCGCTCAGCGTGACTACGAGCTCCACTCTCTTGACTTCACCACAGCTTTCTTGCAGGGCAGCCTGCACGAGGAGATCTGGCTGCGCCGCCCACCTGGCTTCACTGGGTCGTTCCCTCCTGGCACCCAGTGGAGCCTCCGGCGGCCAGTCTACGGTCTCCGCCAGGCGCCGCGTGAGTGGCACGACACACTGAGGACTACACTTGCGGCTCTTGGGTTTGCTCCTTCTACTGCTGACCCGTCGCTGTTTCTGCGCACCGACACCTCGCAGCCGCCGTTCTACATCCTCGTGTACGTCGATGACTTGGTCTTTGCCACTGCGGACACTGCCGCACTCGCCCACGTGAAGTCCGAGCTGCAGAAGAGACACACGTGCACAGACCTGGGTGAACTGACAAGCTATCTTGGCTTGCGGATCACCCGGGACAGAGCACGGCGCACCATCACCTTGACTCAGTCACACATGGTGCAGCAGGTCCTTCAGCGCTTCGGGTTCACGTACTCCTCGCCTCAGTCCACTCCTCTGCCTACGGGACACTCGCTCTCAGCTCTGCCTTCGGATGAGTCCGTAGAGCCGAGTGGTCCGTATCCAGAGCTTGTGGGCTGCCTCATGTACCTGATGACCTGCACTCGACCTGACCTTGCATACCCTCTCAGCATCTTAGCACGCTATGTCGCTCCCGGCCGTCACCGGAAGGAGCACATGGATGCAGCTAAGAGGGTGTTGCGCTACTTGTGCAGTACGTCGGGCATGGGGCTAGTGCTTGGAGGGCGAGACCGGCCTGTTCTCACTGGGCACTCAGACGCTTCTTGGGCAGACGACCAGGCTACTCAGCGGTCGTCTCAGGGTTACACCTTCAGTCTTGGCTCTGGCTCTGTCTCTTGGCGTTCTACTCGTTCTTCTTCTGTTCTCAGCTCCAGCTGTGAGGCTGAGATCTACGCCATGGCCATGGCTGCCCAGGAGCTTCGCTGGCTCACCTACCTGCTGACTGACCTTGGAGAGCAGCCTCGTTCTCCTCCAGTGCTGTACGTCGACAACAAGGCAACCATTGCCTTGTGCCAGGAGCACAGACTGGAGCACAGGACGAAGCACATTGCTCTGCGTTACTTTCTAGCTCGAGAGCTACAGCAGCGTGGTCAGCTTCTTCTGCGTTACGTGGCCACTGAGGCCAACACTGCTGATGTGTTCACCAAGGCGCTTCCGCCTGTTGACCATCAGCGTTTTTGCACTCTTCTAGGCCTTGTGCCGACTGTTTCTCACTTACTTACTTCCTGACTTTACTTGTACTGTGATCATTATATATATACCTGCATGTTTGCCTTGTTAGGTTGTGATCATTGTACCTCTTGCTCTATTATACAACTGCATGTGAACTGGTCTTGTGACCGCTTGCTTGTGCTCGGAATTTGTGTGGAATCCTCGAGATCCACCCTGAGCTTGTTTGCCTTGTTTTGCCTTGACTGGTCTTGTGACCCCTAGGTCTCCCCCACTTTGCCTATGGGGGTGTGTCAAACATTTATATGTTTGTGTGGTTCTAGGCTGTAGTGGGTCACACCATAAGGGGTACACCAGATTAGGGTTTGACATATTTGTACTGTTGTTCCTGCTAGTCACTCATCATTTTCGTTTCTCATTCTGACACCATGAACCGCTTGTACTCGTTGGCCCAACCGTAATACTTCTTCAGCGTTGCCTCAGAGACACCGTAGAGGATTCCGTAGCACATCTCTCGTTTCGCGGCCGGCGTGTCGTCCACACCAAGCCTGTTCCAATCCGCGATAGGTACCTCTATGTCCCTCCGCGTACCCCGCACCCGTTCGTTGTCTTCCGCCTCCTCCTCGTTGAGCGCGGACAGCGAGTTCGATAGGTAGTTTTCGTCATCGTCATTCCAACTATCGTCCGCATCGTCAGCGTCGTCCTTGTCATCCTCGTCGCTTGCCCCCTCGCTCCCCTCACGGGAGCCGTTGCGTGCCGTGTGCGGCACTACATCGACTCTCCGCCTCCTTATACGCGGTCTATTAACTGGCCCGTTACCGGATCCGCCGTTTGCATTAACACCGCTACCCCTGCCGCCGTTGCCTGTCACCCCATGCGCTCCCTGCCCGTTCGCACTATACTCGTTCGATCCCACACCTGTCCCACGTCCCGCGCTCGCTCTCCCACCCCTTTGTCTCGCACCTCTCCCTCTAGCCGCGTTCCCTCTCTCCCCTGTCCCTCCTCCCGCGTTACCTATCGCACCCGTCCCTCTTCCCCTTACCGCGTTTCCGCTTGCACCCGCTCCACGCCCCGCATTCCCCGTGTTCGCCTGTGGTTGCCCACCTACACCAGTCGCCTCCGCTACAGTCGGATGCGCGGGGGTGCGGATGTGGACGTCGGGGTTTCCGGGCAATAGTGAGTTCACGTTCCATATTGGCGGCGAATGTTCACACACGCTTGCATTCATCCCCGCTCCACCATTCACCGCACGCCCTAAACCACCGGCAACCGCGTTTGATGATGGGCCGTCTGTCCGCGCCCGTGTGTCCAAACCGGCAACTAATGCTTCTCTAGGGTCTGGCGGGGCTTGCACCGCTGGCTGGCTTTCCGGATGAATCGCGCTGGGGAATGGTGTTGACAGCGCGACAGGAGGCGTCGCGACAGATGCGGGTGCGTGCACCATGGGGTCTGGTTGAACGCTGATGTACTCGTACCTGAATCCCATGTTTGAGTACCGCGACCCTACGAAGCCACGCATAGGCATCCCAAAGAGCTGGCTACTGGGCACGGACGAGGACGCGACCGCATTAACCGGTTGATTTTGTAACGCGACCGCCGCTGCCGCAAACGGTATTTGTGGCCGCGGTGCTAGGTGGAGCCCGTTGACCGATTGCTGTGGGTGAAACGTGGGCGTCCGGGACTCAAAAACCACTGGCTGCACGTATGGGGTGCTCCATGTGGGGTTGAGCGCGTTCACCCCATGCACGGGAGCGGTAGGTGGTTCGGCATTATGGATTTGATGCGCGGTTGTGTTGCCCGAAGCATTGATGGAGTCGTGAAGTATTGGCGCCGCGACGCGATTCACGGTATGCATGCGGCGTGCGAGATTGCACCTACTCATATTCACCGCGTGCGTCAACATGATGCGCGGTCACTACTTGTACACACGGGTGTGACTTAGACGCGTCTACCTCGCGACCGATGTGCTCGCGGACATTCGAGCGCGGCACACAACGTAACCGCGATATTGGTGTCTGGTGTATCCCAGTGGGTCATGAGGGTGTAGAGCTTGGTGTGCAATTGGCGATCGGAAAGTGGAAACTGTGAGCGTGCCCGGAGTAATGATCGGACACTGCGTGGACGTGCTTGACACGTTACCGCGATCGCGCATCGACCAAACGGCGACAGCTGTGTGGCTCGTTCAAATTGCTGCACGTGTAAGCCGGCACGGAGCCTACCAGATCGCGCCAGCTGTAACCGAACCGGATCTCGCTGTGTGCTTACCGAACCTATGCTTGTGCGAATTTTGTTCGCGATAAGTTGCGAGATAGTCCAAACGGCATTCGATAGAGCAAAATTTCGCACGTTGCTTCGTTATTTATTGCATCCGTAATACAGAACGGCATTGGCCTGATGCTGTGTGCACGCGTAGCCAGCTAAGCTCAGAATCGAACCTTCGCGAATCTGGAAACGACATGATGCGATGCAGCCGCGCTCAGAAACGACACCACATCACATCTCAATCTCCCAATCAGTGCCCTGCTTCACATTCGGCAGCCTTTCGCTAAATGCGGCTACAGTTATTCACTCAACACTTCACATGCAGCGTGAGCTGAATCACCCAACCTCTCGGGAAAAAAGCCCTGGACCATCATTATCAAGCTCTTTTCGGTTTGGTTCAGGTCCAACCTGGATGACCTTTGTGTGCTATGGTGGTGGTGAGCAGTCCCGCTCAAGCTCATTCATTCGCTGTGGTCTAGCAGGCCGTCAAACATGACGTCCAAATGTACAGTACAGTATGACCATATAAGTTGCTGCGGTGCAGTGGCCTGGCCATTGGCTACTGGCCCTTCCCACACTGTCCATGGAAGCTTGCATGGTGCACAGTGGCACTTGCGTCCCGCCCGCCATAGACCGGTCACGTCACCCGCGGCCACTACCCCACCACCGTCACTCTCATCAATAGACTGCAAGTGCAAGCCCGAGCGATCCTGTGCAGGACAGCGAGACATCCCATGTTCCTGAGCAGAGCAGCAAGGAGGCAAACCGAGGATGCGGGGGCATCCAGTTAGGAGCGTGGTGGGAGCGGAATTCACTTCGCAGCTGTTGTTACGTGGCGGATTTCGGTCTAGTAGAGTTTCGCGTGACACAATCGCTACCTTTAGCGAAAGCTGCAACCGACACGCATTTCGAAACACACACTTCGGAAAGCTAGCCTCTCTAGTCAGTCAGATCACTCCCAGACACTTCACACACACAACCCATGCACTTAATCAATCTCCAAGCAACATTTCAGCATTAGCCCTCTGTTACGCGTATCTCAAATTACTAGCTCGTCACAAAGCCACGTGAACCTCTTCTACTGGCTTGGTTCTTACCAGGCAGTTCTTTAAATATTAGTATGTGTACAGGCTCCAACGTCGCGATTTTCGCTATTGAGCGTGCGTCGCTGAACACTTCAAGGTACCAACAGTGCTGCGATGGCTAACGAGCGAGAAGATCGTGCCTTTCATCCACATTCGAGCTCTGAGGCATCCCGAAACTCGCAAGGAAATGGGGGAGGCTCTTGTGTAGACTATCCCGCACACGCCAAGCCTTCCCGTTCGCAATCCGTTCAACCCGCACCTCAGCAGCAGCATAGAGAGGAAAATATACGCCAAGCGCTGGTTCTGGAGGTGTTGCGCCGTCGCGCTTTCAATAACCACCCGCTTGACCATGGCGGCGCGGCCCTTGCTTCTGCTTCTGAAAGCCCTCGCAGAGTTGAGTCCTGCGCTTCAATGCCTAACGCCTCGCAAGCGGTGAGACAAGCTACCGCTATTGACGCCGCAGCAGCCGCTGGCCGACATCTGGACGCTGCAGCAGCCGCTGGCCGTCGTTCTGACGCCGCAACAGCCGTTGGCCGTCAATCGGACGTTGTAAACACCCCTCGCGCACTTGACCAGCTGAACCCGCTTCCGCCGAGGGAAAGGTTTCAAGAGGACGTCGCTCGTCGTTTCCCCCCGCAACCGCCGCGACTCCCAAAGCAGATACCGTTGCAGCCAGCGTTGCATCTAGCGTTGCAGCCAGCGCAGGGAAGCGCGGTGCCACTGCTGACACGCCATCACGCGTCGGGTTCGGCTCGATCTTCCCCACTTACGGCGGGTTTGACGTCACCTCCACTATCCACGCGACAATCTTCCCCGTCGCCCGTTCCGAGCGTCACTGCTACCACGACTCCTGCTCCTGCTCCTGCTACTTCGCCCAGCGACAGCGCTACTGCCGCCGCAGCTGCAGCAGACGCGTCGCCGGTTTCACCATTGACACTCCCAGCTCGCTCCAGCGGCGTTTCTTACTCACCAGCGTCGCCACCTGAACAAACCACCGCTACTACCCACTTCAGTGGCAATACCGTCCTCTTCAGCGCCCGTACCACGGACTTCACTGGCATTGTCGCTCGATCTCCGAACCTCCTACCCGTCGCGCACCGGAGCGACCCTGGTCCATCCTCGTTATTGCTATTTCCGCGTTCACCCGACGCAGCATCGGCTTCTCTCTCGCTCTCCAGCCACCCCTCTCTCTCTCCCACCAGCAGCCTCAGCACGACCAGCACCACGCTCCCCGCCGTGATTGGCGCTGCGCTCAGCCCGGCGCCATACCTTCGAACCACTGCTGCTGACCTTCAACCAGACGTTCCCCCCCACGACATTCCCCCCGAACTCCCCCCTCCCGACCTTTCCCCCCCCGACCTTCCCAGTGTCGGCTCAGCGGGAAGACCCACTGCTGTCGGCGCGTCAGTGGCGGAGGGAGGGTGGAATGCGGTGGTAGGGCGGAGTGAGGCGGAAGAAAGGGAGGCGATGTGGCAGCTGTGCGCGGAAGAGATGGCGCATCTGAAAGCGCTGCTGCTGGACGACGGCGGCGGCGGAACGCAAAGCGCGCCGCTGTTGCAGCGCGCCGAGCACGATGGCTCGCAAAGGACCGTTTCGCGCAGCGACGGCGGCTCGCACGACCCCCACCTGGCTGGGCTGTTTTCAGGAGCCGCAACGGTTCAGGAAAACCCGGACCAGGCATCCGCACTACAAGCTACCCCACAGCAGCAGCAGCATCAGGAAGAAGGGCAAGGGCCTCCTCAGGGGAACGACCCCTACCGGTTGTACCTGCTGGCTGAGATACGGAAAGCGCGTGCGGCCATGCTTTCTCGTGGCGCTACTACTGCTCCTCTCGGCCACCTACAACAGGAATACGCGGGTTCACCCGGGGATCCAACGGTCAACCTCAATCACTCTGGGGCTGCGGCCCCTGAAAAGGGGGGGACAGCGGCGCGCTTCCACGCGGGAGGTGGAGGCGGGAGCGGGCGGAGCGCGATGGTCGTGTCCGCGATGCTGACGCCCTTGGGGATCGTCGCGCTCTCAACGCAAGCACGCGCCAATGCCGCTGCTTGTCTGCCGGAATCTCGTTTGGGGAACGTTGGGATGAGCGAGGAGGTGGCGGCGAGGGAAGCAACGGAAACGGCGAGGGAAGCGACGAAAGCGGCGAGGGAAGCCGAAGAGCAAGAACTGCGGGAGATCTGCAGTACGCTGTTCTCAGCAGGAGCGCGGGAAGCGGATGGTTTCTTACAGGGCGCGCTGGGTGGGGCTGGTGGGAAGGGCGTGGTCAGGGGCAGCTCCGGTTGGGAAGTTTCGGGGTCGCGATTAGGAGACGCCGCACTCCCGGAACAGCACGCAACATTGCAGCATGGATTTCCGCAGCACATTATACCGCAGCAGGCAACACCGAAGCACGCGGCGCCGCACGCAACACCGCAGCATACACTTATCCACGACCAAGTCCCACTGCCGAGGACGATGATCACAGAGCAGGAGTCGGCGCCATTGCAGCACATGCTAGCGGCAACGGCAACTCACGCGGCGGCTTTGGAGGCGCCGCATGAAGCGGCGCTGACCCCGCAGGAGATGCTGCTGCTGCGAGACGTGCTGGCAGCACCAGCTCAGGATCACGAGGCGGCGAGGTGGATAACCACCAAATCACCCTTCGACGCGCAGCCGTCGATGGTCGACGCGGAATTCCCGCGGGGTGATTTCAAGCAGCCGCAACGTCGGGCGTCCAAGTCCGAAGGGCAGCGCAGCAGCGGCATGGCAGGGGAGGGAGATTTGTTGACGGGAAACGCGTGGGGTGCGCAGCGAGGCGCTGTCCAACACACCGTCGCGAAGCTTGGAGCCGTGGTGGCTGGGTCGTCGGACTACGGTCTCGCAGCACCCGCAGAAACCGCAGCAGCAGCCGCCGCAGCAGCTGCAGCTGCCGCAGCAGCAGGCGCTCAGCTCTCCTTCAACCGATATTGCAGCAGCAGCAGCAGCAGAGGCGGTGGCAGTGCTGGGGGCGGTACAACTAGAGCCACGTCATGGTGGCCTCGTACCACTGCTGTCGGCGCGAGCGGTCCTACCGTGACCTCCGTTGGTGTCTCTAGTGTCGGTGCTGCTTGTATCGGTGCGAGTGGGAACACTTCAGCTCTCCCTTTAATTCGGCCTGCAGCGGACGCGTCACAACCGATGCCCACGAAGTTCGACCGGGCAAGTGTCGACCCACGCCCAATGCCGGACCCCGTGCCGGCAGTAACCTTTACGCTAGAGGAACAGAACCTGCGTTACCACAGTCGTGATTCGTCGCAAGACTTCGGCGGGGAACGAAGAATCGGTGATGCAGGGGCCTGGTCGCTCTGGGTTGGAGAGCAGCCAGGTTGGAACGCTGGAGATATGGATTCAGTTCGCATCGACGGATTTCCTGGATTCTCTCCCCGGCCGGCCGCGCCGGCGTGGGATGGGCTGCGCTGTCTGGTGTGCGGCTCGGCGCTTGGCGAGGAGAACACGACGGCGGCTAGGGTGTTGTCCGACCAAGTGGGGCCTCAGGGACTGGGACAGACGATCGGATTGCGAGTCCACGGGTGTAACGATTGCCTTGGACTGCTCGTTCCGTCGTACATTCGGAGCCTGGAGTGGGGGGAAGTTCGGGAGTCAGTTGCTGTTGCTGGTTCGCGAGGAGTCCATGGGAGTGGAAATGAGACAGAAGGAAATACGAAGGATGCAGACGCGCCTGTGGGGAAAACGCGGCGGGACCTTCATCAGAAGGCTGTTGGAGCTGGAAGAAAGGAGCCTCCGCTAGAGAATGAAGCGGAGAGAGAGGAAAACAGGAGCATCTCAAAGGAGGGCATCCAGAACAGAGGGGACGTGCAGCCATTGCGAATGGAAAATGTTTTGGAAAGGGGGGACGACTGTCACATTGCGCCTCGACGCGCCGACCCGTCCTCTGCGAAGCGCGACGTGCATTCGACCCCGAAAATCCCAAGGCCTGGCGATGGGAAGTGCGAAAACCCTCATGTCCCTTCGCCGTCGTCGCCTTCTTCCGGACGTCGTCGTTCGCGAGATTCGCCTGATACTGTTAGCTCGCAAGACGCAGAGGTTGCTCAGTCTGAATTTAAACGAAAGCGCATACAGTAACCAAGAGCCTTGACGACCATGAAGCGATGGCCTTTTCATATGGTAAGGGCGTGTGTGGTATTTGAAATTTGTGAAAGTTTATGTTTTTAGGGCGATATGGTTCTTGAACTTATGTCGATTGTAATTTGGAGCGAAGCTCGAACATTGGGACAGCAACACTGTAAAACTTCAGTCACACATACAAGGTCGAACCCCGAAATCTGACCTCGTAAAAAACGCGCCGAGCCGTGTGACAAAATTGTAGGTTACCCGGTTCTCCTAGGTGCCTCGGATGCGGCCACGTGGCTACCAAAGAGAGCCATGATCGTGGGATTGTTTCGTTGTGCCATTTTTAACTTCGCCAATCCCTCGCCCGTTTCGCCCGCTCCTCGTACGTGCTGTAAATCACACACGCTCGCACGAACGTGCGCACGCACGTTCACAACGTCGACTCGAGTCAAGTTCACATTCCACATTCGAACTTTTGTGCGCTGTAAAATCCATCTTCTTCGCGTATATTTCTGACGAAAATATGCGACCAAGGTAACCACCTAAAGTTCGACCTTTTCCGAACTTTAGAAAAGACCATACACGCCCTAACACCCATGTCGATATTTGAAAATTTGAATGCCTGGAGGTGGGATGTTGAACATTGCACATCGAGTTTGGTTTCCCTTTGTTACACATATTTCGAAGTTCGTGGCTCTGACAAACTGACAGCGGAAGCACTTCCGTCCAGATCATTGGCTTGTCCCCAGCCCAACCAATTTCCGCTTATTTAGGACGCGGTGCAAGTGCAAATATCGCAGGATCGTCTGCAAATATCGAGCCCCACAATCGAGTGGGCAGATCGATTGGCGAAATGTGGCGACCGCGACGTTGTAACGATCGCCTCTTTCGAATTGACAGATCTCCCGCAATCAGTGATCAGTCGCATTCGCACTCTGTACAGAAATTTTGGCAAAAAAGAGAACTGTAGTATGGCTACAGCATAGTAAATAGAGTAACCAATCCGCACATCGATCGCGACTGACGATCGATCGTCTACTTCTCCGCGTCCTAAATTGGGTTGAATACGTCGCTGTGTAATTCGGAGCGGTTGCTGATGTCACCGTCTCTAACCGCTACTAACCTCTTCAAAATATGATACCTCATGTCACCCCGCAAAGCCATTCACAAGGAGTTTTGTCAGCCTACCTCTCCGAGCTAGGGTTTCTAAGCTCCTCATATCAGCTTGTGGTTTACACTTCACTACCTTCTCGCTTGGTTTACCTTAACTAAAAAAGCCTGCTATCTAAGCATCCATGTCGCGACCATACAGTCCGGACCGCGGCTACAGCCCGGAGCCTCGTCGAGGGCCCAGCGGGCGCGGTCCTCCGCCTGACAGAGACAGGAGCCGCAGTCCCCCCCCTTACAGGCGCGGACCCCCACCACGGAAAGAGCGTGTTAGTCTGCTGGTTAGGAACATTCCGAGGGATACCAGGTGAATTCTAAACTCAAATGGTTGCATATTTTCGATTTTTGCTCGTAATCAAACGTCGTTTTCCGTTAACCGTGTAACAAGTTTTGTGGGATTATCGATAGCAACCAGTGCAATCATGTCTCTCTGTTTGTGGGTTATATTTTTCAGGCCAGAGGACCTGCGCGTTCCTTTTGAGCGATACGGCCCGATCAAGGATGTCTACTTACCAAAGGACTACCACACAGGGTATGTTGGTAAATCTTCAACCCGTATCGGCTGTGTTTGCCTGCGAATGTTGTGTACTTTATTCTTTGCGTGAAGTGAACCCACCTTAGAAAGCCTTTGTTGCTTGTCTCGCTGTTCACACTTCAGCCTTTGCGGGTTTCTGGGAATTACGGCAGGGAAGGGAAGAGGCAATTTGTTATTGGGTCAAGCTTTCAAGTCTCAGAAGTGACGAGGCTGGAAAGATGAGCTTGAAGCGAAGTGAAGCCAAGCCAAGCGAAGTTACGGAGTTGCGTGAAATCTTGCTGATTTGACGGGAAACCTAGAAGGGGCAATGGAAGTAACGAGAGGATTGCACAACACAAGTGACTCGAAGGGCACAAGCTATGAAGTGCGACCTGTGTCAGCTCATGGCGGTTCATGGCGGTTCCAGCTTGGCACAAGGACGTCAATCGCAGGTTGCATGTCACGGTGGCAGGTCGGTCATCGTCGTGTTGACCATCGTATTTCTCATTTCCTTTTTTATGTTCCTATATTTCCCCGCAACTCGCTCCCTCTCACTCTCCCTCATTATTTTTTCGATCCGTTATCGTTCCCCCCAGTTTCTCCATTGTACCATGTCATGTGCTGGTTTTCTTTAACAATATACATTGATCGTCGTATTATAAAGGCCGCTGACATTTTTTCGCTTGCCTTCTCCCCTTGCTTTCCTGGCTGCCGCAGAGAACCACGTGGATTCGGATTTGTTCAGGTAATTTCTCTTTACCACCCTTAGTTTTCTCCTCACATTACGAACATGTTTTTCTTAGTTTTTTTTTATGATTCTGAACAGGCTCCAATTTTGTAACTGTTTATGGTGGTGATGGTGGTGGCATGATATCGCAATCTGGTTACCAGTTCGTGAACATGGCGGATGCGGAGGACGCGCAGTACGAGCTGGATCGGACCAACTTCAATGGCAGGGAGATCACGGTCGTCTTCGCGGAGGAGAATCGCAAGAAGCCTGACGAGATGCGCACCAGGGAGCGATACAGGTCAGTCTGCCATGTGTGGTCTGCCATGTGAAAATTTAAGTATTTGATCAGGGTAATCGAAGTCTCTCCGATGTCAACCAGAGAGGGATACCAATTGAGTTTGCTAAGAATCTAAAAATATTATGATTGTAACACGATCCATGCTATCTGCCTAATTCTTTCCGCTTCATGTGTGTGTGCGTGCGTGCGGATATGTGTGTCTCTGTGTGTGTGTGTGCGGGCGTGTGTGTGCGTTTTGTGGGTTTCCTTTCTAGCTCTAGGGACCGTCCATCCTTCGGTAGACGCCGTGGCTATTGTGAGTATTGAGTGAGAGACCTGTATTGCATCTTTCCCGCTCGTTTTGCGTGAAAATTCCAATGGAACGGTTTGCTTGCTGCTTCTTTTCGTTGAATCAGCATGAAGCACTTAATGTATGTCATCCCCCTCCCCGACCTCCCTCTCCTATCTCCACCACTCTTTACCTCTTCCACTGTCCGTCGTTGAACCCATTTTCCCCATCAGTTGCATATCTCTCCCTTTCTTCGTCCGCCACCCTTTCCGTGCCTGACCCTCGTTTTCCTTTCCGCTCCTCGCATCTGTTCCCTCCCTATCAGCACGATCACGCTCGCGCTCCCCTCCAGGCCGACGTTCCTTCTCGCCTCCTCCTCGCCGCCGCTCGCGCTCCCCTCCCCCTCGACGCAGCGGCCCTCCGCGCAGGTAGGATTGGTCCCTCATATGAACCATTCTCTGCAACCGTTTTTGGATGATTCCTCCACTGCAACCATCCCTGCACTGCGCGTTCTCCTCGCTTCCCTCCTGTCTTCATCGACTGCTGGGCTGGGTTATTTCAGGTCTCCTTCCGTGGTACGCCTGCTGATCATACACCTCCCCCCTCCTACACCCACGTTTTCCACTCTATCCCTCCCTCCCTCCCTCCCTCCCTCTCTCACCCACCCCATCCACTACCAGATCGCCCAGCTATTCCAATGAAGATCGGGATCGCAGCTACAGCCGCTCGCCCTCACCCCGTGGCCGTGGCCGTGGGCGCTCCCCTCCTCTGCCTCGCAATGGCAGCGCCGGCGCTCCACCTAGGCAGGTGGTTTGAGACTATCCCAACCCCCCCTCCTCCCTTGAGTTTTGAGGCGCCTCAAATTTCTGGTGTTCCACCTAGGTAGGTGGTTAGAGGTTATTCTAACACCCCCCACCCCATGACAAGTGCTGGTTCACAGTATTGGTTTTACTCCACGTGTGTTCATGTGCCCTCCGCATCAATGCTAGTGTGCTCTCCACATGTGTGGTTTCCCTTTTCCACAAGGTAGGGTCATGATGTTGGGATGTCTCGTCCTGTAACAGACTTGAGGAATTGTGGTAGACATTCTAATTTTGTTCTTGCTGTGTTTCATTTCTTGCTGTCTTTGTCCGTTTCATTAAAAAACTTTCTCCTTGACAGGGGCCGGAGTGGTAGTGCTGGTGGAGCTGCAGCAGGTGGTGAAGGTGGGCCTAGCAGGCCTTAATGCTGGAGAAAATTGAGTGGCACTGAATGCTGGTTCACCTCGCACTACAGTAAAAATCCAAGTGGACCAGACTTGATCTCATCTTACTGACGGCCTTGGCTGGCATGATTCTTTTCGTTCGAGGTTCTGTGGCTGGTAGACAAGATATATGTATACATGGCAGATTGAATGTGCCTGTATGTACCGTATTCTCCCGGATAAAACACCCTAGGGTATTATGGAAACCACTGGGAAAAAATGGGGGGGGTCTCCTCAAAGGAAAATCCGACATAATACCCGGGTCTTATTTTATGGTATATTTTTTATCAAGTAGAAAAGATGTGAAACAAGATTTTATCAGGGGCCTGACTCCACTTCAAGATTGTTGACCAGTGCCGCAAAACCGAGTATACGAGGATAACGTGACCGCCCACTGGAATCTGCCACGTGGCAAAATTGAGTGGGCAATTCTGGCACTTGATAGGGTGAAAACAAAGCCAATTGCGTGGCGAGGGTTCATGCAACCGCCGAGGCCAGAATCGCACACGGTGGTGCGTTCTTACTGTACCAGTCACTTCTTGACTGGTTTGGTCACGTGTCTGTGTCTCATGTGAGAAGGTGATTTTCACCTATTGGGCCACTTGCAGCGGAAGATTCGCCCGCGTGGCGACAGCGAGATTGTGGGAGGGGGGAAATCTTGGCAGATTCTAAGTGAAAGTACACGCAAAATTTCACCTAGGGAGCAATTCTCGCGATATCTTCCCGTAAGGAATCGGACTCGATAACAGCTATAATATGAATCCATAAGAAAAGGGGGGTGTTAAAGAAAATCACCCCAAAAGGGGGGGTATAGTACAAACGGGGTTGGATATAACACCCACCCCGTATTAGCTACCTGGGGGTGTACAATTACGGGGGGGTGTTTTATCCGGGAGAATACGGTAGTACCAGTAGGTTATGTGTGCTGGTATGTAGCAAGTTGAAGGATTTTGCACTGCAAGTAATAAACTAATGTACCTAATTGCTATGGTGGAGGCAATTCAAAACAGCTGAACTAGCAGGCTTGTGTTGGCATCACTGAATGAGCGAAGCCCTGCTGGTTTAACCACCATGCGACACAGAGGGCAGGTCCGCTCCCTTTCAAACCTGCCATGGATGGATGAGTATGGAAATAACAAGTTAGTACAGAAACTACAACGCACTGTACCAACAGTCATGAAAACGGGTGAAACAGAACGCGATTGATGATACAGCACACCTGCTGCTGACCATTTCATGACTACTAGATAACCAATGAATCGTAACTTACCATTCAGAGACACATTCGTCGCAGAACACGTGGCGGCATCGCAGCGTGACAGGGCCTGTCATGTGCTCCTGGCAGATGGCACACATGTTGCCGGCTGCTGCCACCTGGTGGGGCAAAAAGGAGGAAAGAGAGAAAAAGGTGCAAGTATGCACATTCCCGAATATGAACGCTGGTCAGCCCAGGATCAGCATGAATTGGCAGAAACAGCAGGAGAGAGAGGGGTGAAAGGAGGTCGTGAAACACATTTGAGCCAATGTGAGGTGATGAGCTCATAGTGATGCAGGTCAGGGATACAGCCGCATGCAGTCAGAACCAGTCATACCGAGCAAACATGCCCTCGACAGCCAAAGAACCTTCACAGAAACTGTCCAATCAACCTATTGAAACTGTCCTACTTTGGCTCAAAATTCGTTTCACAAACCCCATACCATCTCGGGTGCTTGAGTGCAATAGTTTCTCAGTTTTCTCTGTTCACTCACCTGGAGCCACATCGCTCTGCTGTCTCCTCTGCCTGCAAGCAGAGTCCACCACATGGCCATTCGTCCCCTCCCCTAGAATGGCCATGTGTACTCTGCTGTGACCATACACACCTAGCTAGCTGTGGCCGCAGTGCCATACTGCTTTTGGAATCTTTCCTCTTCACCAAAAAGCATACCTCGTCAGGCGTGGCCTCGGTCCCATACTGCTCGCCTTTTCCAACCGCTTGGCGAACAGCGGACACAAAGAGGAGCACCTGGCGCACAAGGGGAGAGAGGTTTGATTCAGTATTTGGATTAACTGAAAAAATCCCAGAGACTGTAAATCCGTGGAGACAAAGAGCGGCACCTGTCGCACAAGCGAAGAGAGTGAGGGACTGTAGAGGGACAGCCAGCAAAACAGAAAATATTGCGAAACTAATGAGCATGGTTCTAAGATAAACAAGAGGAGTGACCGACCATGACCTTCAACTACTGAGTAGCTGTTGACGAATTGTTGAGCATGGCTCAACGATACACAACAAGTAGAGGGGATCAAAGAGACTTGACACAAAAACAGCAGTACAGCAATGAGAAGAATCCATTGAGAACGAGTGACATTTCTGAGGCGCCAGGCGACGCGCTTAAACAATGAATGCGCACAAGTGACGTCGCCATATCGTACCTACCAGGTGATATGAGAAGCATACCCTGTCGAGTGAGGTGGAGAGCTCAAGGCGCGGTAGAGTCCAACAGTGAGGAGGCGGTGAGTCGGCCATACAACTAGTTATCTACTTTTGAGGCGCCTAAGGAAAGATGACGAGAGCAGCATGCCATACCCTGTCGAGCGAGGTGGAGAGCTTGAACGCGAGGTAGAGCCCTGCAGTGAGGGAGGCGGTGAGGCGGCCATATGCCTGGTCGTTGAGAAAGAACTGGAACCACACAGGTGCCGGCACCCACGCCCGGTAGAGGAGCGACGTGTACTCCACTAGGGTTAGGACCTGCGCCTGGTGGGGGAGAGAGGAGGGGGGGAGGAGGAAAAAACAATCATACAGCTAAGAACAGACTGGCAAGAAACCACATGGGTGCCGGCACCCAGGCCCGGTAGAGGAGCGACGTGTACTCCACTAGGGTTAGGACCTGCGCCTGGTGGGGGAGAGAGGAGGGGGGGAGGAGGAAAAAACAATCATACAGCTAAGAACAGACTGGCAAGAAACCACATGGGTGCCGGCACCCAGGCACGGTAGAGGAGCGACGTGTACTCCACTAGGGTTAGGACCTGCGCCTGGTGGGGGAGAGAGGAGAGGGGAGAGGAAGGAGTGAGGCGGTGAGGGAGGCGGTGAGTCGGCCATAGGCCTGGTCATTGAGAATGCTGGGAAATTTGGAGAATCTATAAAAATTTGGAACCATATGGGTGCTGGCACACAGGTACGGTAGAGCAGAGTTGTGTACTCCACTAGGGTTAGGACCTGCGCCTGGTGGGGGAGAGGGGGGATGGGTGGGAGGGAGGGAGAGAGAGCGGGGGATAGGGGGATACAATGATACTCCATGCAGGTTAGTATCTGCGCCTGGTGGGAGAGAGGGAAGCTATGAGGGAGAGAGGGAGAGTGATGGAGAGAGTTACAAGACAACAAATGGTAACCACACGGGTGCCGGCACAAAAGCATGATCTACCGGGGATGTGTATTTTACACGAGGGCTGGAATCTGCGGCTGGTGATTAAGGGACGGGTGAGAGAATGAGAGAGAGATAGAGAGAAGAGAAGGTTGGTACACTGAGAGCAGACCCTTGCTGCAGTGGTGTGCAATGAACGAGGATGGTGCTGCATGGTGCTGCATGGTGCTGCATGGTGCTGCGTGCTGCAAGGTGCTGGATGTCCCAAAACGCACTCCCTACCTGGTGGCGATTGTGCAGGCCCTTGCTGCGGTGGTGAGCAACGTAGTGACTTTCGAGTCGACACAAACGGCACTCGCCACCCTGACACGCCGTGCATACCTGGTGGCGATTGTGCATCCCCTTGCTGCGGCGGTGAGCAACGAGGATGCCACACTTCACTGCCATGGCCATGAAGCGCACCAGCACGTCTGATGGGCAGGCAGGAGGGGATGGGGGAGTGGGACAAACAATGAGGAGCAATGAGGAAGCTGCGAGAATGCAACAAGGAAGCCGCGAGAATGTAACGAGGATGCCACACTTCTCTGCCATGGCCGCGAACCGCACCAGCACATCTGATGGCAACCACATGTTTGATCAGGGGTGGGGAGAGGGGAAAGGAAGATTAGCGGTGGAAAATAGGCGAGGTGAAAGGCAATTTCGCACAGACAATTTTCTTGTTAAGATTTGTGAGGAGGTTTCCTTTCAGATTTTCATTACTGAAGTGAGTTTAACAGATTTGATACTGAAATCAACACCTAATAGCAGATTTGACATAGCATCTGTAAGAACATACGCAAAACATGCAGTTTTCGAACACTCACCATTTGTGACTATAATGAAGAGAGCATGCCAGAAAGGGGGCACTTCAGCAGGCGGTATGAGCAGAAGCGGTCTCCACAGCTGCTCGGGCCAGAAGAGCCAATTAACAACTGCCACGTGTGCAAGCAGCAGCACAGCTGCCAGTGCCAGCAGCACCGGATTGCGGTCCGCCTGGCAATAAATTCGGGGAAAGAGGAAGGAAGGGGAGATGGAAGAGGAGAAAGCGGAGACGGAAAGGGAGGGGAAGCAGAGCGTGAACGGGAGGGGGAGGAGAGGAGCAAAGGAGCGGGAGGGGGAGGAGGAGGGGGAAAGAGAAGCAAAGGGCGATGGGGGGAGTATGAGCAGGGCACGTGGGGAAGGTTCACGGAGAGGGTGTTGCACGGTTCTTATGACCTGAAGGGTGTGGCACGGTTCTTATAACCTGAAGGTGACAGTATGTTAAGTGGTTCTTATAAGGAAGGGGTGACAGTCAGACAGACAGGCAGAACGCACCTTGAGCGCGCCCTGTTTGCGGATGAAGTCGTTGGCCTTGAAGAGCGTCGCTGTCAGCCACACGACCGTGCAGAAGCCTGTGTGGGGAGAGGGAGAGCACAGAAAGATACACGTGTGTGCTGGTGAGTTGGTGTGCTGGTGAGTTGGTGTGCTGGTGAGTTGGTGTGCTGGCGTGCCGGCGTGCTGGCATGCTAGCGCGCTGGCGTGCTGTGAGTTGGTGAGTTGGTGCACGCATGCATGCCAACACAACCACGCATGCATACCCTCATACCCACGCATGCATGGCAACACAAGCCCAAACGCCAATTGCGCTTATTCTTCTATTGCCCACGCACACAACGCCAGCTGAATCTGCTCTTGTGCTGACCAGCCTCACTCCCCACTCATCAATCAGGTGCTGCCTCACTCCCCACTCACCAATCAGGTGCTGCCTCACTCCCCACTCACCAATCAGGTGCTGCCGGACTTGCACGAAGAGCAGCAGGAACGCGAACGGCACGGCCTGCTCCAGGCTCCGCGCAGCCAGGTGCATGTCCGACCCGCGCGTTACCGTCCCCCCTCCGCCTCCGCCTCCGCCTCCCCCTTCCCCTCCCCCTCCTCTCGCCCCTTCGTCCGTGTCCTCACCAGGGTTGCCACCAGTGGGACTCCCCCCCTGTGTCTCTGACCGTCCCTCTGCCGCTCCAGCTGCTCGCCCTGCTCCTCCCCCTCTTGCCCCTATGATTGCCATTGCAGCCGCTTCCCCTGCCGCGTCGCTTGCCGTCTCTGATGAATCACCTTCGCTCCCTGCTGTCCCTGTTACCGCTAACACCCCCGCTTGTCCTGCCGCTCCTGCTGCCCCTGCTTCTGCCGCTCCTGCTCCTGCGCCACCTTCTGCTCCTGTTCCTGCTCCTGCACCTGCTCCCACTGCTGATGCTGTTTCGGCTTCTCCTGCCGATCCCCTTCCTTCAACCGTTCCTCCAACTCCACCCGCTGCACCATGCGCTCCGTCTCTCCGTCTCTCTTCCCCCCTCCCTTCCTCCCCTCCCAAGTCCACATCCAGCCGAATTTCCCCGCCTGCGTCGCTCTCCCGCCTCTCCGCTCCCTCTATTAAGCTACCCGGAAGTGACATTAACGAAGGCGAGGCGTGCAAAGCGGCGGAGGATGCGGGGAGAATTGCCATCTGGGATGGAGTTGGGGGGGAAGTGAGACTCCGGAGACTGAAAGGCTCGCCATTGGTCGACGATACTGCCACGTGGGCATCGTACGGCCGTCGCTGAATGGGTGGCGGAGTCTCATAAGGACGGCACCCTGAAACGGCATCCCCGTTGGCGGAGAAGATTCTCGGGTGCGCGGAATCTCCCCCTTGTCCTTCTTCCCCTTCCCCTTCCCCACGAGTTTCCCCGCGCGCGCGCGCTTCCCCTCGTCCTTCCACGTGGCAATCATCTACTCGTTCTTGATCGTTGACCGTCGCAGAACGCTCGGCGCGCTTCTGAGAGGCGGGTGCTATCGCTGGAGGAGGCAGCGGCGGCAACTGCGGAGGGTGCGACCGCGTGACACGTGGCCCTTCTCCCGTCTGTCCTTCAAAAGGTCCACTAGTTCCTAGACCTGGTAGATTTCTCGTAGTTTCTGAATTCGAGTCAGAAAGGATGAGCGGGGAGCTACCGCTTGTAGCGGATCGACTGCTTGTAACGGGTTGGCTGGCGAGAAGAGGGGAATGGCCGGGATTTCGACGCACAGGAGCAGCGCGCTGATCTGAGCCGAAAAACGCGGAGGAGAGACCGAGACTAAGCGCGGATAACGGCGGAGATCCCGCGACGTCGACAACGCGGTGGAATAGATGCTGCTCTTCTTGATCCGAGTCCGAAGCGCTGACAAACTGACCGTTTTCGTGCGCCTGCTGCCGTTGAGACTGCTGGCGTGGCTGCTGACGTGGCTGCTGCTGCTGAAGCTGACGGCCGTCAGTGCTGTCAGATAGCCATTGCGGAAGGAGCTGGTGTCGCTCCTGATTGGCTCGTTCGGGTGCTTGACCACCGCGTCGTCCGCTGGAGCTGGGCTCTTCTCCGCTAGTTGCGCGAAGGATTCTAGACAACACTTCGATGGGGGAAAATCTCGAACCGAACATGGTCAACACATTGCTGGTGGAATCATGCTGAGTCGAACCGCTACGGATTCCAGGCCCTGTGACCCTGGGTTGACTCAGACTAGACGGAACTGGCGGGTTTCTGCTGCCATGGCTACTGCTGCTACTGTTGAGTGGATTAACTTCTTCAGGATCCACCATTGATCGTACCTTGTGTAACTAATGTTGGTGGTAACTACAAGAAAGGGTTAAAAATTATGCAAGGGACATCTGAAAGGCACTAACTCTAACTGAACTTATTTTATATGACAAATTCTGGACTCCAACCAAAGAGACAGAATTTCAGGGAACTATGAAGCTTGTTTTCTGGTCGAAGGCGCACGAGCATCCGTACGAGTCGAGGCGCTAACAGGGTTTCTGCTCAGGTTTTTCCATCATAATCTAGCGACCACCTTAGGAATCTGAAATCCCTCAAATCTCGTGTGTGTGTGCCTGATAATGATCTCCTTCAACGGCTCGTTGAGAAGGCACAAGCACACTCCAACCTCGTCGGACATGTGTTGCAATTATCTGTCAACTGCTGGACTTGCACGCTTTGCTCCTGTGACCTGTCTCCAGCCCTCATGCTCACTGATGCTTCTCTGGCAAGAACTTGACGGGATGACGGAGTGACAGAACTGGACAGAACTGACGGAAAGAGACGGGAAGTGGGGGGAACGCGTAGGTCTGCGGTATCCAGTTCCGCGTTGGCGCAGGTTTTGCGCCACGCGCGTTCTTCGGGAGCCCATCAAATTCCGCGTAAGCAAGCCGCTGACCAGTAAGCTGCACTTGTCCTCGCAGCGGACAAATCGACGGGAGTCGCGCCTTTTCCAACTGGGTTCGGTCGTTCGGACGCGCCACCGGAAGGCTAGCCCAGCCCACGTCAGAAGTGAACTCCGCTGACGGGGTCACGGTTTCGGAGCTGGAGATGTCCGCTGAGGGATACTGTTTCGAATGCCTGTGGCAGAGGCGGGAAAACGGGGTAGGATATTTTTGTGCGTTGGAACTGCTGGGTTTGGAGCAATTCTCTCGTTGCTTCGGTTCAGTGAGCTCCGCCTTGGAGCTCGGGCGCTGGGAAGATCTGACGACAACTGCGCGCGTACAGCGACGTTCGTCAAGCTCGAGGCAAGGAATTTGGTTCGGTGGCCTTCCTGGCTTGGTAGCGACCATGTTCCAGGAGTTTCTGAACGATCTTAGGCGCAACAGTGGTTCGAATGTTCTTTCCAAACACTACCTCACTTACGGTACCAGTAAGGCTTCAACGATCTCCTAAGAAAGTTCGCCACCAAATTTGCCTGCCACACAGGTCATCTCGCCTTCCCTAATATAGTCAGGAAAAAAAACGAAATTCATTTTCTACTCCTGCGCAGCAACCTTGAGCGCAAGAGTGAGGTCATCCAAGCTTGCCTTGGCATACAGCTGGTGCTTCACAATCTCCACCGAGTCCCTCGACGCCACAGCGCCCGTCGCCGCATCCTCCTCGTCCACCGTGTTGAAAATCACAAACGCTGGCGATGTGAAAATAACCTCACGCTCTGTGGGCTCGTGCCTGTAAAGCAGGTTCCCCATGCGTCGCCCCCCGCCAGAAGCCTTGGCGGCAGCAGGGGGGAGTGGGGGAGCAGCAGAGGAGCTGCTGCTGCTGCTGCCAGGGGTGCTGCTGGTTGCTCCAGTGGTGTCGCTGCTGCTGCTGCCCGAAGGTTCCTTCTCCTGCCATAGCCTGCCCACGACCCGCCATTCATCCGTTCGGCTGTCCGGCTCCTGTGATTGGTGGAGTGCAGATTGGAATGGGGGGAAGGAGTGTGGGGTGGGGATGGCAGGGGAAACGGGGGGGAGGAGGGGAGGAGAAGAGCGGAGGGGAGGAGGGGAGAGAAGGAGGGGGAAGGAGGGTGTATGCAGGGGAGAGGGGGAGGAGGGGCCAGGGGGGCGGAGATGATTGTGGTTCAGAACGGATGCTCCGTCCCGACGCATTCACACCAGATACTCACAGGCAGATGCGGAAGACGGATGGGAGCGGGCAGCAGGCGCACAGACGGCACATCAGTGGCGTTGAGGGCCCTTTCGGACAGCAGTTTGGCCACCAGCCGTGAGCAGCCCTGCAGGCGCTTCCACAGTGACGCCGCCACCATGGCTGTGGCCTCCATGCGCGTGAACGCCCTCAGCAGCACCTCCAAGTCTTCGACTCGTTCGTCGGAGCAACTGCCAGCGCTCTCTGGAGAATGGAAGGGGTGGAGAGGGGTGGGGATGGATGCAGCACAAGAAGCTGCCACCATGGCTGTTGCCTTTTGAGGAAATTCGGAATCCACCAGCTCGGGAATCCCACGTAACAGCAAACCAGCCTACCCCCATGACTCACGATCGTCCAGCCACTGCCACATGCTGGAAACCATGCCCGCCACGCGCTGCCTCTGCTCCGCAACCGGCTCCTCTCGCCCCCCCTGGTCGCGACCCAACAGCAGCACAGCCGACGAGAAGCACGTCGCCAGCAGCTGCCCCAGCAACTCCTCCGGTACCACCGTGTCTAAGTAGTGCAGGATCTGATGGGGTGGAGGGGGGTGGAGGTGGGTGGAGAGGGGTAGAGGAGGGTTAGGGTGGAAGAGGGGGGTGGAGGCTTAGTGCCTGCATTTCAGCAAGCTGCCCCAGCAGCTCCTCCAGTACCACCGTGTCCAGATAGTGCAGGATCTGATGGGGTGGCGGGGGGTGGAGAAGGGTGCGATGGGGGACGGGAGGGTGTGGGGCAAAGAAGGGAGAGGGGGGAGTGCAGAGGGTTAGTGTCTGCGTTGCAACAAGCTGCCCCGTCAGCTCCTCCGGCACCACTGTGTCTAAGTGGTGCAGGATCAGGATCTGATGGGGTGGGGTGGGGTGGGGTGGGGTGGGTGAGTAGGTGAATCAAGTGGATCATTTCAAGAAGCTGCCCCAGCAGCTCCTCCGGCACCACTGTGTCCAGATAAAGCAGCATCTGGAGGGGGGTGACGAGGAGGGGGAGGGGGAGGGGTTGGATGTGAGAAGGGTGAAGAGTCGGGGATGGGAAGAGTGGATCAGGTGGGCGTAGTATTTGCATGTCAAGAAGCTGCCTCAGCAGCTCACCCTCTTTCCCCCATTCCCCTCATTCAACCCCCTCCCCTCACCTTCTCGCACTCAAGGTCAAAGCGGAAAAAACTTTCCCCCATTCCCCTCACTCACCCCCCTCCCCTCACCTTCTTGCACTCAAGGTCAAAGCGGAAAAAAATAGGCCGCTGCTCGTGAGCAGGATCACGCTCAGTGCTGTCGGACTAGCCTTCCCCCACACTCTCCTCACTTCCCACATTGCCCACTCTCGCCCTTCATGCCCCACACCTTCTCGCCGTCGAGGTCAAAGTGGAAGATGGGTCGCTGCACATGCGCAGGTTCAGGCTCAGCGCTGTCCTGCAGCTTTGAGTCAACTCGAATTTTGAGTCAACTCAAATCTCCCCTCAGCCCTCACCTTCTCGCCCTCCAGGTCGAAGTGGAAAATAGGCCTCTGCTCATGAGCAGGTTCAGGCTCAGCACTGTCCCACAGCTCGCGCCACAGGTTGCCATGCACCTCCTCCATGCGCTCCGACAGCCGGCCCCTCGGCGGCCACCCCGACCCATCCACGCGGTGCCGCCGCCGCCTGCTCCCACCGGCCCCACCAGCACCTCTCCCACTGCCGCCCCCTCTCCCTCTCCCGCCCCTGCGCCCGCCACGCTCGTGCTCCTCGCTGTCCCGCCGCCCGCCCCGCCTCCTGACGTCATCGTCCCTCCAGTCGCGCTCGTCATAATCATCACGATCATCCCGGTCCCGGTCGTCTCGGTAACGGTCGTCACGGTCGTCGCGCCTGTCTCGGCCGCGGCGCCGCTCGCCAAACTCGTCCCACTCCTCGCGGTCGTCACTGTACTCCCCGTCCTCTCGCCCCCTGCCCCCCCTGCCCCTTCCCCTCTCCCTCTCTCTCTCCCTTTCCCTCTCCCTCTCTGGGTCACTGTCAGGTTCTGGGCTTCGGTACCTCTCCCTCTCCCTCTCCCTCTCCTCCTCCCTCCCTTTGAGCGCTTCCCTATCCCTACCTCTCTCCCTATCGCTCTCATCCCTCTCCCTCTCCCTATCGCTGTTGTCCCTGTCCTCCTCCCTCTCTCCTTTCTCCACAGCTTTCTTACTCCCTTCCACCCTCGGCTCATCCCCTGAACCACCCTCAACCTCAATCTCTTTCACACCCTCCTTCTCCACTCCTTTCCCACCATCCGCCACACTCTCCCCTACCTCTTCACCCTTCTCTTCCTCGCCTCCCTTCTCCCCATCCTCCACTTTCTCAACGCCATCCTCCTTCCCAGCATCTCCACCCGCCCCTGCTGCCTGCCCCTCACCAGCCACCGTATCTCCAGACTTCTCTTCCTGAGCTGCTTCAAAAAACTCATCTTCTTCCTCCTTGTCCTTCCCGGGACTGCTGCTGCGGCGGCGAGAAGGAGAGCTCTCCTTCTCCTCGTTCCCACCGCGGGTTCCATCCGGGTCTAAATCAGAGTCCCCTTCCCTCGAACTCTTGCCTCCGCCACCATACTCTCTGCCCTCCTCCCTCTCCCTCTCCCTCTCCCTGCTCCTATCCCTGCCACCAGCCTTCCTATCCACCTCCCTGTCAATGTCACTCTCTTCTGTGTCACGCCCTCTCTCTCGCTCCCTCTCCCTCTCCCTCTCCCTCTCTCGCTCCCTCTCCCTATCAATCTCCCTGTCTGAATAATCATCATCACCATACCTCCCGCTCTCCCCATACCTCCCGCTGTCACTGAACCTCCCACTCGCGTCCCTAAAGCTATCATCCCTGTCCCTCAGGCTATCATCCCTCCTGTACCGCTCCTCCTCTCCCCTTCCGTACCTGTTGCCTCCTCCCCTTCTGTACCTGTCCTCCCGATCCTCATACCGGTCGCCCCGGCCGTACCTATCATCATCTTCCCTCCCGTACCGCCTACCACCATCGTCATACTCATCATCGTAATCATCCACGTCATCAGAGCCCTCATCCGCGCTTGTGATTGGCAGCCAGTCGTTGGGCGAGTGCCAGCGCACAAAGTCCTCTAGCACTGCCCCGGGGTTTGCAGCTTTGAACGCCGACATGTCTGGAGGAGAAAGGGTAGGAAGAGCATGTGTGTGGGGGGCCGGGGTGGGGAGGCGCTAAGCTATTGCTTTGAAAGCTCAACGTCCGCGGAGGCGAGAATGCAGATTGCGTGCTAGAGAGCAGAGATGCACCGGGGCAGCGCAAGAGAGAAAGGGCAAGAAGCATGACGGAAAATCAGAAACAGAAGAAATAAAGGAAAAGAGAGAAAGCAGAAACAAAGACGAAAAAAAAAAAGTTGACTAGACGAAGAACGGACTATACCTGAAGCAACAACGTCACTCTGCATGCGAGCTCGAGTTTCACGCCCCTGCGCACATGACACACGAGCAGACAGACAAGCGCAGATGTTACAGTTAGAGCACATGCACTACACAGTACACCCACACATCCACTCACACGCAGCAGCCACATGTTGCCCTTCACTGGCCCCGCTACCCCCAATAAAGACTCACCCTGCCCCCCCCTCTCAGCGAGCTACCAAGTGACTAACCTTGCTTGCAAGTAACCAACCTTCTTACCGCAGGCGCGCTACCAAGAGCCTCCATGGCTCGCTCCTTCTCCTCGATCATTTCTTCACTCATGAACGTCGGGTCCTGGGTGTGTGGCTCCAGCATGCGCCGCCTCAAACGCAGCAGCCACATGTCTCCCTTCACCAGCCCCACCACCCCCTGACAAATGACTCACCCCCCCAGAAACTACCAAGAGCCTACATCTGTGGCGCCTCAAGCTGACTCCAACTGAGATGACACAACGGAGGGAACCACTCACTGACACTCACCGCAGGCGTGCTCCCCAGAGCCTCCATGGCTCGCTCCTTCTCCTCGATCATATCTTCACTCATGAACACCGGGTCCTGTGTGTGAGGCTCCAGCATGCGCCGCCTCACGCGCAGCAGCCACATGTCTCCCTTCACCGGCCCCACCACCCCCCGCCTCCGCACGCGGCGCCGCCCCCTCGCCATCGCCCCCGTGAGGCCGTGGCTCGTGCGGCCCCTCTCCGCCCAGGTGTCGTCGTCCGATACGTCGCTCTCGCTGAAATATCTGTGGGTTGTGTAGGCAGGCAGGCAGTGGGTGGGTGGGTGGGTGGTGGATGGTGTGAGGTGAATAAGTGAGGAGTGGATTGAGTGTTGCTGCCTCAAGGGCTGAATGAGGCGCACGGCTCATGCAGACCCCTCTCTGCTCACTTCTCCAACGCATCGCATGGGCCCAGCCCCCTCCCTGCTCACGATACACCATCCACTCCCCTCCCCATCGCAAACCATCCACTCACCCCCACTTCCCCCCCCTCTATTCCCCTCAAGCACCACATGCTGCACTCACTCATCAAGGTCCTCTTCGCTGCGGTGGGAAGGCGAGTCGCCATCAGCCACACCCCCCTCATCATAGAACGCCACGTCGTGCGACCCGTGCGTGTCCGAGTCCCCCGAGGCCGTCTTGTCGTCGTGGTACGGGCTCGCCCCGTCGCCATCGTCCCACCCGCGTCCTCCCCGCCCCCGGCCCGCCCTTCCATCATGCCAGCCGCCTCCTTCACTCCCAGACCTATCCATCCCCTCCCACTCCTCCTCATCCCTCCCACCCCTCCTGTCACTCCCCCTCCCTCCCCTCTCCCTCCTGCTGCCTCGCCTCCTGCCGCCCCTCCCTGGCGGCGAGTCAGCGCGAGCCGGGCCGTCGTCGAGTGCTGTACCCCTTACAAGCTCCTCCACGCGCTCGCCTACAAGCTTGGCGGCGGCGATTTGGTGCATGCGCTCGGCGTGACGCATGCGCTCCTCCATTTCCCGCTCCTGCTGCTTGCGCCGCCGCTTAATGCACTCCTGCAGCTGCACGGGGGAAAGGGGATGGGGGGCGAAGTGAGAGAGGATAACAGAGGGAGAGATCATTTCAATACCGGCTCAGGAGCTGAACGGGGAAAGGAATTACGGGGTGGTAACGGGGAAATGGGTGGTAAAAAGAAATTAGAGGAACATTCAGGGATGCAAAAACGACAGCAACCCTGCCAGCTGCATCTCTGAGAGACAGTGTGGGGAGAATGTGGCGTCTTAAAGCCACGTACCAGCTGCAGCTTCTGGTGGATGAGGCAGGTGGCGGTGTTGGGAGGCCCGTCTGCAATGACTCGAGGGATGGGCAGCGCCTGCTCCCAGTTCCACCTCAGCTCACGCGTGAACTCCAGCCACAGCGCCGCCACAGCTGAAAGAGGGCCAGAAGGGAGTGCAAGGGGGCAGAGGGTTAGGGATGAGAGAGCAATGAGAGGGGACGCGGCAAGTGTCCTGTTCCCAGTTACACCTCAGCTCACGTGTGATGTGATGTGAACTCCAGCCACAGCGCTGCCACGGCTGGAAGGGGGACAGAGGTGAAGGAACAAGGGGGCAAGGCATGGAATTCTCACAAAAGGGATGCAGCTTGTGCATATGACGCGGCTGCAATCAAGAGGGATGGCCCAGATGCCATGACTAGCGCTACTATGTTTGGCGACTTGAGCGGCGAAGGGGCGGGTGGTAGCCAAACATAGTAGCGTTATTCATGGCATCTGGGCCATCCCTCTTGATCACAGCCGCATCATATGCACAAGCCGCCTCCTCTCCCGTGGCAGTTTCACCGCAGCTCGCGAGTAAATTCCAGCCACGGCTGGGGGACATGAGGGGAAAAGGAAAGGAAGGGTTTTCAAAGAGCAAGCGAAAGATACCCGAGGCCACAGGTGGCATGGACGAGGCGGGCGGGGGTGGCTCACATCTGATGTTGCAGGTGCCAAAGCGCAGCACATGCAGAGCGAGGCGGGAAAAGAGCGAATCCACCGGCGCAGCCTTGCCAATGTGCGTCACCCCCTTGAACTTGCCACTCAGCCCATTCTCCTCCACCCCTTCTCCCCCTGCACCTTCTGCTCCGCCTCCCTCCGCTCCTGCCCCCGCTGCTCCCTCTCCCCCGGGACCCTTCACCCCACTGCCAGTGGCGCTGGTGTCGGTGGCGCTGATGCTGCTGATGACGCTGCTGGCGGTGGTGATGGTGCCACGGTCAGCGTCAGGCAGCAGGCTCGCCTCCTGCTGTTCTGACGCCTTCCCCATGTACTTCGCCACTGACGCCAGCGCCTCCTCTGCATGGGTGAAGATGGAACGGACGGGAGCCAGGAGAGCGGGGAGGGTAGGCGGTTGCCAGGAGGAGGGTGGAGTGGAGAGTTAAGTCATGTGTGCAGGAAAGGAAAAAAAAAAAAAAAAACTGGCCTCCTGCTACTCTGACACCTTCCCCATGTACTTCGCCCCATGGACACTGGGAGCGCTTTTGATGCTCATAAAGAGCGCAAATGTGCAACTCACGCTCCATGACATGGGGCGCGGTTTTGAGGCGCCTTCAACCTTCAAAGGGTTTGTATGCGCTACAGAAAGAGCTCAAGGGTGCCACTCACTGGAGTGGAAGAGGTCCTTGACCACTCGCTCCATGACACTGGGCGGCGGGATGGTCATGTTGTTGCGCCGCGCAAAGTTCTGAGCTGTGATGGGGGAGAAAGAGATGTGGAGCAACAAGACGAGGCAGGGGAAAGAGAGAGAAGAGAACGGGGACGAGATGTGAGGAGCAGAGAAGAGTAAGGAGAGAAGGAGATGCACGATATGAACACCTCCATAAGCAATGGACTTTCCACGGGTACACCAGCCAGCAGCTCGACAGTAATGAATAACAAGATATACTCATATACACCACATACCCGCTATAAAGTCTTCCATGTACTGGCCTGTGGTGGACACCACGTACGCCCCCAGCAGTGCATGCAGCCGTCCAGCAAAGCCCTGAGGGGGGTCGTCACTGTCAAAGTCAGTCCTGCAGGGAGCAGAGGGGAGGTGTGGGAAAAAGAGTGAAAGAGAGGATAGGTGAAGGAAGCAACAGGTGGTTCAAGGGGAGACGTCTTGCCTGCTGGGAGTGAAGGGAGATGCCTCAACTAGAGGGGAACAGCAGTGCCCTCACCTGGTGGGGGCGAGCAGTGCGCGCAGCAGCCACTCATCCGCGGTAGTGGCATCGAGCTGCTCCATCTGGGCCATGCCTGACGAACTACTCGCCCTGAGCTCCTTCCACGTGGCCACCAGCTCAAACCCCTTCACCGGATCGTCCACCGAGTGCCACACACTCCACGCCATGCCCTCGTCCCACGCCCTCTCCTGCCCCCAGAACTCGTCCTCCTCCTCCACCCCTGCGCCTGCGCCCTCCTCGCTCCCCGCGCCTGCGCCTGCTTCTGCTGGGCGGGTCTTGGAGGGCGGGGGCGCGTCCGGGGAGCCCCAGTAGCGGAGGCGGTAGCGGATGCGCATGGCCACGGTGACGTCAGGGGACACTGATGCTACGGTGCTGGGGAGCTCTGCTATCTGCATGTGTGTAAGGGAGGGTGGGGTGGGGGGAAGGGGAGGGAGGCATGGGGAGAGGGGAGGAGGCGGAGGGGAGGAGGTGGAGAGGGAAGGGAAGAAGGGCGAAAGGGAGGAGGGAAAGAGGGGGAGTGACACGGATGAATGGGGAGCCCCAGTAGAGGAGGCGATAGCGGATGCGCATGGCCACGGTGACGTCAGGGGACACCGACGCTACGGTGCTGGGGAGCTCTGCTATCTGCTCGTGAGTGTGGGGGAGGTGAGGGGAGGGGTGGGGAGAGAGAGAAGGGAGGGATGGAAGGGAGTGAATGGGGAGCCCCAGTAGCGGAGGCGGTAGCGGATGCGCATGGCCACGGTCACGTCAGGGGCATCAGTGTTCGCGTGTGGGGGAAAGAGGGAATGGTTTGATCGTTGGGGAGTCTTAGTGGCCCAGGCGGGCAGTAGCACTTGCGTCAGGGAAAAGACAGAAAGACAGCAAGAGAGAAAGACATCAGCATCAACAGCTTCGGAGCACGCATGTCTCACCAGCTTGAACGCAAAGAGGTAGGTAGTACAGACAGCAGGTTCTGTGGAACGTTGCTGGTGATGCGATCCGCAATAAATAGTCCCCCATGCCCCCCGCGCCCACCCATGCCTTACCAGCATAAATGCGAAGAGGTAATAAAGGCCATCAAGAGACAGCAGGTTCTGCGGCACGTTGCTGGTGATACGGTCCGCCTCGTAGTGAAACAGGTAGTCGCCCACGGCCCCCCACCCCCCCACCCGCGCCCAACCCTGTCTTACCAGCTTGAACGCAAAGAGGTAGTAAAGGCCGTCGAGAGACAGCAGGTTCTGAGGCACGTTGCTGGTGATGCGGTCCGCCTCGTAGTGAAACAGGTAGTCGCCCACGCCCCCCGCGCCCACCCCTCCCACCGTGCCTCCTCCCGCGCCCGGACCTGACCGCATGCCTCGGCCCGAGCCTGAGCCCGCACCAGTGCGGGTGGCTCGGGGACCGTGCTGGAAGCCAATGAAGGCCTTGCGGGAGGGGTCGTGTACCGGGACGAAGGATGGCAGGGAGCTGGGGGCGGGAAAGGAGAGAGGGGGGAGGGGAGGAGGAAAGAGGCGGAAGATGACGTGAAGGGGAGCGGGAGGAGAAGAGAAGGGCGTGCAGGGGTTCAGCAGAGGTGCAGGCAATGGATGACGAGAATGCAATGCAACAGCCTCAAGAATTTTGAGTCCGTATGCTGCTCATGCGCTACGCCAGAAGACGTGCTTGACTACTCAAACCCCTTTAGCACCATAGGAAGTGTCACGGGTGGTTACCACTCGGTGTTACACGAGGCGATGGCGAGCGTGCTAAGGAGCATGGAGGCTTCAGGCGAGTCCAGCACAACCCCAGATGCTGTCACGGGTGCCAGCACCTGTGAACGAGAGAAATTGAGTAAAGGGGGGAAGAAGTGAGCAAGGTGAGAGGACGAACCAGGCTGCACGAGTACAAGATCCTCAGCAACAGCTAACCATAGCTTGTACTAAGACTCTCAGAGCATCACCAGCAGCAGGTCGCTCACTCCATAACCTTGTGGATGCCAACCAGAGCTCAAACATTCCGAGCCTAGAGCATAGCAACGGCAGCTCACCACAAACTCTTGGATGCCGAACCAGAGCTGCAGCGGGTGCACGGCCTTCTCCCAGGGGCTGGGGCGGCCCGTGGCGGAGATGGACGCAATGCGCTTCAGTGCTGCTGCTGTCTCCGCCGCCACCGTCGGATGCACGCTGTTGCTGCTCGCCAGTGACACCTGGTGGTCACGGGGGTTAGATAAATCATAAAGGCGACAGCGGGGATACGCATGCTCAGCGGCATGCGCAATGGCATGCTCAATGGCATGCTCAATGGCATGCTCAATGGCATGCTCAGCGACGCACATGCATGCCTAGCGATGCCCCTGGATATTACGAGGTGGAAAATGTTATGCCCCTGAGCACAGTGAGTGTAGAGTAAGAAACAAGAAACCAAGCGCTTCCTGTGGGAGGCACTGACCTGGAAGTAGTAGGTGAGGCGGTAGTTCTTGTGGCCCTGCGCGTGCTCCGCCTCCACATACACCATCAGCGGCATTCCCTCCACTGGCCGCGCTGCTCCTGACTGCTCGGGGGGGGAAATTGGGGAAGAAGGGGTGGAAAGAGGAGGGTGAGGCACAAGGTAGTCATAATGTGCCATAACTGGCAGAACAGTTAGCCGCTAGATGTTGCCGCTTCACGTAATTAGTTTCACCGACGCACAACGGGCGTAGGCTTAGACGAAGGCATCAGATGGTAAGTGTAGGAAGTATTAGTTTGTGTACAGGCATTAGATTGTAAGTGTAGACGTAAAACTGTGTGGAGGTATCAGAGTGCAAGTACCTGCACGAGGGCCGCAGAGCCTTCCGACAGCCACTGGCGCAGACTGCCTTCCACTGCAGCGATGAACCTGGACACGCGTGGAGAGAATCGGATATGAGGAATACCGTAGAGCGTAAAGCGTACAGAGGATGCGCGTATAACGTACAGAATATGGCAGAGGACAAGGTGCAATTACGTGCAAGCAGGCGCGCAAGCACACGGTGCTGTGGGGTGATGAACGGTGATGCGCTGCGAGTTGAATTGTGCTAGCAGCGAACGTGCGAGGACTGCACGAGTGGCACGCACCTCTCCCATGGTGAAGCCAACGTGAAGTCATCAAACCCATCGAGCTGTCGACCGTGATTGGACAAGTAAAACACACGTGCGCGCACACACACAGACACACAGACAAGAGAGAGAGAGTGGAGTAGTTTTTGCAGATGCAATCCGGTTCAGAATGGTCTGGTGAGATTCATTCACATGTGATCCTCTCCAATACATAGAAATTACCGGAACAGGCAACACGGGTAATTCATATGCATATGCTCCTCTCCCCACGCCAGCAATCTCGTACAGAAATACCAACTATTATAAAAAAATGCTTTAAACGCTTCTTTCCATGCTCACCTCCTCGTCGAACTCGTCGTCTTCCGACGTGGCAGCTGAGAGCGATCGCTGCATCATTGCCGCCATGGTCGGACGATGTTATCTGCAGCCCGCTGACAAAAATAGACAAGTAGAGGCGACCAGAGTAGACAATGTTACCTGCAGTCCGCCAAGAGAGATACTCAATGCGACGACCGGTGTAGACAATGTCTAGCGATGTCTCCCGATTTCGCTGATTATCACAGGTCATTGGATGTAAAAGATCTAGCACAACTGCTGCAATGAAAAAACCGTGGAAAGCAACCTTCGTAACCCAATGCGAATAACAGTAACTTTCATGATGCACGCGAAAAAACTGCCTGAGTACCCTGCTGTTCCTGCGTTTACTATATCAAAGAGTGGGCGACGCTCGATAATGACAAGCGCTTTAAATGTGCGAAAATGCGGACTCGGCAAAGGAGCAACCACTCACGTATCTATCTCAAGCCAACCCTCCTGCTGCGGAATTGTACAGCCTCTGATACACACTAAGAGAGCTATTGGAGTAATTGCGACCCTTATTCCACGTTCATCTTCTCCCAACGCAACGCCAGGCAAGGCAACGCAGAAGCAGCAGCTATTCGGAACGCAGCTGCCGGCCTACTAATGCAAAATTAGTTCCAGCCAGCTCTCATAAACTGGGAGGGCAGGGCAGTGGTGAAGATGGGGGGGTGACGGTGGCAGATGATGGGTTTGGGCTTGGTGCGACATCCCCCTTATTGAGCTAGGGTCGCTCTCGAGGGTGCATGAAAGTGGTTCCTCATCACCGGGACGGAATGAGTTGTTCAATCGCTTTGCTACTAGCAGTGTACCTAACGTTAGGGCAAATATCAAAATGATGTACAGTACCTCTCTCAAGAATTTTGGCATCTTACTTTCTATGAAATCAAACTTTTCAACATGGCCCCATTGGCACATACACTTTTAGCGGATAAGACAAACACAGAACCTACCAAACCGTCTCCTTGTCTCCTTTTCACCATCGCGACCTTACCCTTGGGGGCTTCTGCTTTGCAGCTTGGTGCTCTGCAGTCCCACTTCACCATCCTGGCTTGCCAGCTCCCTCTGACTTGACTCGCCTGCACTTAACCTCCCCAAGCGATAAAACCCTCTTCTATAAAAAGACTCTGCGCCAAGGAGCCCATCTCCCTCTGCACCACCCTCTTCATGTGCCTCAGATTTGTTTATCACGAAAGAGGGATTCATATTGGCCCGTAAAGCCCATTGTGTGCTCTTTACATCCAGAGGGAAATCCACCTGAATGCTTTGACAATAAGCCTGCCTCCCCTGCTGAGCTACTCCATCCCTCCCAGATGCACTCTGAGAGTCATCAGCAATAAGTGCCACCTCAGCAGCAGGCACTTCCACCCCATCAAACGCAACAGCAGCACCATTTTCCACCATACCCGCCCCATTGGCACCTATACAAACCACCTGTTCCATCTCAAGCCCCTTTTGCTTGGCTCTCTCCTCCTCCTCTAACTGCTGCAGGGCCCTCTTGCCATGCACCATGAGCAGCAGCAGCACCACCCCTGCTGCTGCCAACCCCATCAGCTCGTACACCAGCTCCACCGCTGTGATGTGCCTCTTGTGGGCCTCCGCCAGATCACTGATCAGCCGACCACTGCAGCAGAGGAAGAAACGAAAATGGATTTAAAAAACGGTTTGAATGAGAGAAGTAGCTTATCATTATTCCAGCCCCACAACTCCAGCTACACCACTCCACTGTAGGTCCAATGGTTATATGGAGATGACAGGGAAGGCAGCTAAGGGCCAGCTTTCCAAAGTAATCCACCAGCCTTGCCACATTAAAGAGCTACTAACACAAGCAGGATAGATTATTAAACGCGGCTCGAGAACAATGGAATGTGACAAGAACCGCGTCATTGCATGTGTGTGGCAGACGCACCAGTAGATGGTGAAGAAGGCTTCGGGAATCATGGCAGTCATCGATGCGCTGATGTAGGGCGCGTACTGGATGCGAGTGGCCGTTACAGCGTCTGAAAAGGATCAGAGGAACAGAGAGGTGGAGGCATTGGGAAGGACTCAACACAAAAGCCACAGAAACCAGAGCTTGTCTCCAACGGAAGTAACACCCTAACAACCCCGATGCACCCACGCGAGGAGGGGTAGAAATCTGAACAGCAATCGCGGGTCTACTCACAATTGAAGAGGAGGAACGGAAACGGGGAGAAGCGTAGCAGCAACGTGACCCGGTACTGATGCCACCAGCCGCCGGCCTCAGCCAATCGCAGTACAGCAGCGTTTCGTGGGTGCTCAGCCAACCACGCTTGCACACGCGCGTGGAACAGCCAGTGGCCAATGAAATACGGCAGAGATTGACCGATAAAGGAGCCAACCATAATGAGGATGAAACCCCAAGCGTAACCGAAGACAATCCCAATAAGCCACATGGACGGTCCTGTGGGGAGGAGAACTACAGTGAAGAGACCCATACTGGCAACAGCTGCGACGCCAAGGACTGGGGGGCTTAGATTCTTCTGCTCCCATTCTAGCATAGGTATGATGACGTGGGAGAAGATTAAAGGGCCCAACACGGCCACGAGACCTCCAACCAGCATGAGTAATCCGACGGCGGCCGCCACCCAGATGCATCGGTGTGCATGCAGGCGTGATCTGGACCGTTCATTCACCGTGACAGCCTGTGAATCCAAAGCCTCGATCTGGGATAATTTCTCCCTCGCGCGTTCCTCTAAACACGACGATGTCTCAAGATTCGAAGGCGTTCGCGAGACTGTTGACGACACAGTAGGCTCCCGGGTAGATGCTGACGTGGCAAGATTTTCGCGGGTAAGAAGAGTTGCGGCTTCGTGATGGCGGCAGGCGCTGCGTGCTATCGTGCTGTCGCATGCTCTAGACGGCTCGCAGAGAGTCGCCGATTCGCAGGACTCGCGCACAGTCGCCGATTCGCATGACAACTCAGTGTAGGGATCTGGAATAACGACGTCCGAAGGCGACCCTTCTGCGACGAGAAATCGTTCGACACAGCCCACTTCTCGTTGTCGACGGTCTACCATCGTATCAAGAAAAACTTAGGTTGTTGTTTAGTTGTGAAAACAAAATTGTTATGAAACGCATTACCTACAACCTACACAGATGTACGGCACAGCGTGCAACCTTCAGATGCATCGTGTGAAGCTATCTTATCGTACACTGGAATTCCCGCTAAAACATCTTTGTCATGACACTACAGATGTTCTGGCTTAGAAGCCCTTCCTAAAAGAGTTCCATTTCCTCAACGAGTAGATTTTTCACATAGTCCTAGGTGTATCCCCTCCTCTACAGTCCCATGTTTGGCGGGAATTCTTGCATCTTGACTGAATCATTGCACGAATCAGTTCCGCAGCCAATCAGAGAACGCAAATCGAACCTGTCAGAACATTTAGAGAGACTAGAACGAAAGGAAGTTTTGATTCAATATTTCTTTTTTTGCATTGTGGTTGTCTGTTTATCTTGACCGCTCTTGTGTCGAAATCCTGTTGCGCGGTTCCCCGCGAGCTCCGACGATGCCACCTCATTAATCTCGCTTTCGGCCTTAAAAATAATTTATTTTGTATTTTTCTGCCTGTTTGTCCTGCGACACTGATCAACGCGGCGAACCGTGCGACCAGAAGTTGAAGACAGCGTAGTCCGAATGTACGTATGTGCCGGAAAAACACGAATACTAGCGAAGAAAAATCTCTCTTCATGCAATTGTTCTTATATAAGTTCCCTTTTGCCCGGGGTTTGTGAGTTTTCCACAAAGGTCCGCAGCGCGCGTGTTTTTCACGTGGACTCTAATCGAGAACATCTGTACTGGGACCCTGAATAGCTAGCTTCTCAGGTACGCAAACGTGAAGTAGAATCCACCGACTTGTTACGGGTGCAATGAATCGAGGTAGCGAGAATTGCACTAAGGTGTCAAACGAGTACAAAATGTGAGCGAAGGCATGAGCGAACATTTATACGCGAAACATGCAAAACGGTAACGCGGTGCGTGCGAACTTGCTAGTGCTACGCTGGAGCGAGGCTCGGGCTAGTCCCGAAGCGTAGGCCGATACGGCCATGCCAGCAGTGCGAGGTTTGGCAAAACAGTGCGCGCGAAGTCGGCGAAGTTCCGTTAGCAGTAACGGGCGAATAATCGGCTGTTGCTGTACGCGATGTAGTCGGCTCCGTAAGGAATGCCGAGAAAATTCCTTACACTACCCCCCCCCTTAAGAAGCCCCCTCCGCTACGCGAGTGCGTGTATATCGCGGAATCCCCGGCTTCTCAGGTACACTTGCAGGGCAGGGTGATTTTCGATGTTGCTCAGGGGCACCCAGCTATCTTCAGTTGGCGTGCGGTCTTTCCAGCGAACGAGGAATTCAATCCTCCTGATCCCCGTGGGGTGGCGGATCCGATGGCTCAAGATTTTTTCAGGCTCGATGATCGGCTCTGATGCAGGGCGAGTCATTGATTGTGGCCGGTGACGCGGCAGTTGACTCGTGGTCGGGATGTATGGGCGAAGTAGGCTGACGTGGAACGAAGGGCTGATGTACCAGTCAATTGGCAACAGTAGGTGCGCGGTGACGGGTGTGATCATGTGACTGATTTGGAATGGTCCACAGTAGCGCGGTCGTAATTTTGGTACGTCGGGCAGTCGCAGATTTTGCGTGTCGAGCAGCACGTAATCTCCAGATTGGTACGTGACAGGGCGGCGGTGGCGATCAGCGTTGCGCTTAGCGATGACGTTGGCCTTTTTTATTGCTTCGGCGGCTCTGGCGCGGGCAGCTTGCAGGATTTCGGCGAATTGTTGTGCACGTGGCGTTGGGTTGTCCGGACTCGGCGTCATGGGCACTGTGGGGTTTTGCCCATAGTTCAGGTAGAACGGGGACTGCTGCGTCGTGGCTGATGTGGCGTTGTTGTACGCGAACTCGATCAGCGGCAACTGCTGCTCCCAGGTCGTGGGGTCGTCGCACGTGGCACGAATCAACTGCTCCATCGTCTGATTCGTCCGCTCCGTTTGGCCGTCGGTCTCGGGGTGGTACGACGAACTGAACTGTAGCCTGGTCCCGAACTGCTCCCAGAGGTTCTTCCAGAAGTTGCTGGTAAACTTCGTGTCCCTGTCGCTGATAATTGCTGCTGGTATCCCGTGCAGGCGAACAACGGCTGCGATGAACAGGCGAGCGGTCTCTTCGGCTGAGATCGACTTTTTGCACGCAGCGAAGTGTGCCATCTTCGTCAACCTATCCACCACGACCATCACCGCGTCGTTACCCCCAGGGTTCGAAGGTAACCCTGTGACGAAGTCCATGGTTACTTGCTGCCAGGCGCGTTCGGGCGGTGGGATCGGCTGCAATTGACCCGCCTTCCGCTTCCTTGAACTCTTCGTCACCTGACACGTCGGGCACGAGCCCACGTGCTGCTGTACGTCGGTCAACAGCTCCGGCCAGTAATAGTACCGCTGCAGTTGCTGTCGTGTTTTTTCTACCCCGAAATGTCCCGAGGTAATCCCGTCGTATGCCTCCTGCAGCAGCAACTCCCTCAGTAGTGAGTACGCGGGTACCCAAATGCGGTTGGTGCCTGTTTTTACGTAATAAACTCCTTTTGCTTCTGCCAGTTGCTGTGAATTTCCGGTCGTGAAAAATGGGTCGGTGCGGTATCCGTGGGTGAATAGGCCAGTTAAAAGCGGGTTGGTCTGGGCGAGTAGGATGGCATGGAGTTGGGCGGTGGGGCGGGTGAGAGCGTCGGCGATGTTGGATGCTCCTTTTTTGTACGTGACGGTGTAGTGAAAATTGGACTCGAGATAGTCCAACCAGCGAATCTGTCGTGGGTTGAGATTCGGTTGGGCGCGAAGATACTGTAGCGAGCGGTGGTCTGTCCGTACTGTCACGTCGGCGCCAGTCAGGTAACATCGCCAAACTTTGAACGCGTGCACGATCGCTAGCATCTCGCGGTCGTGTATCGGGTAGTTACGTTCGGGCGGGTGTAACTTGCGAGACTCGTACGCGATTGGCTGAAGGCCGTTCCCGAAATCCTGCAACAGTACTACTCCCACAGCGATGTCACTTGCGTCGGTGACGAGCTCGAACGGACGGTGGGGATCTCCAATGTGAAGGACGGGCGGGGAGCACAAAATATTTTTGAGGGCCGAGAAGGCAGCTTGCTCTTTCTCCCCCCACGTGTACTCAACCCCCTTCCTCAGCAGGTCAGTCAACGGGGCAGTCAGCTTCGCCATGCCGGGGACGAACCGGCGCACGTAGTTGACGAACCCCAGGAAACTCTGCAACTCGGTCAAGTTGGTCGGCGCGTGCCAAGCCTGAATCGTCGCAATTTTCTTCGGGTCTATTTCCACTCCTGCAGCTGAAATAACATGTCCCAAAAACTCCAGGCGGTCATGTAAAAACTCACACTTAGATGCTTTGGTCAGTAGGCGGTTCTCACTCAGGATTTTAAAAACTGCTTCGATGTCTTGTAAGTGCTGTGCTCTGTCAGGGCTGTAAATCAGTATGTCGTCCAGATAAACGATGACGCACTTATCTAAAAGCGGGCGGAATGCTTCGTTCATGGTCATTTGGAAAGTGGCGGGGGCGTTGGTCAATCCGAATGGCATGACGGTGTATTCGAAGGATCCGTAGCGTGTCCGGAATGCGGTTTTAGGGCAGTCGGGTGGATTAACGCGGATTTGGTGGTAGCCTCCCCGGAGGTCAATTTTCGAGAAAACCCGGGCTGTGCGCAGTTGGTCGATCAGTTCGTCGGCTCGTGGGATGGGGTAACGGGATTTGATGGTAACCCTGTTCAGTGCCCTGTAGTCAATACACATGCGAAAACCCCCGTCTTTTTTCGGTGTGAACAGTATGGGTGCGGCGAAGGGCGACGAACTAGGGCGGATGAATTCCTTCTCGAGCAGGTAATCGAGCTGCTTCCTCAGTTCGTCTAGTTCTGGTTGGGTCAGTCGGAATTGTCGCTGTACTGTTGGCTGTGCCCCCGGTTCCAGTTCTATCCTGTGATCGTGCGGTCGCTGAGGTGGCAGTCCCGTCGGCAGGTCGTCCGAGAAAATGTCACTGTACTGTTTTAACAGTGCCGCCAGGTCACTCGGTACGTCGGTCAGCAGTTTCTGTAAATCGCCCCCCTTGTCTGCTGCCTCGGCTTCCCGAATGTCAACCGCGTACACGTCAGCTCCGGCCGCTACAGCGCGTTTCATCGCGATCGCATTGACACGCACCGACGAAGACTCAGGCGAGCCCCAGCGAGGTAAGGCGATGCTGTTACCGTTCACTCGCACGGTGCAGTCACCCGTCGTCCAGTCAATTCGCGGGTTGTGTCGTCGCAGCCAATCACGCCCGAGTAAAATGTCGGTTCCGTCGAGGGTCGTTGCGAGCATTTCCTGACTAAACGTGAAGTTACCCCCGCATCGAATCCGAACTCGGTCTACGCGTTCCCGTATTGCCAGCGGCGTGCCGTCTACCAGTCGTGCGTCGATCTCAGGTAAGCATCGGTCCAGTGGCAGTCGCAGTTTTCGTGCTGTAGCAGTGTTAATAAGGCTGTGGCTGGCTCCCCCGTCTACGAAGATTTTAACTAAGTCCGTCCCAATTTTCCCACTGAGCAGTATAGGGCTGTCTACCGTGGTACCCTCCTTATTCGGCCGGGTGTGGTCGATTGCGTGAACCGGCACAATCACTCGGTGAGGGTCGGTTGGGTCCGGCGAGCGGCGTGACCTGTCAGTAGAGGGCCCGTCTGCTACTGACTTCCAGCGTTTCCCTGCTGCTTGGTCTGTGTCTGCTGCTCAGCTTCCCCCTTTCCCTTAGCGTTTTCCGGGCATTCGCTCTTGCGATGTCCCGGCCGATTGCACGCAAAGCGGCGCCCTTTGAATGGTGCGGCAGCGGCATTTGCGGCGACGGCGCGTATCGTGGCGCTCTCGTTCGTCCCACGAGGCCGATGTCCCCAGGTGTTGTTTCCGTAGGACCCCGGTCTCGGTCGGCGAAAGAAGTCGAGCTTCTCCGCCATAGCGAGAATTTCCTGAAATTCGGTGACGCCGCGAAGCTGGATTTCCTGAGCGATGTCCTGCTTCAGGCCGCCGATGTAGCGGTCGATGCGTTCGCTCTCATGCATGTAGCCCACTTGCTCGCATAGCGCCAGGAATCCGCTCGTGTAATCCTGGACGGAACCGAGTTGGCGCCAAGTGCGGAGCTTCTGTCGCGCCGAGATCGAAGCCGCGATTGGCTCAAATCGAGCGCGCAGACCTGCGCACCACGCGTCCCACGTGCGATACTGGGGCACCTCCACGAAATACGACGGCGCCCAAGGTCCGGTTTGTCCTTCCCGTGTCGGTAGTGTCGCGTAGTCGGTTGGCTTCGTGACGATGACGCGCCACCAGTCCATGGCGGGTCCTCGCAGCAACGACACGGCGTATCGGATCTTCGCCGAGTCCTCCGAGACGTAGTTGGCGTCGAAGAAAACATTCATTGTGAATAACCACGCCTGAACGGTAGGACCACCCCGTTGACTCGGGTCAAAGCATGGCGGGCGCTGCGGTTTCAGCGGCATCGGTGACGGCAGTCCCGAATCGTGGGTTGGTGCCGAAATCGTGACGCGAGGCTGACTTGGGGCCGCAGGCGTCGCTCTGGGGTGTGTCGTGCCGTGGTCGTCGTCTCCGTCGGGGCGGACGACGCCATCACTGGCCGCGCTCGCGGGTTGCCCCACACTCCCGTGTTGTGATGTTGAGGGTGCGGGTTGAATCGGAGTGCCAGGTGCTTGAGATTGTGCTCTCATGAGGTCATTTTGCAGTGATGAGCGTTCTGCCGTTAATGCCGCGATTTCCTCGGAGCTTTCGTGCAGTTGTCGCAGCAGCTCGTTCAAACGCTCCTGCGTGAGAGTGGTGACGTCGATATTGTCGGCCATGGCGAAGGGCGTCGGCTTGTCTTAGTCTAGGCGCAGTCGTGGCTGCACGCGTTTACGAGAGAACGCGAGGACAGCGGCTCCTAGGGGCTAAGGTGCGTGAGTCCCTTCGAGTGAAAAATCAAAAGTTGATTTCCTGGTGTGCGGAGATGCGCGGTCCGAAAGAAAGGGGCTCTGATAACAAGTGTTACGGGTGCAATGAATCGAGGTAGCGAGAATTGCACTAAGGTGTCAAACGAGTACAAAATGTGAGCGAAGGCATGAGCGAACATTTATACGCGAAACATGCAAAACGGTAACGCGGTGCGTGCGAACTTGCTAGTGCTACGCTGGAGCGAGGCTCGGGCTAGTCCCGAAGCGTAGGCCGATACGGCCATGCCAGCAGTGCGAGGTTTGGCAAAACAGTGCGCGCGAAGTCGGCGAAGTTCCGTTAGCAGTAACGAGCGAATAATCGGCTGTTGCTGTATGCGATGTAGTCGGCTCCGTAAGGAATGCCGAGAAAATTCCTTACACGACTACAGAAGCTATCACATCTGCCGAGAAGTAGACACATGATGGGGCGAGCGAGGAAGCAGGCTTCCAGCAAGATTGAGTGAGCAGCAGTGGGATTGTCACACCATCACTCCATCATCCAGCCGTCCATCTGTGCTCGACGAATTTCTCGCGCCTTCGCGACATTCCCACCGACCTCCGCGAGCCACTGGTCTGCATCTGTGACTCTGGTAACTCGTCGCTCGTATGCGAGGAAGCATGAAACGGTGTGGTGGAAGTACAAAGTGATTCTGTACCAAGGAAACAGAATAACCATGGTATTAGACAGAGAACGCAACACTTATGCCACTTTCTATGTCACTAATTCTTATCTAACATGCTATACATGTCGGATCTATGTATATTAGATGATGCCACATGATTTTAGAGCAAAAATTAGCAAAAATCGTATATGCAACTGATGATAGTCGATATGTATGGTATGTGCGTATGTAATGTTACTCAAATGTAATGTGTAGGTCTATTTCCCCTTAGTGTTCACCGTAAACGAGCAATGACGGAACTGCGAGAATATTACCACAACAATCATTCGTTGGCGCGCATCACGCCTCCTTTCCTTTCATGATTGCTGCACTCTTCTGACTGTGACCCCATCAACTTTCCCCTCCAAACCCCCAACACCCCCTCGTAACCCGTTCTATTTTTTCCCCATACCTGATCCCCTTTCCCGAACCGAGCCAAACCTCTCGTACGCCCCTAAGGCCAACCTCCTCTGAAGGCGGAGGTTGCCGTACCTCTTCCCCGAATTCGAGCTGTTGGATGAATGTTGTTCATTCCTGCCCACCACATCCAGACCGCGGCATTCCAGCGTCGCGGTCCCGTCTGTGGTCTAGGCGGTTCGTCAAGCCTGCCAAGGGAGGCATTTTTTGCGCGCCTCGGCCGACATTGATGTCAGTGCACTCGGCAAAGGAGAGGAGGGAGGGAGGGGAGAGGAGCGAGGGAGGGGAGAGGAGCAGGAGGGAGGAGGGGAGGGAGGGCAGGAAGGGGTGTGAAAGGTCAAGGGTATGCCTTTCTCTGATTTCTCATGGAAGCGATTCAGCTTGAATGCTTCTTCTCTCCTTGCTTGCCGTTTCGCCTCGCTCACTGAAAGAAAGCAACCTCCATCCTCGTTCCAAAGCTGGGCGTCAGTTGCGGTTGGCGCTGCTCTGCTCTCCCGCCGCACCCTCCACTTTATATCCCGTTTCGCCGTCCATAGATAACGCATCATCGTAATTCGGCTGGAGCTTTGCTACTGTTACTGCCCTTTTTGTCTCAACGTTTATCGAATTCAACTCAGATTCAACGCATGCCTTGTCAGTATCGACAATTTCCGTGAACCATCCGTTTGCAAACGAGCTTACGAGCTTACCGCAAACACCGCCGTCAACTTCTCCTTGCTCGATAGCCCGTCTCGTTAGTTCGCTTTTTTCCCTTCCCCTCGGCTGTTTATTCTCGCTATGGAAGGCGATTTGACCATTTCTCGATTCCACCTTGGTGACGGTAGTGCCAACAGATTTCCTCGCAGCTGATTATGCTACGGTTGAGCAAAGCACGCGTTGCGAGTTCATCAAAGTCCGTCAGCCGTAGTAGTACCCGTGAGATTCCTTGCAGCCGCATTCGAAACGAAGGGTTCCGTATACACCAGAACCGGCCGTAATACCCGTGAGGTTCCTTGGACACGTGATTCAGGCGAGTCGCGAATTCATTGGAATTGACCGTTTTTGCCCGTGAGGCCCGCTGCGCTTTTCGCGTGGTTACAGCTACTGCACTTTTTCCGAGATTCCGGGCCTTAGATATTTTCTCAGCCACACGCTCGACGCACCGAAGCACTCAGCCTTATCACGAGAAGTTTCGCGTCGTCATCGTCGTCGATTGAATTTCAGCTCGCCTGCATTTTCCGTCCAGTAGTCTGCTGAACGTACCTTATCCGTAAATATTTTCAATCCACACAACATTCACCTCCATACACTTGTCGTCTGAGCCAAGTCGTAACGGCTGTGCGTTAGGCTGCTTCAGCCGGTCGTCTGCAGCTCACAGCTCGCCGTCAGCCCTAGTAAGGACCGCCGCCAGAACACCCGAAGCGCGGTCGAACAGCTAAAGGAGAGTCCCCACACCTGTGCGCCCTTGGATCCCCATTCGTATGTAGAGCCTCCAAAGACCTTCGTACAAGTCCTGAATCCCACTCTTATTGTAGATTCTTGCCTTTCGTAAGAGCCTGAGTGAGCTCGAGTGATCGCATTTGGCGTCCCATCTTCAAAGCGAGACGACGGATACTCGCCTTCCAACATTCGAGCCAATCCGTCACTAGGTCACGTCCACGTTCCTCTCCTCAGCATCTCACGTCCGCCCTTTCACTCGACACTTCAAACCAACACAAACTCTCAACAGTTGCCGTGGCATCCGGACGAATCAGCGCCATGGCCCCGCCAACGTCACAAACGTGCGCGCCCCCACGGCACACAAACTGTTCCCCGTCCAGTCGACTCTACACCCCCACGCTCTCGTCACTTGCAAAGTCGCGCGCGAACGGCCCGTCGGAGGCGAAAGGGCTGGAGCGGATGCCCGCGTCGCCGAATGCGTCGTCGTCGTCGCCCGTGCGACGCCGAGGTTCCGCCTCCCCATTCTCGCACGGTCCGCAATATCTGTCTCCGCCAAACAGCCCTCCCGCGTCCCCCCGCCGTCTCAGCTCCCCCAGTTCCCCTCGGCGGCTCAGCCCCCCCGGCTCCCCCAACCGCCTGGGAAGCAGAACCCAACCGCCTCTCAGCTCCCCCGCTTCCCTTGGTTGGGGCGAGCGGAGCGCGCCGTCTACCCGGCGCAACTCTCAGCCCGGCGGCGCCCCCGAGAGCGCAGATTCGGCGGAGAGCCTAGCGATGCGCTTGCGGCGGCAGGTGCAGGAACAGCAGCGGCAGCGGCAGGAGCGGCGGCAGCAGCAGCAGCAGCGAAGGGTCCTGGAAGAGCAGCAGAGGCGTTCGGACGAGCGGTCGGATTGGTCAGGCTCACCGCGAATCACGCTCATGGCGGTCGGAAGACAAGAGCCGCTCGTTTCCCGGCGAATGGAGAAAACGGCGGAGCTGACGGCGCAACTGACGGAGCTTCGTCAGATGACGGTCGAGCTGCCGGAGGAAACGGAGTCTGACGATTCAAGCTCCGTCAACGACTGTGGTTCCGTGAACGAGGCGTCGTCGGGGAATGGCGAGTGGGAGTCGGACGACGCGGACAGTCTCTCGCGCGTGAAGCATCTCCGTTATAAGCTTGCTGCGAGCCCCGTTTCTGTGCTGGACCTCAGGCAGCAGGTGACGAGCTTAAAAAAACGAGGCGAGGAATATGACTCGGATGCAGTGACAACGACAAGCAGCGGAAGCAGCGGAGAGCTGGACCCATCGTTGGTGCTCCAGGACTTGTTCACTGGCAGCAGTAAAACTGCAGCAAATCCGTCTTCATCCCCTTCCCGTTCCTCCTCCGCTTCCTCCTCCCTCTCCTCTCTCTCCTCTCTCTCCTCTGTCCCCTCCCCTACCATCCTCTCTCCCTTCTCCCCATTAACTGAAGCTAGAAATATGCTTCCTCCTCCTGCTCTTTCCTCCCTCCCTCTCCCTCTTTCCTCTTTATCTCCGCCTCTCCATTCCTCTTCTCTCTCTCCTCCCTCTCCTTCTCCTCCTCCTCGCTCGCCGTGCCCTGTGGAATCTCTGGCTCTTCTGGACCTATCCAGCACGCAATCTGTTCTAGCTGACGTGGCAGCAAACGTGGGGCTCGCTGACGTGGCGGGGATCGAGCAGGACCTGGAGTACGTTCGCCACGTGTTGCTGCTGTCCGGGTTTGCAGGTGAATCCCTCCCTCCCCGCCGCGACATCCCATCCCTCAGGCTCCCCGTGCGTCGAGAGGTGTTCGAACAGCTTGAGAAGGAGATAACAGGAGAAACTAGCAGCAGCAGCAGCTGTCAAGACAGTGAGGTCGGCAGTCAAGGCAGCAACGGTGGCAGCAGCAGCAGCGACACGAGGTGCACGAAGGGCTCGGAGGAGCGCCGGCAGCGCATGCTGCTGTTCGATGCTATCAATGAGGCCATCGGCCGCACACTCGCTCCGTTCCTCAACCCGCTGCAATGGGACCTTGACACGTGTCCTTCCTCTGCCGCTCGGCCAGTCTCGCTCCGGAAGCTGCACCCGCGACCAGTGGGGAAAGATCTTCTGAAGAGAATCTGGGTGGAGATTCATGATTGGCCGATTCCACCGTCACCCGACGTGTATGATGTGCTTGATGACGCAGCGAGGAGGGATATGCAGAAAGGCGTGGATCGGTGGTCGCAGGAAGAGATACGAGACTCTGAGGCTGCTACAGTGGCGTTTGATTTGGAGGAGATGATTCTAGACGCTCTTGTTGAGACTGCTTGTAAGGAGTACAGCGAGGTGGAGAGGGAACGGGTGGAGAGGAGGCGAGTGCGGGAGCTGCAGAGGAAAGCGGCCTGGGAGGAACAGGAGAGGGAGAGGCGAAGGTGGAGCATTGGAGGGAGGGCCTGTGCGGCTGGAAGTGAGGTGCCTAGCAATGTCTTTGGGAGGACACTGATCGGGTATGGTAGTGCTGGGAGGATGGGAAGGGCAGCGACCCCACAGAGAGGAGGTGCAAGGTCCAGTAGCAGTGAGAGGGCGGCTGGGAAGGGTGTGGGGTTGCATGGAGTGGATAGGGCCCCTGCCAGGCCCACCACTCCCGTGAGGGCTGTCACTCCTGGGCGGGGCGTGAGGGCAATTGGAGTAGGGAAGGTAGGTCAGAGGCCTGTTGGAGGGGTGGTTGGTGGGGATGTGGATAGGAGGTGGAGAAACTAATACCGGTATGGGCGAGGTTTCACTCGAGCCTTGCTTGACTTGACAGAATGAATGGCTCTGAACCTACATGATATACTGTATATTACTACCATATACATCAGTGGAGCTGCCTCGGCTCTACCTGTGACCTTTTTCTTTATCTATTACTGTTATTTTTTACAAAGATGTGAGAGCACCTGCTGTCTATCTATTGTCACCTGAAGTCGTCTATATTGAAAAAGCCCCCCAACAACAAGGCTACCTAATAGGAGTAATGGCCACACAGTACTATATCCACCCTGAACAAAGCATACTACAGTAGCAATAATGCTTCCACAACTACGCAACCACAGTTGCAGCTGCTGGTGCTGCCGATGTTGCAGAGTCCTTTGAGCCTGATGGTACAGAGTCGCCATTCCCCACTGCAGGCGCGGATGATGATGGAGCCTCCACCTGTTCCTCATCAATAACTTCCTCGTCAGAATCTTCAGCATCGTCTGCTTCAGACGAAGCACCGGCAGCAGCAGCAGCATCCAATGTAGCATCTGCGGCACTAGAACCAGGAGGATTGTCGGATGGGTTGTCTGAGAGATTGGGTGCTTCTGCTGCAGGAGCCGCACTATCAGGGTCGTCCAGTGCTGCTACCTGGCCAGCTAGAAGCGCATAATACGCCTCCTCTTCCCGGCGCAGCTGAATCTCTGCTTCTATCATCCTCTGCTCGTCCATATCAACCAGGCTAGCAGCGTACGCCTCCTGTTCCTGGATCCTTCTGATCTCCTCTTCAATTGCCCTCTGCTCCTCTTCGTTGGACAGGTCTACAGCAGAGGAGGACGTGTGGTCATGCATTTCGGCTTCTGCTTCGGCTGTGGATCGCGCAGGCGTAACAGGAAGAGCAGCAGCACATGCATCCTTCTTTCCTCTTTTTGCCTTAATCTCTGCCTCAATCGCCTTCTGATCTTCCTGTTAGGTACCCAGGTAAGTGGGCAAAAGACAAGAGAGTTGGAGGTAAGCAGATGACAAATTGCATAACGGCCACAGTGGGGGATAGGTGTAAGGGCAGGAGGGGGTGGTGAAAATTGACAAAAAACAGCTTTACACAGTGGACTCCAATAGATGGACCAAATAGATTATGGCCAGGGCAAGCAACTTCTTTACTGGAACTTAATGAGCTGGATACTTATAGCCACAACAGCCATAGGCATTGCCACAGCCACAGCCAAAGCCACAGCCACAGCCACAGCCACAGCCACAGCCTACCTACCTCCATGTCCATCAAAATCTCCTCAGTAGTGCGCCTGCCCCGGTACTCCACAGACGCTCCAGTAGTCACACAGAAGGGACAACTGGGAGAGATTGAGAGGTACGATAAAAAATGAACATTAGGACAGAACGAAGCAGTCCATGCTGTTGGAGGGGTGGAACACAAAAAAGGACTCACCATTCAATGCTGTGAGTAGCAGGACCCTTCACTACAAGGAAGCATTCTGGAAAACAGAAAACAAGGGAGAAGGAAGGGTAAGAAGGTAGCCAGTAATTCCAAGCCTTCTTGACATATTATCACACATTGCCTACCTGTGCACATCCCCTTCTTGCAACACTTCATCCAGTTCAGACTAGGATAGCCCTGAAAGCACGGGTCAGAACGTTACGTTTGAAGAAGACAGAGAGGGAAAACGCAACTATGAATAAACATAAATACACGCTGACGAGAGCAACGGACCCAAACCAAGGCACCAAGACAATTTAGCAGAAATTTAATGACAGATAAGGTTAATATCAGGCTGACAGGGCATCCGTTTGAGAGTGATCGCTGCATACCAGAAAGCAAATGGGACATTCGTCGAGATCGTGGCTAAGCTCATCACTCCCCACGTGGCACGGAGCTAACTTCGCGTCGAGAATCAGACGCCGGAGTTCCTCCAGGTTCACGTCTCGGTGGTGGTACAGTCCCTGAGGCCGCGTGTACTGCTCCTCCACAATCGCTTGCTGCTCCGCCATGCGATAAAATAGTTGAACAATTTTGGGAACTAATAACCGTCGTGGATTGATTGTTGATGTTGAGGGGTAAAATTCGCACGGACGTCGCACGGGAATCGCACTTAAGACGCACAAAATTCGCAGAACTTCGCTGTATGCAGCTCACGAAGCTCGAGCCATGCTATTGGCGCCTGCAAGGCTTGATCGCTACACCTCTTTGAATGATGGGAGGAAGCTGATGGGTAAGTCCCCACTGCAGTTGCTCTCGACTCGGCGAGAGATTAAACAAAGCCTCTCTGCTTCAAGACGAGGAAGAGCGTCTTGGTGGATAGGCCGACATTTCGGCTTGACACGAGGGTTTCGGAGAGACCCAGAGATGGAGCAAGCAATTCGCAGCATTGCTGCTTCCAGAATGGCGGTACGCGCTCCGCGTTCTGGGTGCATGGAGCGCGGGGCTGTCCAGGTGAGCATGAGAGCATGCAGGGCGGGTATGGAAGACTCACAGGTCTGCTGTGAAATGAGAACCATGGACAACTGCAGATGATCGGGTCAGATTCAGGAGTTCCAGGAGGTGCTGTTCAGTACGGTTTGGTAGGATATTTCTGCGCGAAGAATGGTTCTGGGAGATGAGAAAGAAAATTGGATTCCCTCTGTTATCGAACTCGGTAGGAGATGCCATTTCATATACCAAACAAATCTAGCTACACACTGAAATAACCTTGAAATCTTCGGGTTTGGCTTCTACAATACACTGCTCCTCGCATGTATTCCTCGAATTCATGACCGCCAAGGCACGAGTCGTGACCACGCAAGCACGAGCTCTCTTTTCGTACCTTGATGATCAGCTTCCTCGTTGTGACCTTGATGATATCGAACACCTAGTGACTGGCGGTACGTAGGGGGTGAGTAGAAATAGCAGTCTCAAGTTGCGCATATAGCTGGCGCAATGGTGTTTATATCGGACGTCGGAAGTTTCGAAGATAAGGTGTTTGTGGTGACGGGAGGTGCGAGCTATGCGGGCGTCAGGCTGTGCCTCGAGCTATTAAGAAGGTACGATCCTGCTTACCTGCCCTCATCCCAACCAACCGACTAGCCTCATCGGCTTTCGCTTCTACTTACAGTGTACACTTATTACTGTATCTCACTCCGAATGTGCGCTCCTGACGAATCCAGCGCATTTCAATTTCGTCCACCTTCCCGTCAATCTTTCAGGGAGGCTCGCGAAGTTCGCTGCTTCGACTTCCCTCGCTCCTCACAGCCACCTCCGCTCAAACCACCCCAAACACCACCATCCGAACCACCCAACCCCTCCTCTTCCTCTCCCTCCTCTCCTCCCTCATCCTCCCCAGACCCCACCTCCACCCTTTCCAAAAACAACCCTCTAGCCTCCTCTCCCTTCCCCCTCCACCTCCTTGCTCAAGCCACCGCCCAGCAACCCACCGGCCGTTCCCGCCTCAGGGTAATCTCAGGGGACATTCGAAACCCTAACGATCTCAACTCCGCTCTTTCAGGAGCCGACTGTGTCTTCCACATTGCATCCTTCGGCGCGTGGGGCAAAGACTCCCTTATGGAGTCACTCATTACCTCGATTAACGTGGACGGTACACTTAATCTGGTACATTGCTGCTTAAACCAAGGCGTCAAGAGCCTGATTTACACTGGGTCCACCCGAGCGGTTTTCGGAGGGCAAGCCATGGGGTACATGGGGGGGAGCAGCGAAGGCAGAAGAGGAAGCGAGAGAAGAGATGGGATGGGGGGAGGAAAGAGAGGAGGCAAGGGAGGAGGAAGGGAGGGTGATGGGGGGGGAGGGGTAGACGAGGCGAGCTGCGGCTATTACCCCATGGAGCAGCACGCAGACAGCTATGGACGGGCCGTGGGCCTCGCAGAACAAATCGTTCTCAAATCCAACATGAGGAAGCTTCTTGGAAAGGGCCGGCTGCGCACGTGTGTGCTCAGGCCTGCCAAGCTCTTTGGTCCGGGCGAGCCTTCCTTGCTCCGTCGCGTCATGGGTCTGGTTCGGACCGGTTTCCTGCGGTTCAGAATTGGAGACCAGCTGGCGCGTTCTGATTGGCTGTTCGTGGATAACCTGGTTCATGCGCAGTGTCTGGCATTCGTTGGCCTTATTCCGGACGGATCCAGCAGCGGTGCTTGCAGAGGGGTTGGCAGTGGTGGGGTTGGGGATGTAAATGGGACGGGAAAGGGCGAGAAGGATAGGAGTTGTGAGGATGGAAGCTGCAAGTCTGCCGGGCAGGCTTACTTCATAACTGATGGTATGGTTCTGAGCAGTACATGCATTTTGGATCCTTGGTTTTGAGTGTCAGACATGCGATGCCATGTGTGCTGCTCGATTTTTTTTTTTTTTTTTTTTTTTTTTTTTTTTTTTTTTTTTTTTTTTTTTTTCGCCTCTGACATCTGTGCTACTCACCTTTGTGGTTCGTACGACTAGCCTTGTCATTCAAAGGTCAGATTCAACCGATATCACGGCTCCTCCCAGTCACTCCCAGTCATTCCCAGTCACGCCAAGTCACTTCCTAGTCACCCTCAGCCCTCTCATTCCCCCTTCCTCCACGTCTACCTCGCAGATGCCCCAGTGAACGCCTTTGACTTTCTCAAGCCACTTATAGCGGCATTCGGGGGAACCCAGCCATACATCCACCTCTCACTGACCTCAGCCCTGTCGCTTGGCTGGTTCACTGAGGCTATTTACCGCCTTCTCTGCCCGCTGTTACGCGCTAACTGGTTACCACAACCGCTGATTCTTCTACCAGCCGAAGTTCATCAGGTTCGTGCCTGTGGTCGGTTTCAATGGCACTCCTTTGCTTCCATCCTCCTACTTTCTTGGTCCCTCAGGTTGCATTCTTGGAAAATTCTGCAGTTTCTGTTTCCCTGGTGGAAATTCTATTACTCCTGGTGGTTCAGAACTTGTCCCCATCCCATGACACACATATTTCTCATCGCACTCATCCTCTGCAAATACCATCATCCATCGTTCCCCACTGCCCGCCCACCACCTTATTGACTCCCCTTCAGCTGGCAGTGCACCACGTGTTCTCAACAGATAAGGCGAAAACAGACCTTGGTTACCAACCCATAGTGGACCCCCGCCATGCCATGGATGCCACGAGGGCGTATTGGAGGCGCACAGCGCAAAGAGAAGTCCCCAAGCCTCCGCTCATAGTCTGGGTGCTAGTCCCTCTGGGTCTCGCTTTGCTCTACCTGTCGGCCTTTTACCCCCGGCCGTCTCTCCCGCCGCCCGTGTGCTGGGTGCAAGACCTGGGTGTTTTTCTCTTCATGTCCCGGAGTATGCTGCAGACGGTGTGGTGGACGGCGCTTGCCATTCATTTAACCGAGGCGAGCATTGCCTGGATGGTGGCTCGGAATTCAGGAGGTTCGGGGGCAAGGGGAGCTGAGGTGGACGGGTTGGAGTGGGACGATGGGGAGGGTGGCAAAGTGGGGCCGTGGAGTGAAAGGCAGAATGCAGCAGAGTGGTTCGTGCAGACATTTCTGTTTGGGTTTTGGTCGCTACGGTTGCTGTTGCGGCGTGTCGTCTGGAGGATGGTTGATTCTGAGCAAAATCAGCAGTGACATGATCTGCCGGCTCCTAACATAAGTCTTAGAGTTAGAGCGGAATGATGGATTAGTTCAAAGGTGAGGGGAGGGGCATGTGCTGCGATCAGGTCTGGCTAACTTAGCTAGCTTGCTCAGCTGGCATGCTTTGTACAATATTTCAGCCATTGTGAATGGAGCCACTAGATTTTGGGGTTAAGTTTCCCAGGCTATCATGGAGGATATTAGTTGGAAGATAGGGTGACTGTGTTTGCACATATAATGCATTCCATTGACATGTTACGGGTGCAATGAACCGAGGTAGCGAGGATTGCACTAAGGTGTCAAGCGAGTACAAAATGTGAGCGAAGGCATGAGCGAACATTTATACGCGAAACATGCAAACGGTAACGCGGTGCATGCGAGCTAGCTAGTGCTGCGTTGGCAGCGAGGTTCGGGCTAGTCCCGAAGCGTAGGCCGACACGGCCAGGTCAGCAGTGCGAGGTTTGGTGAGACAGAACGCGCGAAGTCGGCGAAGCCCCGTTAGCAGTAACGGGCGAACAACAGCTGCTGCTGTACGCGATGTTGCAGGGCGCGCTAAGGAATGTCGAGAAAATTCCTTACACTACTCCCCCCCTCAAGAAGCCCCCTCCGCAACGCGAGTGCGTGTATATCGCGAAAACCCCGGCTCCTCAGGTACACCTGCAGGGCAGGGTGGTTTTCGATGTTGGCCAGGGGCACACAGCTATCCTCAGTTGGCGTGCGGTCCTTTCAGCGAACAAGGAATTCAGTCCTCCTAATTCCCGTGGGGTGTCGAATCCGATGGCTCATGATTTTTTCGGGCTCGATGATCGGCTCTGATGCAGGGCGAGTCATGGATGGTGGGCGGTGACGAGGCAGTTGGCTTGTGGAAGGGATGTATGGGCGAAGCAGGCTGACGTGGAATGAGGGGCTGATATACCAGTCCGTCGGCAATAGTAAATGTGTTGTCACTGGGGTAATCATGTGGCTGATTTGGAATGGTCCACAGTAACGCGGTCGTAATTTCGGTACGACGGGCAGTCTTAAGTTTTGTGTGTTGAGCAGTACGTGATCGCCTGGCTGGTACGTGACTGGGCGGCGGTGGCGGTCAGCGTTGTGCTTAGCGATGATATTTGCCTTTTTAATTGCTTCAGCGACTCTGGTGCAGAGAGCTTGCAGGATTTCGGCTAATTGTTGTGCGCGTGGCGTTGGGTTGTCCGGACTCGGCGTCATGGGCACTGTAGGGTTTTGCCCGTAGTTCAGGTAGAATGGAGACTTCTGCGTCGTCGCTGACATGGCGTTGTTGTACGCGAACTCGATCAGCGGCAGCTGCTGCTCCCAAGTTGTCGGGTCGTCGCACGTGGCACGAATCAACTGCTCCATCGTCCGATTTGTCCGCTCCGTTTGACCGTCGGTTTCGGGGTGGTACGACGAGGTGAACTGTAGCCTGGTCCCGAACTGCTCCCAGAGGTTCTTCCAGAAATTGCTGGTGAACTTCGTGTCGCGGTCGCTGATTATCGCGGCTAGTATCCCGTGCAGTCGAACGACGGTTGCGATGAACAGGCGAGCGGTTTCTTCGGCTGGGATCAATTTCTTGCACGCAGCGAAGTGTGCCATCTTCTGTCAAATGTCATATCTGCAGCAGTTTGTTTAGGCTGTAGTGGGGTAGTTACTATGGGGTACAGTAAGTTAAGGGTTTCCTACTTGTACCCAACTCTTTCCTAGTTCAATCACTCTTGTTGATTCTGACATGGTATCACGAGTCTAGGTTGCCACCTAGGACCGCTTACTACTACGGGCCCACTATTCCGCTAGAAGCGCCCTCGTGCGCCCTACCTTACGTGCGCCCTCGTGCGCCTTTCTCTGCTCGTGCGCCCTCGTGCGCCTTCTTCTGCTAGTGCGCCCTAGCGCGCCCCGCCCTTCATTCTGCCTGCGCGCCGTCTTGCAGCCCTCGCGCTGCCTCCTACTGCCCTAGGCCAGTGCGCTGCCCCTACAAGCTAGTAAGGCCCTCGAGCCGCCCCTGCACGCCCGACAGCCCCCCGAGCCGCCTCTGCAGGCCCGTCAGGCCCCCGAGCCGCCCCTGCAGGCCCGTCAGGCTCCCGAGCCGCCTCTGCAGGCCCGTCAAGCTCCCGAGCCGCCTTTGCAGGCCCGTCAGGCCCTCGCCGCCCGCGTGCAGCCTCTGCGCGACCGCGCGCCGCCCTTGCAGGCCCTTGCCGCCCGCACGCAGCCTCTGCAGGCCCGTCAGGCCAGCGCGCGACCCCGTCAGGTCGCTGTCGCGGCCCCGTCAGGCCGCAGTCGCGGCCTCGTCTTGTCACTGACGCGGCCCCACCCTGCCGCGGCCGCGGCCCAGCCTTGCCGCCGACGTGGACGCGGCTCTGCCCTGCAGTGACGCCGCCCCGCCAGCCCTGCAGCTGACGCGGCCGCGCCCTACTGCTGACGCGGCCGCGCCCTACTGCTGACGCGGCCGCGCCCTTCTGCTGACGCGGCCGCGCCCTGCTACTGACGCGGCCGCGCCCAGTTGTTGACGCGTCGTCGCCGCGTCGCCCCTGCCCGCGGCGTCGCCCCTGCCCACCGCGTCGCCCTGCCCGCGGCGTCGCCCCGGCCCGCGGCGTCGCCCCTGCCCGCCGCGTTGCCCTGCCCGCGGCGTCGCCACTGCCCGCTGCGTCGCCCTGCCCGTCGCGTCGCCCCTGCCCACAACGTCGCCCCTGCCCGCCGCGTCGCCATGCCCTACCCCGCGCCTGGCCCCTGGAGCAGCCGCCCCTGGAGCAGCCGCCTCTGCAGCAGCCGCCCCTGGAGCAGCCGCCCCTGCAGCAGCCGCCTCTGGCCCCTGGAGCAGCCGCCACTGCAGCAGCCGCCTCTGGCCCCTGGAGCAGCTACACCTGCAGCCGCCCCTGGCCCCTAGAGCGGCCACCCCTTCAGCAGCCGCCCTTGGCCCCTGGAGCAGCCGCACCTGCAGCCGCCCCTGGCCCCTAGAGCGGCCGCCCCTTCAGCAGCCGCCCCTTGCCACTGGAGCAGCCGCCACTACAGGAGCCGCCCTTAGCCCCTGGAGCAGCCGCCCCTGCAGCAGCTGCCGTCGCGGCCCGGTCCCGCCCTGCAGCAACTGCTGTGGAGCCCCGTGCCGCGGTCGCGGCCCCGCCCTGCCGCTGTAGCGGCCCCGCCCTGCCGCTGTAGCGGCCCCGCAGTCGCCCCCGTCGTGTGCCTGCCCTTCCCACCACTGGTGAGCACTGCCCTACCCGTACTGCTACTACTGCTCCTGCTGCTACTACTTCCATGGCTCCTCCTGGCGTGGCCAGATGCAGCTCCAGGGCCGTCCGTGTGTGTCCCTCACGCCCCACGAGCTTCGTGAGTGGTACGTCAGTTGGGGTTGTCGAGGTGGCTGTAGTGGGAGTCGTCCTGGAGTGGGTAGATCGGGAGTTTCTTGTCGTGGCCCGGTGCAGCAGCAGCGACGTCTCAGCGAGACTCGTTTGCCCCTGCAGCTTCGTGCGTGGGTGGAGCTGCTTAGGCAGAGGGTAGATAGCTTTGCTCTTGACAATGATGCTATTCTCACTGCAATGTATGCATTGCCTACTAGTGCCGAGGGAGCCTGTCACCTGTGTGTGCCGCTTGACCCTGGTATCCAGTCTGCTGCTTCAGGTGCCGGTGAGGGTAGCAAGGTGACGACCCATCCGGGCACACGTGCAGTGTGTCACACGCTCGTATGTAGGGGTGAACTGGTGAACACCCGCGTCCTGGAGAGCAGAACCCGCCACCAAGTTCGTAGAGAACGAGGGGAGGTAAAGGCCTGACAGTGTGCTGTACGGGTGTACGTGTGCCCGGATGGGTCGTCACCTTGCTACCTGGAGCGTGTGACACACTGCACGTGAGCCTGTCACACACTCGGCAGTCGGGGTCGGACTTGTACACACTGACCACTGAGTCCCCTCAGGTAGCGGCGTCTGCGTCTTCGTCAGGTCAGTTGTCCGCCCCCTGCTCGTGTCGCACATTGTCTCACCAGACCGTTCTCTGGCACCACCGCCTTGGTCACCCCTCAGTGCAGCGCCTTCGTGGCATGCACTCCCGGTACCTTGTCTCTGGTCTTCCCAGGGTTCTCCCTCCCCTCCCACCCTCGCCTACTCCTCCCTGTCTTCCTAGTGTCGAGGGGCGGCAGCGCGCCACTCGTCACTCCTCCTTTTTCCCTCCCACAGAGGCTCCCCTGCAGACTCTCCACCTGGACGTGTGGGGCCCAGCCCGCGTCCGTGGACAGGGCCACGAGCGGTACTTCCTGCTGGTCGTTGACGACTACACGCGCTACACCACGGTCTTCCCCTTGCGCACCAAGGGTGAGGTCCCTGATGTTTTGATCCCCTGGATCCGCGCTACTCGTCTCCAGCTCCGCGAGCGGTTCCAGTCGGACTTTCCCATCCTGCATCTGCAGTCTGACAAGGGTGGTGAGTTTTCCTCCGACCTCTTGACAGCCTACTGTGCGGAGCACGGCATCCGCCAGACGTTCACACTTCCGGCCTCTCCACAGCATAATGGGGTTGCTGAGCGCCGCATTGGCTTAGTCATGGAAGTCGCTCGTACCTCCATGATCCATGCGGCTGCCCCCCATTTCCTGTGGCCCTTTGCAATGCAGTACGCTGCGCATCAGCTCAACCTCTGGCCCCGTGTCTCTGCTCCGGAGACCTCCCCCACGCTGCGTTGGACGGGGGAGGTTGGCGATGCGTCGGTGTTCCGGGTCTGGGGATGTCGAGCCTTTGTCTGCGATACGTCCGCGGACAAGCTCTCCTCCCGTGCCGTTCCCTGTGTCTTCCTTGGCTTTGTCCCTGACGCGCCTGGCTGGCAGTTTTACCACCCCACCTCGCGCCGTATCCTGCCCTCTCAGGACGTCACGTTTGACGAGTCGGTCCCCTTTTACCGTCTCTTCCCCTACCGCACTGCCCCACTCCCCCCTCCGCCACTCTTCCTCATGCCAGGTGCTGCTTCGGTAGACCCCCTACCTCCCCAGGGTGCTGCTCCCTCAGGTGTTTCCCAGGTGGACCCGGTCGAGCCTGTCGAGGTAGCTGTCAACTCTGGTCCTGCGCGAGGTACTGCGTCTGGGGGTGCTGAGACTGGGGGTGCTGAGCCTGGGGGTGCTGAGATTGGGGGTGCTGAGCCTAGGGGTGTTGAGACTGGCGATGCTGAGCCTAGGGGAGCTGCGACTGACCGTGCTGCGCCTGGTGGCGCTCCCTCTTCAGAGCAGCTGCTTGAGTGGTACTCTCAGCGATGCAGCCTCCAGCGTGGGACTGCTGGAGCTGGGGGTTCTACCGGAGTTGGAGCTGGTGGTGGTGCGGGTGCTGTGTCGCGGCCGGAGCCTCCCTCCCCACAGCAGTTGCGTGAGTGGTACGCTCGACGCTGGAGCCTGCGGAGCGGCGCTCCTAGCACTGGGGTGCCGCCCGCTGGAGGCCCTGGTGCTGTTGGAGGTACTGGAGCCTCTGGTCCTGGAGGTGCTCGTACAGGCAGTATAGGAGCTGTTGGAACTGGGGGTTCTGCTGGAGTTGGAGCTGGAGCTGCTGGAGTTGGTGCTACTGGAGGTGCTGCTGGTTCTGGAGCTGCTGGAGGTGCTGCTGGTGCTGGAGTTGGAGCTGGAGGTGCTGGAGCTGCTGGGGCTGCCGGTGGAGCTGAGGCCGCTGGGCCTACTGGAGTTGGTGTAGCTGCTAACCCTGGGGTTGGTGCTGCGGGGGCTGGAGCAAGAGATGCTGACGCTCGTCCTCCTGCAGGTGCTGGAGCTGACAGTGCGGCTGGAGCGGGTACTACTGGGGGTCCTAGAGTTAGCACTGCAGGAGCTGCTGGTGGTGCTCCGGGAGTTGGAGCTGCTGCTGGGGGTTCTGGTGCTGTCTCTGCGGGTTCTGCGGGCGCTTCACGACCGCGACCGTACTTCGTTCCGCTCCTTCAGCAGGTTCTTGGTCAGCCTCCTCCTCCTTGTCCTGCTCCCTCCTTGGAATGTCCTCCGCCTGTCCAGTCGCAGGCACAGTTACAGCCTGCCTCGCCATTTCCTAGTCCTTCTCCCTACACTGGTCCGACAGGAGGTCTTACGGAGCGTTGTGAGCCTGAGTCTCGTCCTGTGTCGCCTGAGTCTCGTTCTGCGTCACCTGCTCGTGCTGCTCGCACTGGTCGCCGTGTACCGCGTCAGCGTCCTCCTGCTGTCTCAGGCACTCACCAGATGACGCTTCGTCTTTCCACTGCTCCGCAGCGCGTCTCTCTGCCTACTCCTCTTGCGTCCTCTCTTCCTGCCCTTGCTAACCCGGAGTCTGACTCTCTTCGTGCTGCTAGTCCTACTGTCACGCGTCTCCTGGCCACTGTTGTCACTGACCCTTCCTTTGAGTCAGCTGCTACGTTTGCCTTAGTTGCTAAGCTTGTCGACTTTGCTGCTCACTGTCGTCTAGACTACGCTGCCAGTCTTGTTGCTGAGTCTGAGTCTGTCTATCCTCCGTCCGTCGGGGGTGAGTGTGCTCTTGGCACGGACGTCCTTGAGGATAGGCAGGAGGAGTTTGAGTGCTTTGCCGCTGCTGTACCTCATCTCGTGTCCATGCTGATTGCACCTGAGGGAGACCCGGATGCACCAAACATCCCGACCCCGCGCTCTTACGCTGAGGCGATTGCGGGTGAGTACTCCACTCCGTGGCAGTCAGCCATGGACGCAGAGATGGCATCCTGGAAGTCCACTAGCACTTACGTCGACGAGGTTCCCCCTCCAAGGGCGAACATCGTCAGTGGCATGTGGATTTTCAGGGTGAAGCGGCCGCCAGGTTCTCCGCCTGACTTCAAGGCTCGTTACATTGCTCGAGGCTTCAGTCAGCAAGAAAGCGTTGACTTCTTCCAGACCTTCTCCCCCACCCCGAAGATGACCACTCTTTGGGTGCTACTGCACGTTGCCTCTCAACGTGACTACGAGCTTCACTCTCTTGACTTCAGCACAGCTTTCTTGCAGGGCAGCCTGCACGAGGAGATCTGGCTGCGCCGCCCTCCTGGCTTAACTGGGTCATTCCCTCCTGGAGCCTCCGGCGGCCAGTCTACGGTCTCCGCCAGGCGCCACGTGAGTGGCACGACACACTGAGGACTACACTTGCAGCTCTTGGGTTCGCGCCTTCTACTGCTGACCCGTCGCTGTTTCTGCGCACCGACACTTCGCTGCCGCCATTTTACATCCTCGTGTACGTCGACGACTTGGTCTTTGCAACTGCTGACACAGAGGCTCTCGCCCTGGTGAAGTCGGAGCTGTAGAAGAGACACACGTGTACAGACCTGGGTGAACTCCGCAGCTACCTTGGCTTGCAGATCACCCGGGACAGAGCACGCCGCACCATCACACTGACTCAGTCACACATGGTGCAGCAGGTCCTTCAGCGCTTCGGCTTTACCTGGTCCTCGGCACAGGCCACTCCTCTGGCTACAGGTCACTCGCTCTCAGCTCCACCTTTGGACGAGTCTGTAGAGCCGAGTGGTCCTTACCCAGAGCTAGTTGGCTGTCTCATGTACCTGATGACTTGCACTCGTCCTGACCTCGCGTCCCCTCTTGGCCTTCTGGCTCGCTACGTGGCTCCTGGTCGGCACCGAAAGGTGCACATGGATGCTGCTAAGAGAGTACTGCGCTACTTGTGCAGTACATCAGGCATGGGACTTGTGCTTGGAGGGAGGAGCTCAGTTGTCCTCACTGGGCACTCGGACGCTTCTTGGGTTGACGACCAGGCTACTCAGCGGTCGTCACAGGGTTACACCTTCAGCCTTGGCTCTGGTTCAGTTTCTTGGCGTTCTACACGCTCGTCTTCAGTTCTCAGCTCCAGTTGTGAGGCTGAGATTTACACCACAGCCATGGCTGCACAGGAGTTACGCTGGCTCACCTACCTGCTGACTGACTTGGGAGAGCGGCCTCGTTCTCCTCCAGTGCCGTACGTCGACAACAAGGCTACCATTGCCTTGTGTGAGGATCACAAACTAGAGCACAGAACGAAGCACATCGCTCTACGTTACTTCCTGGCTCGAGAGTTGCAGCAGCGTGGTCAGCTTCGTCTGCGTTAAGTGGCCACTCGGGCCAACACTGCTGATATATTCACCAAGGCACTTCACTCTGGTGATCATCAGCGTTTCTGCACTATGCTAGGGCTTGTGCCCACTTTTCATCACTTGCTGTAGGCTTTGCTTGTATTGTGATCCATATATATATACCTGCATGCTTGCTTTTCTAGGTAGAGATCACTGTGATGTTTGTGTTGCATATATGCCTCTGCATGTGAACTGGCCTTGTGGCCCTTTGCTTGTGCTCAGTGTGTGTGGTGACGTTGTGATCCACCCTGAGCTTGCTTTGCCTTTCTTGACTGGTATTGTGACCCCTTGCTCTCCCCCACTTTGCCTATAGGGGTGTGTCAAATGTCATATCTGCAGCAGTTTGTTTAGGCTGTAGTGGGGTAGTTACTATGGGGTACAGTAAGTTTAGGGTTTCCTACTTGTACCCAACTCTTTCCTAGTTCAATCACTGTCAAGATAGTAGGTAATAGAGAGTAGAAACGTGGGGCCTAGGCTTAGTAGCCTAGGCCCTAACTTAGTATCGAGCGGGTTTTCCCCTAGGTTGAGAGTCGAGTGAGTTGTGAGAGAGAAATTGGAGAATGAGTTTCACTATAGGTTTCAAGAAACATATAGCATAGGAAACAATGTACAATAACTACACTACAACTACAAGCAGTTACAAAATATGACAAACATATTTCGACAATCACTCTTGTTCATTCTGACATCTTCGTCAGTCTGTCAACGACGACCATAACCGCGTCGTTACCCCCAGGGTTTGAAGGTAACCCCGTGACGAAATCCATATAACCTGCTGCCAGGCGCGCTCAGACGGTGGAATCGGCTGCAATTGACCCGCCTTTCTTTTTCGCGAGCTCTTCATCACCTGACACGGAGGACGCGAGCCCACGTGGTGCTGTACGTCAGTCAACGGCTCCGGCCAGTAGTAATACCGCTGCAGTTGTTGTCACGTTTTTTCTACCCCAAAATGTCCCGAGGCAATCCCATCGTGTGCTTCCTGCAGTAATAGTTCCCTCAGTAGTGACTACGCGGGTACCCAGATGTGGTTGGTGCCTGTTTTTACGTAATGGACTCCTTTAGCTTCTGCCAGTTGCTGTGAATTTCCGGTCGTGAAAAATGGGTCGTTACTGTATCCGTGGGTGAATAGGCCTGTTACCAGTGGGTTGGTTTGGGCGAGTAGGATGGCGTGGAGTTGGGCGGTGGAGTGTGTGAGTGCGTCGGCGATGTTGGATGCGCCTTTTTTGTACGTGACCGTGTAGTGGAAGTTGGACTCAAGATAGTCCAACCAGCGGATCTGTCGTGGGTTGAGATTCGGTTGGGCGCGAAGGTACTGTAGTGATCCGTGGTCTGTCCGTACTGTCACGTCTGCTCCCGTGAGGTAACATCGCCACACCTTGAACGCGTGCACGATCGCCAGCATCTCGCGGTCGTGTATCAGGTACTTGCGTTCGGGTGGGTGAAGCTTACGGAACTCGTACGCGATTGGCTGGAGGCCGTTCCCGAAGTCCTGCAACAGTAATGCTCCCACAGCGATGTCGCTAGCGTCGGTGACGAGCTCGAACGGACGGTGCGGATCTGCGATGTGGAGCACGGGTGGCGAGCACAAAATTGTTTTGAGGGCCGAGAAGGCAGCTTGCTCTTTCTCCCCCCACGTGTACTCAACCCCCTTCCTCAGCACAACGGTCAACGGGACAGTCAACTTTGCCATGTCGGGGACGAACCGTCGCACGTAGTTGACGAACCCCAGAAAACTCTGCAACTCGGTCAAGTTTGTCGGCGCATGCCATGCTTGAATCGTCGCGATATTCTTCGGGTCTATTTCCACTCCTTCAGCTGAAACCAAGTGTCCCAAAAACTCCAGTCGCTCCTGTAAGAACTCACACTTAGTCAGTAGGCGGTTCTCACCCAGTATTTTAAAAATGGCTTCGATGTCCTGTAAGTGTCAGGGCTGTAAATCAGTATGTCGTCGAGATACACGATGACGCACTTATCTAAGAGTGGGCGGAAAGCTTCGTTCATGGTCATTTGACAAGTGGCGGGGGCGTTGGTCAGTCCGAAGGGCATGACTGTGTATTCGAAGGATCCGTAGCGTGTTCGGAAGGATGTCTTGGGGCAGTCGGGTGGGTTGACGCGAATCTGGTGGTAACCTCCTCGAAGGTCAATTTTCGAAAAAACCGGGGCTGTACGCAGTTGGTCGATCAGTTCTTTGGCTCGCGGGATGGGGTATCGGGATTTAATGGTAACCCTGTTCAGTGCTCTGTAATCTATGCACATGCGAAACGTCCCGTCCTTCTTCGGGGTGAATAGTATCGGTGTTGCGAAGGGTGACGAACTCGGGCGAATGAACCCCTTTTCGAGCAGGTAATATAGCTGCTTCCTCAGTTCGTCCAGTTCGGGTTGGGTCAGTCGGAACTGTCGCTGTACTGTCGGCTGTGCCCCCGGTTCTAGTTCTATCCTGTGGTCTTGCAGTCGCTGAGGTGGCAGTCCTGTCGGTAGGTCGTTCGGAAAAATGTCACTGTACTGCTTCAACATTGCTGCCAAATCACTCGGTACGTCGACTAGCAGTTTATGTAAATCCCCCCCTTTGTCTGCTGCCTCGGCTTCCCGAATGTCAACCGCGTACACGTCAGCTCCTACCGCTACGGCGCGTTTCATCGTGATTGCGTTGACACGCACCGACGAAGACTCAGGCAAGCCCCAGCGAGGTAAGGTGATGTTGTTACCATTTACTAGCTCTGTGCAGTCACCCGTCGTCCAGTCGTTTTGCGGATTGTGTCGTCACAGCCAATCACGACCGAGTAAAATGTCGGTTCCGTCGAGGGTTGTCGTGAGCATTTCCTGGCTAAACGTGAAGTTACCCCCGCATCGAATCCGAACCCGGTCTACACGTTCCCGTATCGCCACTGGCGTGCCGTTGACCAGCCTTGCATCGATCTCAGGTAAGCATATGTTTAGTGGCAGTTTCAGTTTCTGTGCTATGGCAGTCTTGATGAGGCTGTGGCTGGCTCCCCCATCTACGAAGATTTAACGAAGTCTGTCCCGATTTTCCCACTAAGCAGTATGGGGCTGTCTACCATAGTACCCTCCTTATTCGGCCGAGTATGGTCGATTACGTGAACTGGTACAATCACTCGGTGAGGGTCGGTTGGGTCGGGCGAGCGGCGTGACCTGTCAGTAGAGGGCCTGTCTGCTACTGAGTCCCAGCGTTTCCCTGCTGCTGCTGCTCAGCTTCCCCCTTTCCCTTGGCGTTTTCCGGGCATTCGCTCTTACGGTGTCCCGGCCGATTGCACGCAAAGCAGCGCCCTTTGAACGATGTGGCAACGGCATTCGCGGCGACGGCACGTATCGTAGCGCCCTCGTTTGTCCCACAAGACCAATATCCTCATTTGTTGCTTCCGTAGGACCCCGGTCTCGGTCGGCAGAAGAAGTCAAGTTTCTCCGCCATAGCGAGAATTTCTTGAAAATCGGTGACGCCGCGAAGCTGGATTTCCTGAGCGATGTCTTGCTTCAGGCCGCCGATGTAGCGGTCGATGCGCTCGCTCTCGTGCATGTAACCCACTTGCTCGCATAGCGCCAGAAACCCCCTCGTGCAGTTCTGGACGGAACCGAGTTGGCGCCAAGTGCGGAGCTTCTGTCGCGCCGCGATCAAAGCCGCAATTGGCTCAAACCGAGCGCGCAAACCTACGCACCGCGCGTCCCACGTGCGATATTGGGGCACCTCCACGAAATACGACAACGCCCATGGTCTGGTTTGTCCTTCTCGTGTCGTTAGAGTCGCGTAGTCCACCCGCTTCGTGACGATGACACGCCACCAGTCCATGGTGGGTCTTCGCAGCAACGACACGGTGTAGCGAATCTTCGCCGTACCCTCCGAGACGTAGTTGGCATCGTAGAAGACGTTCAACGTGAATAACCACGCCTGAACGGTAGGACCACTCCGTTGACTCGGGTCAAAGCATGGCGGACGCTCCGGCTTCAGCGGCATCGGCGTCGGTAGTGCTGATTCGCCGGCCGGCACAGAAATCGTGACTCGAGGCTGACTCCTGGCCGCATTTGTCGCGTCGGGGTGTGTCGTGCCGTGGCCGTCGCCTCCGTCGTGGCGGACGACGCCATCACTGGCCGCGCTCGCGGGTTGCCCCACGCTTCCATGTTGCGATGTCTGTGGTGCGGGATGTACTGGAGTGCCAGGTGCTTGAGATTGTGCTTGCTGTACTCGTGCGACGTCGTTTTGCAAGGATGTACGTTCTGCCGTCCGAAATACCAGTGGAGTGCCAGGTGCTTGCTGTGCTCGTGCAAGAGCGCGTGAGAGAGTGCGTGAGAGAGCGCGTGAGAGTGCGTGAGAGAGCGCGTGAGAGAGAGCATGAGAGAGTGTGTGAGAGCGCATGAGAGTTCGCGTGAGGGAGCGCGAGAGGGAGCGCGTGAGAGAGAGCATGAGAAAGAGCATGAGAGGGCGCGTGAGAGAGCGTGTGAGAGAGCGCGTGAGGGAGCGCGTGAGAGAGCGCGTAAGGGAGCGCGTACGAGAGCGCGTGAGAGAGTGCGTGAGAGAGCGCGTGAGAGTGCGTGAGAGAGCGCGTGAGAGAGAGCGTGAGAGAGTGCGTGAGAGCGCATGAGAGTTCGCATGAGGGAGCGCGAGAGGGAGCGCGTGAGAGAGAGCATGAGAAAGAGCATGAGAGGGCGCGTGAGAGAGCGCGTGAGAGAGCGCGTGAGAGAGCGCGTGAGAGAGCGCGTGTGAGAGCGCGTGAGAGTGCGCGTGAGAGGGCGCGTGAGAGGGCGCATGAGAGAGTGCGTGAGACGCGTGAGAGAGTGCATGAGAGTGCGCGTGAGAGAGCACATGAGAGAGCGCGTGAGAGAGTGCGTGAGAGAGAGCACATGAGGGAGCACGTGGGAGAGCGCGTGAGAGAGCGCGTGAGAGAGCGCGTGAGAGAGCCCGTGAGAGAGCGCGTAAGAGAGCGCGTGAGAGAGCGCATGAGAGAGCGCGTGAGAGAGCGCGTGAGGGAGCGCGTGCGAGAGCGCATGAGAGAGTGCGTGAGAGAGCGCGTGAGAGTGCATGAGAGAGCGCGTGAGAGAGAGCGTGAGAGAGTGTGTGAGAGCGCATGAGAGTTCGCGTGAGGGAGCGCGAGAGGGAGCGCGTGGGAGAGAGCATGAGAAAGAGCATGAGAGGGCGCGTGAGAGAGCGCGTGAGGGGGCGCGTGCGAGAGCGCGTGAGAGAGTGTGTGAGAGAGCGCGTGAGAGTGCGTGAGAGAGCGTGTGAGAGAGAGCGTGAGAGAGTGTGTGAGAGCGCATGAGAGTTTGCGTGAGGGAGCGCGAGAGGGAGCATGTGAGAGAGAGCATGAGAAAGAGCATGAGAGGGCGCGTGAGAGAGCGCGTGAGAGAGCGCGTGAGAGAGCGCGTGAGAGAGCGCGTGTGAGAGCGCGTGAGAGTGCGTGTGATAGAGCGCGTGAGAGGGCGCATGAGAGAGTGCGTGAGACGCGTGAGAGAGTGCATGAGAGTGCGCGTGAGAGGGCGCATGAGAGAGCGCGTGAGAGAGCACGTGAGGGAGCGCGTGAGAGAGCGCGTGAGAGAGTGCGTGAGGGAGCGCGTCCGAGAGCGCGTGAGAGAGTGCGTGAGAGAGCGCGTGAGAGTGCGTGAGGGAGCGCGTGAGAGAGAGCGTGAGAGAGTGTGTGAGAGCGGATGAGAGTTCGCGTGAGGTAGCGCGAGAGGGAGCGCGTGAGAGAGAGCATGAGAAAGAGCATGAGAGGGCGCGTGAGAGAGCGCGTGAGAGAGCGCGTGAGGGAGCGCGTGCGAGAGCGCGTGAGAGAGTGCGTGATAGAGCGCGTGAGAGTGCGTGAGAGAGCGCGTGAGAGAGAGCGTGAGAGAGTGCGTGAGAGCGCATGAGAGTTCGCGTGAGGGAGCGCGAGAGGGAGCGCGTGAGAGAGAGCATGAGAAAGAGCATGAGAGGGCGCGTGAGAGAGCAAGTGAGAGAGCGCGTGAGAGAGCGCGTGAGAGAGCGCGTGAGAGTGCGCGTGAGAGTGCGTGTGATAGAGCGCGTGAGAGGGCGCATGAGAGAGTGCGTGAGAGATGCGTTAAAGCGTGCGTGAAAGCGTGCGTGAGAGAGCGCGTGAGAGAGAGCGTGAGAGAACGCGTGAGAGAGCGCGTGAGAGTGCGCGTGCGAGAGCGCGCGAGAGAGCGTGGAGAGAGCGCGTGAGAGAGTGAGTGAGAGAAGCGTGAAAGCGTGCGTGAGAGCGCACGTGAGAGAGGGTGTGAGAGAGCACGTGAGGGAGCGTGTGAGAGAAAGTGTGAGAGAGCGAGTGAGGGAGCGCGTGAGAGCGTGTGGGAGCACGTGAGAGAGCCCTGAAAGAGCAGGTGAGAGAGCGCGTGAGAGATTGGGTGAGAGAGTGGGTGAGAGAGCGCGTGAGAGAGTGCGTGAGAGTGCGTGAGAGAGTGCGTGAGAGAGCGCGTGAGAGTGCGTGAGAGAGTGCGTGAGAGAGTGCGTGAGAGAGTGCGTGAGAGAGTGCGTGAGAGAGTGCGTGAGAGAGTGCGTGAGAGAGTGCGTGAGAGAGTGCGTGAGAGAGTGCGAGAGAGAGTGCGTGAGAGACCGCATGAGAGACTGCGTGAGGGAGTGCGTGAGAGAGTGCGTGAGAGAGTGCGTGAGAGAGTGCGTGAGAGAGTGCGTGAGAGAGTGCGTGAGAGAGTGCGTGAGAGAGTGCGTGAGAGAGTGCGTGAGAGAGTGCATGAGATAGTGCGTGAGAGTGCGTGAGAGAACGCACGAGAGAGCTTTATGAGCGCGCTGGAGCATATGCACTAGCATCTATTCTGCTGGTGCTTGGGCTGCTGGGACTACTTATGCAAACGAGTGTCGCTTTCTGCACTAGTGTTTAGTGTGTCGGCTTCTAAGGTGTTTGCTTCTCTGTTTTTGCTGTGTGCAGGCCGTGTGTGTGTTTGCTTCTCTGTTTTTGCTGTGTGCAGGCCGTGTGTGTGTTTGCTTCTCTGTTTTTTCTGTGTGCAGGCCGTGTGTGTGTTTGCTTCTCTGTTTTTTGCTGTGTGCAGGCCGTGTGTGTGTTTGCTTCTCTGTTTTTTGCAGTGTGCAGGCCGTGTGTGTGTGAACTTCTCTGTTTTCGCTTTGTGCAGGGCGCGTGAGCTGAGAAGGGAGATGAGGGAGGGAGTGGGAGGGAGATGAGTGAAGGAGGGATGGAGGGGTGTAGGGAGGGTTAAGGGAGATCAGGGAGTGAGGGAGGGAGGGGAATGGGGGGCAAGGTAGTGATGGTTTATTAATTGGTGAACTTCATTGGCTATGCTTGCATGCTTAGTATTAGCTGTATGTTTCTGCGTGTTTTTCTCTCTGCGTATGTGTGTGCGTATATGTAGGCTATGTAGTTGTGTGGCTCTGTTTCGGGGTGAGTGCTAAGTGCCTCGTGTATACAATTGCGGTTGTGATCGTTGGTGGGGCAGCTTTGGTTGCCTCTTCCATACCAGATCAATCGCAGTTGCATTAATGATGCATTCTAGCATTAGCTTCGAAGCGCTCACAACTGGTGTTTCTCGTTTTTGTACAAGTTTCGTGTGCTGTCGTTTGGGTCTGTTTTGGGGTGGTGCCAAATGCATCATGTATGCAACATGGGTTGTCATCGTCGGTGGGGCAGCTTTGCTCGCCTTTTCCGTACCATATCAATCTCAGTTGCAACATTGATGGATTTAGTGTTTGCCTCGAAATGTTCATGATTTCAGCATGTGGTATTTGTACACGTTCGTGTCCAACCAATTGTTCCATTCGCCGTACTTATCGACGATTATGGAGTTATTGGTTACAGTTGGTTTCACATTTTTGGGGCAACTAAAAAGTTGAACAGTATTTTTTTCCCAAACGGGCATGGAAAAATCACTGTTCACGTTCAGTTCCCCAAAAAGTGAAACCAAATGTATAAGGTTGCTACGCAACCCAAAAATTCCTTACACTTTTATATTACATCAGACTGGTTGTCAAGCATTTTTCATTTTCCCGTTTTTTCCTCCCTGGGACACGTTTCGTCCATTTTGACCCCTTCAGTTGAAACGGAACTGAGAAACGGAAACTTGTCGGTCGGGGTCAGGTGTCCCTGGTCAGAGGTTCTCTGTAACGCTGCGAGGAATTGGTGTGCTGGCTTGTCTCAGCTCGACGGCTGATTTGCGGTTTCAGCTGTGCGATCAGTAGAAGTTACAGTACTGAAAATCGACGAACTCGCAACAGCAGACCTGTCGCGACGCCCTGCCACTTCTGCGATGCGTTACACGTACAAATACCCTCCGCATATCATCAACGCATCCAATTCGTTATCAACGCAATCGAGCCCCTCTGCTCAACCGAAGGTGCTGAATTTTGCTGGAAAATACAGATGGCGTTCAGTGAACACGCCTGGATGGGTGCCATCAAGCTCGCACTTCTACTGTGCTCGGGATTTCTCTCTAGTAATGCTGCTGCTTCGCCAGGTCCGTGGAATTCTTGTTGCCTGTTTAGGTTCCCACACTTCCAATGCCCGCTTCTGATCCTCTGCAACTTGTTCGCTCGCGCTTTCAGTAGATCACTTTAATTATGTCCAGCCAATTTCCAGGATTACAGGCCCAGATTTCTCGACTGGTGTCCGTAAGTTATTTGCCAGTTTTGTGTTGCGCAATTTTTTTGGAAGAATCTTCCATTCTCCTTAGGCCCCTTGGGTTCCCCCGGCGCAAGTCTTCGCAATCACACGACTTCCGCCCGCAGTATGCTTCCTGCCTCGTTTTTTCCTCCTCCGACCTTTAAAATGTATCTACCGGCTTTATCTGCAACTCAGGATCCACACGCCGCTCCCTGATTATCAAAGTGTCACCTAATCGCGATACGCCATGTGGTACGAAGCTGACCTGGTGGAACCAGACGGATTACACCGGCGCAAATTGGGTGACTTACGCTCCCAGCCCAACAGTCGGGTGTATCAATATCCCGTCGAAGTACCTCCCATGTACTAAGTTTGGATCCCTCAAACTCGAATGGTACGCACCGACGGACGCCATGAAACGTGACATGTTCTTCGTCACGTGCAAGGAGGTGAGAGGAGCAATGCTACGTCCTTAACAGCAATGTGCAGACGCCATTGAGCAATTATCTGAGGTTCTATGTCGGTTGATTTTTCCTCCTTGGGGCTCGCTGGAGCTGCAGGTGCACTTCTGGCCAACGACGAACTGCGAGATCGGTAACACGGACTACCTCACATATCCTACCGACCACAGCCCGCCTTCGCCAACCAAGCGCCCGTAAGCACCCCATCCCTCCCCTTTCCCAATGATCTAGGGTTTTCTGGAGTATAAATCAAAGAACAGCAGGAGGTCTATATCTGTGTTGCATATCAAGGCTGACAGATTTTGCCTCCCCGACCTGTTTTCCGTTTGCAGGAAATACCCCAGAGCCTCATTTCGCCCTCATTCCATCAGCTGCATCTACAGTACGTTGTAGCATTCCAACATCTCCCTATGCCGTTTGTTTCTTAGGGGCACTTAAAGCAGTCTGAGCTTCTGAGTGCTTTACAAGGCGGCACTGCAACACATGGTTATCATGCTTTAAGGAGCTTGGATTGGCTGTTTTATGCAGGTCAGGACCTGAACAAGCTGTACTCGTGTCCCCCTAATAGCACACTGGATGGCACGTGGAGAAGGGTGGCAAGTGCGTTGGTAAGTGCTCATCGTTAGCGCCCTTCCGCAGTACCCAAAGATCTCAAGTGTTGCCTGCAGACTGCACTATTCAGCTGATTAGAGCTGCATAGAGCGTGTGCAGAGTGTTGCCTGATTATAGCATTCCTGCTACCCCTGACGTGTATCATATTCGCCTCTCTTGCCCCAGACGTTTGCACTCCTCTCAACTGTGGACCGCACGCCAGCTGCTACGTTAAGAACGGAGCTGGGGTGTGTAATTGCACTGAGGGTTACCGCCGTGTGGAAGGAAAGTGCGAGGCTATTGGCCATTCAGATTTCCTTGATTCTCACAATGCTGCTCGTGCTGCTGTGAAGTTACCCGCCCTGAAGTGGAGTGACTCCTGTAAGTACAGGGCAACCTTCCGTCCACTCTTAGTCCTTATCCTTCCACTCTTACCCTTTTCCTTCCACATACCGTTTTGTTAGCCAGTTAGAAACCTGCAGTTGGTCGCTATCACTGAACTTTTTTTTTCTGACCATATTCTTCCAAACTGCCGCGCCATCTTTTACAGTGGCGAAGAAAGCCCAGGCATGGGTTGCCCACCTGGGTAAGATTGACAACAAGTGCAGGACAATGAATCGTTCTTCTGCACTTTCCAGCTATGGCCAGAACCTGCTGAGCACCTTTGGGATTGGGCAGTGGGCTCCCAGTGAGGTGGTGAACGTGTGGTTGGATGAGAAGAAGTTTTACACGTACTCGCCTTTACCGGGTGGATGCAAAGCGGGGCACTTTTGCTCCCACTACGTTCAAGTACGAATCGTTTCGTCTGTTGTTTTTTTTTGTGTTTTTTTTTTTGGTGCATTTCTTGCAATCGTAATCCGGTTGTATCAGTGCCTACGCTTCTTCTTGTATCAGATTGTTGCCAGGAAGACAACAGTTGTTGGCTGCAGTTCGTATACGTGTGGCAAAGCAGGCTCCATGCTGTGGGCTTGTTTCTATTCGCCCAAGGGTCTAGAGAACAAGAAGTATCCATACTAGATGTGATGGCTCTGAGTCTGCAAATATAGTGTTGGATGTGAATGCAACAGTAGATTTCTGTCACGGGTGTACTCAAATTCACATATATTATTTCGCCTTCATCCGAACCGTGCATGAATATGCGAGTATTCAGTGATCTGTTTGGTAACCACCCCGCTTCTTCAGACGAGCGCCCCTGACGCACCTGTGCTGGCGCCATGTGCTCAAGGCGATCGCACCGCAGGTTTCGTCAGGGTGTATGCGGAAGACCAGGCCCCCCTCTGGCGCGGATAGAGCGAGGGCGCGAAATGAAAGCTCCTCGCTGACGACGAAGTTCCTCCAGGCTTGTTTCACAAATTTCTGTGCGTGTAACAAAAAGGTATTGACCAATGAGAATGGATTGCGATTGGAACTCTGGCTGCCTGTGGTCAGCAACTGAGTGCATGTGGGCTTCGGGCGGAAAGTTGCCCATTGCCCCAAGGATTTGGGATGGGAAGGGGAATGGACTTGGAACAGCAGCACCCACCCAGCCTTGTGAAGCTACAAATTGTCAGAATGGGGGGACGATTGACTTCACGAGTGCAGACAGAATGCGTTTAGTGACTTGATAAGTCAATAATTTCCGTTTTCTTCTGCCATTGTTGTACGGCATCGTTGAACCCCTTCAGCCGAGGAGCCATGCTCATACCGTAACTGACGAGTAGTATAGCTAGTCTTGTTGAAAGCTTCTAAATTTTCGATCAAGCACCCCCTCACGCTTTTGGTTTTATTTACTTATAACGTCAAGCTTTCCTTGACTCTTTCCTACCATAGTTGCACAATCAGACTTGTTGCTGCCCGAGTTCTTTCTGGAGGGATTCGTCGCAAACATACGAGAAAGCGAAAGCCAAGGTAAGAGATACTCTGGATAGGTTTTGCTGTGGTTAAGGCCACATCCAATGAGCTTTCGTATAATCGATGCCCCCAAATAATGTTCCATGTGTCAACATGTCAACACACGTGGCACTGGTGGTCACTTTTGAGAAGAGAATCGTAATCGCCTATTGAACGCAGAGTTTGCTTAACTTTCACTATAGCATATGAGCAGTCGAAGATACACCAAGAAAAACATCACCATTCCACCATTCCACGACAAAGAATATGGTTCCTGTCTCATGCCTAACACCAACTGGAATCCCCTGTTCTCTTTTTGTTTAACCACAATCCCCCTACCCTCAGCCGCAAGCATGGGGCCCCAGGGACCAGAGTCAACAGATAGCGTCCTCCCCCCAACCACCGAGCTCTCTGCTCCTCCGCCTGACATTTCCCCCGGCGCTACGAACAAGAAGAAGCGTCGGCTCAAGGTGAAACTCCCGGCAATCAAGGACGTGCCATGGAAGGGAATGTTCTTATATGCGATGGAATGGATGTCCAATCCTATCAACGCCGCTTCTTTCTTCTGGTGTGTCCTCGCGACGTTCGCCTTCGTTATAGTCGTCATGTGCGAGCTCGGCTTGATGAAGAATTACATTCATGACCATGAGACGCTGGAGGAGGTGAAGGAGGTATCCACTCAGATCTTAAACGCTCTCTTCGTGCTCATGTGCCTCATTTGGCATCCGGTCTTCATGCGAGACGTGCTTCTGCTTATCCGGTGGAAGCCGAAAGATAAGTGGGAGATTCGCGCCGAGTACTGTAAAGACGGGAAACGGAAACCCAACGATCGCACGCACATGGCGTTTGTCGTTTTCTGGCTGCAGCTAACGTGCTGGGCGACGTACGCCTTCGCAGCGGTCTTCCTGGTCTACCCTATGGGTGAACGACCCATGAGCCTGATCATCGTCACCACTGTCGTTTCCTTCGCCGCACCCGCGTTCGCCTTCCTCCATCTGCTCCTGAGCCCTCTGAGCAAGGACTACGACATTGTGCGGGTTGGAGAGGGCGACGGGGCCAAAGTGCAGATGTTTCAACGGAGTGCTACGTTTATGGTGTCTCACACGAAGGTGGAGGACGCGCAATGGGCTGGGTCGGTAGTCCCTGGGTGCTGCTCCGAGCCGCGCGTAGCGTGCCTGAGCTGCTTCTTCCCCTGCTGCATGTTTGGGTACAACATGGAGAGGCTTGGGTTTGGCCATCGGATTGTCCACGCGATGATGTTCGTTATCATGCTCATCGGCCCGGTGTTGATTTTCGAGCTCTGTGCAGATGCCGTTCACGCGGATCTCTCCAAAAACGTTCTCTTTTACTTAGGCGTTGCAATTGCCATCACCGGGCTTGCTTATGGTGGTGCCTGGCGAGTGAAGATTAGGGAGACTTATAAGCTCCCCGGATCCCGTTGGTGGTGTGGGAGCAGGCGCCTGACAGATATTTGCATTTGGGTGTGGTGCTGCTGGTGTGCACTGTGCCAAGAGGTCCGGACCACGGATCAGTATCAGGTGGTGGAAAACTCGTTCTATAGACGAGCAGGCGACATTGAGAGTGGGTCTGGCGCCCCTGCACCTGCCGGGGCACTGGATACAGTTCCTGATGCTGAGGAGGAAGTGGAGGAAGATGAGGAAGATGATGAATTGGATGCTCCTGCTCATCAGACAATGCAGAAGTGAAGTTGATGGTGAAGAAATATGGGACAAGGGGTTTTTGCCACCTTTTTTATGCTTTGTAGAACTAGGTTAACTTATTTTGCTCATGTATCATTAATCTCAATAAATTTCGTTATGTTGCCGATTGAAGACATTTATGTTAAGACATTTCCATTCTAGAAATAGTGAAATACGAGTCTTGTTTCATATTTGAATTGATAACAAGAGATCATGTGGAACAAATGCACTCTAAGAACCCGCACGACTAACGTTTCGCTACAAGCTGGATGTACGTCTTGAATCCGTTCTGACGTGACTGCCGTGCAGTACCAGGATCCCTGTCTAATATTCTTTAGTAGCATCCATAACCGTTGTGACCGTTGACCTTTGCTGGAGGATTCAGAAGAATTAGGTTCTCAAATGGGGGTTGACTATTACGACTTATTAGAAGTCCAAAAATCCGCAAGTGATGACGACTTGAAGAAGGCGTATCGGAAGCTTGCCATGAAATGGCATCCGGACAAGAATCCGGACAACAAGAAAGCAGCCGAAGCTAAATTCAAGCAAATCTCGGAGGCGTACGAGGTACACCCTTTGCCTAGCAGCTGATTTTTCATCGCTGTAACTTGCCAGTTTACCCTCAACCTACAGAACTTGTCACGTGCAGGTATTAAGTGATCCCGAGAAGCGACAAATCTACGATCAGTACGGCGAGGAGGGTTTGAAAGGGCAGGCTGCACCCGGAGGGGGGTCGTACAGCAGTCATGGAGGTCACTCGCATGGCAACTTCCGTTTCAACCCACGAAGCGCTGAGGACATATTCGCGGAGGTCTTCGGCGGACACAGTCCGTTTGGAGGGGCTTACGGACCCGGATTTGGCGGGATGGGTGGCATGGGTGGTATGCCAAGTGGTCGATTCAGTCGCATGGGGAGCGCCAACGGTATGGGGGAATCGATGCAGTATCAGGATATGTTCGACCATGGCATATACGGTTCTCAGGCTTCATCAGCTTCGACTGGTCCCAGAAAATCCCCACCCGTGGAAAACAAGCTTCCATGTACGCTAGAGGAACTGTATTCAGGATCTTCCAGGAAGATGAAGATCTCACGCAACATCATAGATGCAAACGGGTAGGTATGCCTTTCATTTTTCCAGTCAAACCTACGATCAATACCTCTCAGAAACTCTTATCCCTACTACTTTCCCTGCCTTTTTCTCCCCGTCCTCTTTCCTTCTTCTACCATCTTCCTCTTGTTTCGTTCTGGTCATTACGCCCTAACTCCATTCACCTCTGCAACTTCACATCATTGGTTCTGCAGACGACAAAAAACTGTGGACGAGATATTGACGATCAATGTGAAGCCGGGCTGGAAGAAGGGAACAAAGGTCACTTTTGAAGAAAAGGGTAACGAGCAGCCTGGAATGATTCCTGCAGACATTACCTTTGTGATTGACGAGAAGCCTCATGACAGGTTCACACGGGATGGGAACGACCTTGTTTACATGTGCAAAGTCCCCCTTGTGGATGCACTTACTGGCTACACGGCAAACATCACAACACTTGATGGCCGGAAGCTTACTTTTCAAGTAAACGACATCATCAAGCCAGGGTTTGAAAAGGTGGTGGGTGGAGAGGGCATGCCGACCAAGGGGACCAAGGGTAACCTGAGAGTCAAGTTTGAAGTGCAGTATCCGTCCAGGTTGACAGCAGACCAGAAGACGGCAATCAAACAGGCTTTTGGGAAAACCTGACCATGTAAGTGACATTTTTTTTTTAATTCTTTCTTTCTTTCTTTCTTTTCACTGGGGTTTTTTCTTTAAAAGTTGACCACATCAGTCCTGCTCAATGTAGTTCACTGGTTGGTTGACCTGCCATTGTTTGACAGACTCGTGCTTTTGTCAGTTACCACCCAGTTATGCTCTCTTTCTGATGTGTGCATTCCGTGTGTGCTCCCACCAACCCACATGCTTGCAGGTTATCTGAATAGACGCCCTGTGTTGGCAATGCCCCCATGCCATATTGCATCTGGGACATTTTGGAATATCTATGATATCTAGTACCATTGGCTCCTGTAGCTTCCCAAGAGTCCCAAGTTTCAAGATAGAAAAGCCCTGCACTGTCAAGGCCAGTTTGACACACTTGAGCCAAGTGTACCGTAGCTTATTTGCAGATGCACCACACTCAGATGCAGTGACCAGTGCGCTTGGCCATGGTGAATATTAAAAAGGCAGAACCACCCATGGCTGTCAATAGTACCATGATCATGTAGAGTGCATTTTCTTCCTTTAAAACATGGAGTACGGGTCTACAACGCGACGTGTTGCTTCCATGTGAGCCACAGTGAGAATGGATCTGCCTGATGTATACATTGATAGGTTCCAAACGAGAGCCACGCCGATGCGCATTTCACTAGGGCTGTCACTTTATGTGATACCACTATGAAGAAGACCTTTGCGAAACATCATTTCTTCTGCCCTCAGAGAAGGTTGTGCGAGCAGGCCCAGATCCCACCAGAGGCTCTTCCTCATCCTCAGACACCCTGTGGCAGAAAAGCGTGAGAAGGAAAACATGAAACATCATCAGCCAGTACATGTCACCCTGGATGTCCAAGAAAACAGCTGCCATCCATCAACTTGGGATGGGACAAGGTGGGACATGCAGCCACAGGCATGCCAGCAACACATCGCTTGAAAACCCCAACGCAGCATGATACAATCCCACGTGCAGCTTGAATGTGTCCCCCATGCGTGCCAGGGTGCATTTCCGCAGCACAAAAATGGCATGATGCGGACAGAAAGCCTACCTGGGTTCAGAGCTCTCTTCTCCCCGGTTCCAGAGAGCACTCAGCTCCCCTCGTCGCCACGCCAACAGCACAATCACCCCTGCCAGGCCAGGTCACATGGGCAACGATGAGAGGATGGCAGGAGGGGAATGGTGTCAGCATGGGTGAAGCTAACAGACTGCGGGTTCAAACCGATTGGGAGCTGTAGACACAGCCGAAAGTGGTCAAAAGATAACGGCGTGGGGAGACGGGTTAAAACAAAACTAAAGGGAGAAGGAGATACCAAGGGTGCAAGGGACAAGGTAAAGCAGCGCGGGCTGTCCGTTGCCTTTCATCAGAAGCAGCCCCACAAACGTGAGAAGCAGGCCTGCCATGCAACGAGCAGAAGAATCAGAGGAGCGGGATGAGCATGCAGCATTGAGACTGTGGCAAGGCACACATGTGAAATGAGCAGACTAGAGCAGACCACCTTGTGCTGTGAGTGCAGGACGTGCATCACGAATGCACCACATGTAATGCAAATGCAAGCCACAAATGAAAGTTTGCCGCTTCTCAAGCGTACAGAGAAGAGAGCCAGAATCGTACCCACAGCATAGCCGATGATGGCCGGCAGATAGTACCCATCCATGCCCATCTTCTTGGTGATGCAGTCGTATCTGAGTGACTCAAAAGACAACACAGAAGAAGTATTTTTTACAAATCTCTCACAAAGACGTCAACAGCCGCCCGTGCCCATCTTCTTGGTGATGCAGTCATATCTAATGCACTCGGAATCAGAGGAGAGATACACAGGTCGGCGGGTAGGAGGGAGTCAGCCAAGAAAAAGAGGAAGGCATAGCAGAGGGGAGCAGAGAAGATTAAAGCAGAGCAGATTGGAGCAACACCAAGACCACAGCTGGCAACAATGGATGTACATTCACTCCAATTCAACGAGTCAAATTGCCTGGAAGTACGCAACAAGTCACCACAACGAGTCACCTTCTGGTGAAGACAATGAGCAGGCCTGGCAGCACGATGTTCCCAAAGCTCAGCTCGGAGTATCCCTCCCCGGGATCCGTTATGTGAGGCACCTTGAGCAGCGGGAGGATTATTTAGGCGCCTAAGAAAATGAGAACAGCAATCTACCTTCTGCTGAAGACGATGAGGAGGCCTGGCAGCACGACATCGCCAAAGCCCAGCACAGAGTATCCCCCCCATGGATCTGTTATGTGCGGCACCTTGAGCAGCATGGGTATGCCCTCTCCTCCCGTGCGCTCCCCTGTTGCCACCTGGAAGGAAGCACAGGATTGGACGAACAGAACACACAGTTTTGAGTACGTCGGAGAGAATGAGACGGGGACGAACCGACGTGGATGGCAAATACTAATCGGATGACAAGCGGAAATGGAAGGCAGGCAGAAAATGGACCGTGCAGACGCACTGACCTCGATCATAACGCTCTTTCCGTTGAAGAAGAGCGGCGAGATGAAGACCCAGAAAATGTCGTAAAAGAAAGCGAGGGAGAGCAGCACAGTGGACACCTGGTGAGAGGGGAGAGACATGCTGAGAGACATGCTGAGAGACATGCTGAGAGACATGCTGAGAGACATGATGAGGAGGGGAAATGGAAGACACAACACAAGCCCATGCATAGCCCATGGCAGTGTACAAGGGTGGGGGTGCAATGGAGCAATCGAGGGTGTGAGGATGTGAGAGTGCGAGTGCGAGAAGGTGCGAGGACCGGCGGACTGACCTTGATGTTGGGCAGACGCACTGCCTGCAGCACCGTGATCATCAGCGCTATGCCCTGTGATAGGGTGGGGAGGGGTGGGGGGGAGCGGGCGGTAAAAGGACAAAGAGGGCTTCAGACGCACTGCCTGCAGCACCGTGATCATCAGCGCTATGCCCTGCCGGGGGAAGGAGGGACGGGGAGAGTGGGGCGCGTGGTGGGATGCAAGGGGAGACAGGGGGAGGCGAGGGAAGGCGGCACATGATGTGGGTGTGGAGTGACGACAGTCGTACCCCACCTCGTTACAAGGCAGCTCAAAAGAAAACTCGCCTAAGAAATCATACAGCAAGAAGACTATTAAGACAGCAAAACCCCCCTTGCCCTTCCCCTTTCCCAACCCCCCTTCCCCACTCCTCCCCAACCCCCTTCACTCCATTCTCTTGCTCATACCAGGACATCCTGCTTCTCCTGATTCTATTGCCTTTCCCATAACAGGATATCCTGTGCCACTCTGAGTGGGCGCAAGCCCCCCCTTATTATAAAGCAAGATAGCCCAGGAGACACTTCCGAGAAGAATCAAAACTAGTACCAGGATATCCTGTGCCACCCATGCATCCGGGTGGATGTAACCCAACCCAACCCAACCCAACCCTGTGTAGTCATACCAGGATATCCTGTGCCACCCATGCATCAGGGTGGTTGCGGAAGATAGCCCAGGTGATGGTGAGGGCGAGGGAGAGCAGGAAGGAGGAGAGGGAGAGCCAGGAGACGAATCCGAGGAGGGGGAGAGCAACGCCGTGAGGAGACTGGAGTGGGAAGAGCCTGGAAAGAAAGAGAGAGAGATGCGGGGAGGGGGAATGGGAAGAGACACATTAACGGAGGAGGAAGGGTACTAGACCAAGCAGAGAGGAAGGAGGAGAGGGAGAGCCAAGAGACGAAGCCGAAGAGGAGGAGAGCAACGCCGAGAGGAGACAAGAAAAACAAGAGAATGGAGAAGAGCCTGGAGGGAGAGGATGAGAGATGCGTGTGGGGACGAGGGCGAAGGGAGAACAAGCGAAGGAGGCCTGAGGAGCGGGAAAAACAAGAGAGATCCGAAGATGGGAGAGAAATCCGAAGATGGGAGAGAAATCCGAAGATGGGAGAGAAATCCGAAGATGGGAGAGAAATCCGAAGATGGGAGAGAAATCCGAAGATGGGAGAGAGGGCCACCAGCAAACGAATGAAAGGGAACCCTCCAGATCGAATTCGAAGGGAGTGAAAGGCGGGGCGAACTGGGGAGAGAAAGGGAGAAGGGGAGCGGAATGGTCCAGGTAAACAGAGGTAAAAGTGATGGTGCACGGAAATGGCAGAAAGATTTGCTCCTTGTTAGAGAAAGAGTAAAAAACTGAGGGATGAGAAAATTTTGGGGATGAAATCGCATGGGAACGATGGGAGTGGTGGCGAGAAGGAAGAGTAATGTGGGGGCGGATATGGCAAAAATGGGGTGGCGCAGAAAAGGGGAGCGAGCAAGGAAGTCGAAAGGTCAAGGAACGGGAGGGAGCAAGGAAGAGGGCGGGAATAAGGAAGAGGAAAGGTTGACAGACCTGTGGAGGAGCGAGGAGAGGCACACATAGAGCGACTGCATGGCAAAAACAGGATACAGGGGCATGTCGGGGCATACAGTGGCATACAGTGGCATACAGGCACATACAGACGCATACAAGAGCGAGAGGTGGGGGACCACAGGGTCAGGAGTGACAGATACAAAAGAGGATGTTAAGAATGGAAGTGATTCTTGAGTCGACTAAAAACTCGGCCGCACGGAGAAAGACAGGAGATGAGAGGTGGGGGGGTGACACATGATCAGGAGTAAGAGGATACAACAAGAACACATGCTGCATGACAGGGTCGCACATAAAATGCATGCAAAAGGGGAGGAGCGTGAGGATGATGTCGGAGACGAGAAGCTGGAGGAAGCAGCCCCAGGGCGAGAAGGGGCGACATGAGGACAAGACAAGAAGGGAGCGTGAGGATGAGGGGCGACATGAGGACAACAAGACAAGAAGGGGTGGTTTTGAGTCGACTCGAAGGGGCAACAGCTGCTGGAGACTTGAAGGGGCAACAACAGCTGCTGGAGACTTGAAGGGGCAACAACAGCTGCTGGAAACTTGAAGGGGCAACAACAGCTGCTGGAGACTTGAAGGGGCAACAACAGCTGCAGGAGGAGAGTGCTGCAGAAGAAAGTGATCCCTCCTCACCTCGAGCGCCGCAACGCAGAAGAGCATGAGGATGATGTAGAAGACGAGGGGCGACATGAGGAAGAAGAGCAGCAGCAGCATGACAGACGACATCACCACAAAACCCACTGCTGACCCCACTGACATGTCATACGCTCCCGAGGAGTCGCCTTGTGGCTGGAGTATTGGGGAGGAGAGAGGGGATATAAATGAGGTGGACATGAGCAGGGGTTGCAGCAGCAGTGCTTTGTGACGTGTATTGAGACGTGTTTTGAGACGTCTCAAAACACTTCTTCAATCACGGGAGGAGAGAGGGGATATAAATGAGGTGGACATGAGCAGGGGTTGCAGCAGCATCACAGACAGCATCACCACGAACCCCACCGCTGACCCCGCTGACATGTCGTAACTTTTGAGTCGACTCAAAAGTCTCCTACTGACATATCGTAACTTTTGAGTCGACTCAAAAGTCTCCTACTGACATATCGTATGCTCCCGAGGGGCCGCCCTGGGGCTGGTAGGGACAGTGGGAGTGGGGAAGAGGAGACATGAATACGGGAGACAGGGGCGCAGGCCGAAGCTGACCCCACCGACATGTTGCACGCTGGCTGGTGCCTGCCTATGGCACGGGTCAGCAAGAGCAGACCAGGAGATCACGAGGAGATTAGCTGGAGGGAGTTAAGGTACGACAAAGCGAGGTTTGGCGAGAACAATAAACATCCCTGCGTTCGCGGCTGCGCCCTTCAACTGCTCTGCTAGCTGGCTCACTCACTCACTCACACATCCTCGCATAAAAGCAAACCCCATCACCATCATCACCCGCCCCAACCTTGTCCCCACGTTTCAACACCCAATCACTGCACCTCTTCTACTCCCCCACCACATCCTCCTTCCCTCCCCCATCTTCCCCCGTTCCCCCCCCCCACTCCCCCCGTACCTGGTCCGCCAGGGACTGCCCCGCGCCACTCTTCCCTTCCAGCGCGGCCTTCTCCTCCGCGGCAGCCCACGCGGACGCGCCCACGAGCGACAGCAGCGCCAGCGCCCACAGCACCAGCTCTGCCAGGTCCAGCAGTGACCGCGGAGGCGCGTACAGGGACACAGTGACTGGCGCGGCGGAGGCGGAGGCGGAGGGGGAGGCGGAGGCGTTGGAGAGGGCTTGAAGGAGGAATTGGCCTGACGAGTTGGAGACCATGACCACCGGTATAGTCACAACGCCTTCAGTCAAGTCTGTTGCGTTGCAACCCATGCCAATGATACCTGCCACGGGGAACCCACGTACAAGTTTTGAGCCGTCACAAAGGAGGCCTTAGCTGAAACTTACCTAACTCTATGCATTGACATATATGCTGAAACACACCCAATCACTATCACAAATACATGACCCCAAAGCGTTAAAAACACGATCAAATCACATGTACAAAACGTACATCAAGTCCCATTCACATTCAAATCGCCTGCAGGCCATACCTTGTTTGACCATGATAGCAGCAGCAGCTCGCAGCCGCTGCACGCGGAGGGCCTTCGAGGCTAAGCTGCACTCGCCTTTTGAGGCGCCTCAAAAACGAAAAAAACACATCAAGTCCCATTCACATTCACACCACCTGGGTTACCTTCTTCACTGTTGATGACGATGGCAGCAGCTGCTCCCAGCCGCTGCACGCGGAGGGCCTTCGAGGCGAAGCTGCAGTCGCCTCGCTGCACTAACACTGCCTGGCCCTGAAACTGGCATTGGGGAGATGGGTGAAGGTGGGCGGAGGATACGGAAAGAAGTGATAGACAGGAGGCATGAAGACGTGAAGAGGCGGAACATGGAGTGAGGTTGAAAAAAAGCCTAGGATAGAAGCACCTGCGCGACAAATTTGACTTCAGGAGCATGGTGACTAACGAGGGCGAGGAAAAAAGACGGGGCTCTGAGCGCACGTACTGAAGGGAGAGGAGGCAGGGGGTCGGAACAAGCAAGCAGGGGCTGCATCTGCGCAAGGGAGAAGGAGAGCGCGTCAGCCTTGGTCTTCGGAAGCCCCGCGCCGAAGCTGGCTTCGAGAGCGAGGATTTGACGGTCATTGCTGCCGCTGATGGTGGCGTTGCCTCCCACGTGCACGGAAAGCTTGACCTGAGGTGGGGGGATGGTGAAACGAGATGATTTTTGAGTTGAATCAAACCCGAATCTCGAGGTCACTGCCGCCGCTGATCGTGGCGTTTACTTTCACGTGCACGACAAGCTTGACCTGAGGTGAGGAGGAGGTGGGATGTGAGTTTCAGTCGACTCTAGAGTCGTATTGGGCTGATTATTCAAGCTAAGTTGAGGGGATGGTGGGATTGTGAAAGGATTGTGAGGAAACTCGGAGATTGTATCAGAGATGACTATGATGAAGCAAGGAAGGGATCGCCGTACCATTTCCACGCTGTTATCGCATCCTTGTCGCGGAGACTGTGCGCTTACGGACGGCGGACACAAAATCAGGACGAGCGAGAACAGCGATAGTAACAGAAGCCGTAGTGACGCTACACCCGGAGTGTGCTGTACAGGCAAGCATGATCGGCGAGTACTCGGCGCTCGGGTCAACCATCGACGGTCCATCTCAGACAGTACGACGATACGGTTGATAATTAAAGAATAACGTATGCGTTGGATTCGTGATGCTTCGGGCGGGACGAACTGGCGTCAGAATCTGCTACTTTAGAGACGTCCCTAACCTCGTGGGAGTCTGCTAATAAACTCTCGACAAGCTAAGCTTATCCTCGCTAAGATCACGCATCAACTTCTTAACGAGTAAAAAAAACCACGGATTCCTGACCAAGGACCAACTCGGTCCTCTCTCGACGACGGCACGGAGGGGAATCTCGGAACTGTCAGCCGTGAGGGAGACCTATGGCTGACAGATAAGACAATGAGGATCAACTATTGAACTCGTCGACACGAGAGTTCCGTTGAAAGGTAGGGCAAATTCTAGGTTGGATTGGCTCTACTGCAGGATACCACTCTCTAACGTGTGAAAACGTACTACACCGTACTCGACGACCGAACAGTGACATTGAAGGGTTACTTCCGAAGCTTTGAAGCTGGTTCGACGTGGACCTGTGGTCTTCTGACACTACGACCACGTTGTCAGTTTCGAGGGCTTTCCCGCGCATTTGCTGTCTGAAAAAACTGCAAATTCTGTAAGGATTTACAAATCCTCAGGGCGCGTCAGATCCGTTACAAGGTGATTTGGCCGGAATTTGGTCGACAATTTGGTCGACAATATCTTTCGTCAAAGTCGACAACATGGTCTACTTCAATAACGACCATAATCCGGCCACATTTACAGGGCCGGAAAAACTGACACATTTGGTGACCGATTTGATGGCCGCTTTGCAAATGTTTCAGATTTGCAGTTCGCCAGGGTCGCCGGATTGTGCGACGGAATCGCGGATGCAGTACTTGTTTGACACGTTGCGTCGCACGAGTTGGCGACGTTGCGTAGTGACTGTAGTGATCTCAGGTCGACAAATTGGTCGATTTTCGAGTTGACTGCACGTCGGAACTTTGTCGAATGCTGAACCGGCCATCAATTTTTGTACAAATGGCCGGATTTGACGAACTCTCCGAAAATCTTTGCGGATGTCGCGAATGTGTTACCTTCGTTAATTCCGGCCGGCCGGATTTTTCCGACAACGGATCTGACGTACCCTTACTGAGGCACTCGTTAGCGAGGCCATCCCGAGGGTCATGCGACGAACCTGTCTTGCCTATTTCGTCGCACCGAACCACCTCCGAGTCGGCCTCCGCACCAATCGCAACCATCACCGAGCCATCCCATCCCGAACACCCCGCCTAGCTAGCTTTTCCCCTATTTCGGCCTCCTCCATTGTTTCTGCATTCAGTAATTCAGTAATTTCCATTCTCGTTATTCGTTTTACTGCGCACTCTGCAAGTTGATTCATAACAAATTCTATATATTCAAGCGTGTTACGAATGCAATTGAGTGAACGAATGAGAATTGCACCATCGAAGCAAAAGTACAATGAGCGAAGGCATGAGCGAAAAATATATAGCAAAACTACAGTGGTAACGGTAATGGACTGTGGTTGTCGCGCGACGGGCCTCGGACCGAGGTTGGGAATAAGTGTTGAAGCAGAGGCCCGGAGCGCGAGTTACCCGCTGAGCTGTGAGGTTGGGGTGCGACGTGCGAAGGTGGCGGGCGGATTGTCAATGCGAGGATTGCAAGTGGTAACATGGTGACTGTGGTGCAGCAGTGATGTACGCGTTGAGCAGGGATGCGAAGTAAGGAAAAGGGATTTTCCTTACAAAGCGTCATAAAAGTCGTGATATTTTTAGGATGTCTTACAAGGTGACCACCTTACGCAAATTTTATCATTTACACTCAGCCCCACTAACTACTCTCGTCTCCCTGCCTACGAAAGTGTGCCTCCTCATGCTCATACTCGTCGTCCTCATCATCCCCATCCATTTCCTCCATCTCATCATTCTCCTCCGCTTGCTCCGCATTCTCGCACAGCCTCGCATACTCCCTGTAGATCTTTCGGCTCTTGAGCCACGTCATAATCGTCATGACTGCAAGGCCGACAATTGCCAGCCCTCCAAGCGCAAAAATGGCGATGTATTTGGGGCTCAAGGTGCTTGAAGCGATGTATTTCACCTCCATGTCACAAATCCCCGCCAGTGTCCCTTCCGGAAGCTTCTCCGCTCCAGAAAGGTCCTCGTTACAAGTCTTCGGGAGCTTCCAGATGTATGTTACGTTGTGCACACCGTTGGCGTCGGTGCAAGAGTCCTCAAATCTCTGGTAGTCGTCCTTGGTGCAGGGAAGGCAGAACTCATCAGGAGGTAAGGGCACCTGGGGATTTGGCTGGCAAAGCTGCCAGTTTGGAGGGGTTAGAGGAAACAGGTACTCAGGAGAATTGAGCAAGCATACATTACCAACATGAAGAGCCAAGCCTGCGCCTTAACTCAAACACAAATTCAGGACAACATCTCCACAATAACCAAACCGAACACTTCTCCTTTCAGCCCTCCGCACCCAGCTACACCCAACCACAATCCACCCTTGGCTTGAATCACAGAAAACAGCCGTCATCTCCCCACTTCACCTGCCCCTGCCCCTGGAAACCCAATGAGAAGAGTACTCGTAAATGTAAATGTAGGTCAAGCAGCATACCCTTGGGGTCTTGTATTTGTAGATGAAGCGCTTGTTGTTGATACAAATGGCAACGGCCACGGGCTCCATGTCAAGCACAGTGCACAGCGGGCAGGCATACGCCGTGTACCACACCATCTGGAACAGACACAATACCGGCGCCCGCAAACCCCTTCAAACCCCGTCCGACCGCCTGCCGTTTCCACCCTCATCCAACTCCACCCAACCCAACCAGATCCCACTTTACCTGCCCCTAGGAACACAGAGAGCAACGCACCCTTGGCGTCTTGTATTTGTAGGTGAAGCGCTTGTTGTCGATGCAGTTGGCAACGGCAACAGGCTCCATATCCAGCACAGTGCACAGCGGGCACGCATACGCCGTGTACCACACCATCTGGAACAGGCATGAGACAGGCGCCTCGCGCCCCACGGGGATGACATCGCCCGACCGATTGGCCCATGCCGGGTAGGAGAGGGTGGGGTTCAGAGCTGCCTTCTTGCCCCCCTCCGTCCATGGCTCTGGGTGGCCGTAGCCTTGGGGGGAACGGAGAGAGAAAGAGAGCGTGGAGAGAGGAGAGAGGAGAGAGGAGAGAGGAGAGAGGAGAGAGGAGAGAGGAGAGAGGTGAGGAAGAAGTGGGGAGGGGTGTGCCGGGTACCACACCACCTGGAAGCGGCAGGAGCCTGGCGCCTCCTGCCCTATTGATTGCCCCACCAGCCTTATGGTCGTACCAGCCCTGGGGTCACAGATGAGGTTGGGGTTGAAGGTGCTGGGGGCATCAAACATTGGGCAGCTCTCCCCGTTAAACGACATCACCAGCCCTCGCCACCAGTCTCAGAATCTCACCACCAGCCTTATGGTCTTACCTGCCTCGGGGTCACAAATGAAGGTGCTGCGGGCATCGGACATTGGGCAGCTCTCCCCGTTGAATGACAGCACCAGCCCTCGCCGCTCTTTTGAACTCAAAGCAATACTGCTCTTATGACTTCAACTAGACGCCTCACTCACCAGCCTCGGGGTCACAGATGAAGATGAGATTGAAGGTGCTGGGGGCGTTGAACATCTGGTGAAGGCTGTACAATCAAGGTGCTGAGTTACATGTACATTCAGGTGCTTGTGCAATAGTCTAAACTCAAAGCCTCACCAGCCTCGGGGTCACAGATGAAGGTGAGGTTGAAGGTGCTGGGGGCGTCGGACATCGGGCAGCTCTCTCCGTGGAACGACATCACCAGCCCTCGCCGCTGCAGCTGCGGGTCGGAGAAGCTCCCCAAAGGGGCCAGTGATACGGTGTCCCCCAGGCTGTGGGCCGATGTGGCTGTGCTGTGCTCATTCAGATTCGGGTTGATCTGATGGGGAGCGGGAGGGGAGGCGGGGGTTAGGGAGGGAGGAGAAAGGATGTGAAGGGAAGTGGACAGGATGTGGCTGTGCTCTGCTCATTCAGACTAGGAGGGGGGGCGGGGAGGGAGAAAACGGGGTGAGAGTGGAGGGGAGACGAGGAGAACGAAGGTGAGAGGGAAGGAAATGATACTTAAGTGTGATCAAAATCAGCAGTCAAAAGCAAACAAACATGCAAGGGTCAAGGCGAGGAGCGTCTGGATATCGATAGGGCGGTTTGGCTTGGAACCAGGGCACTCACCTGGCACACATAAGTGTTGTTGAGAGGCTTCCCACTGTACATGATACACGGATACGTCGTGTTGGAACAAGTCACGTTTGTGCGCCTGCTCACCACCTTGCCACCAACAAACGCTTGAGACGCCTCAAGAAGCACTCACCCGGCACACATAAGTGTTGTTGAGGGGCTTCCCAGTGTACATGATGCACGGGTACGTCGTGTTCGCTCTCTCTCCCTTGCCGCCCCTGCCCCCCTTCCCACCACCACTATCACCACTCCACACACCACCGCCCCCAGCCGCACCACCCCCAACACCAGCACCCCCAGCAGCAGCAGAGGAAGCGACAGGGCGATACACAGCGTTATCACTGTTGCTGCGAGCACACACCGACACATAGTACTTAGGACCCTTTTGCAGGTCTACAAAGGATGGGCCTTCGTATATGGGCCCCACGAGGCGGCCTAGGTTCTGGTGCGCGAGGGGGGAGAGGTCGTAAAGGAGCGTGTCTGTACTGTTGAAGGAGCGGACGATGAAAGTGCAGAAGGAGGAGGGCGAGGTGATGTCCCCTATGGCGCACTCCGCACTGCCCTCCAGAGAGGATGTGCCCAGGCCGCACGGCTGGCAAGCAGTGCGGTTGCCCTGAGATGGTGGCAGGGGAAGGTAGAGCAAAGGGCGAGATGCGAAAAAGGTTGACTGAGAGGGAGGTGAGAGGTCGTAGAGGAGCGTGTTGGTGGAGTTGAAGGAGCGAACAATGAAGGTGCAGAAAGAGGAGGGCGACGTGACGTCCCCTATGCGAAAGATGTTCCCAGGCCGCACGGCTGGCAGGCTGTGCGGTTGCCCTGAAATGTTTGCAGGTGACGAGGACAGGGTGGGAATGGGGAAGGGGAGAGAAGAGGCAGGGTGAGAGACTCCATTGGAGCACTGGGGTTGGGAGAAGGGATGTGACGTCCGCAATGCTGCACTCCGCACTGCCTTCCAGCGAAGATGTCCCTGGTGAACAACACGGCTGGCAGGCAGAGCGGTTGCCCTGAGACAATAGGGGAGAACGGGGGAAGGAGGGACTGGCTAGCGCCATCATGGTGCACTCAAGACGGATGAAAAAAAGGGGGAATCTGAGAACACAACTGCACTCACTGCTCGCTTCAGGTTGAAGGTGTTGGCAGTGAGGGCGAAGGGCACTTCTCACACAGCCCTTCCCCGCCCTCACTGTAAAACCCAGCAGCAGCGCATTCCTCCCACCAATCCTCACTCTGCCCTTTGCTTAAGGAGCCAAAGAGTAAAACTAACCGCAGGTTTCGGGTTGAAGGTGTTCGCAGGGCACTTCTGGCACAGCCCTTCCCCGCCCTCACTGTAATACCCAGCAGGACACTCCTCCCACGCGTCCCCGCTCTGCCCCTTCTGCGCGCCTGCAGGGATGCGCACACACCCGGGCGCGCCCCCCTGTGCCGCCCCCCACATGCGCACGCTGTGCAGGATGGCAGAGGAGCGATCGACGGAGGTGCGATCGGCGTTGAGGGTGACCCACACCCACATGATGCGGTGGCTGCCTGCTGCCAGCGGCCAATGCTGGCTGCTGCTGCGACCCACTGGCACGCTCACGCCCATGCTGCCCCCGTCCTGAGGGAAGGTGGGAGGGGAAGATGGAGAGAGGAGTGGGTGAGAGAAAAAGGAGACAAGAGCAGAGAGGTTTGCGATCAGGTTGTCATTCATGTAAGAGAAAAGGTAAAGTTGCGATAACCTTCTCAGAAATCCCACCAACCTCACCTTCTCAGCACATGCTCATTGTCCCGCAACACATGCCCACCATACCTCGGTATTCTCCAGCAGATTATCGTCTACATGGAAGAGGCCGCGCTGCAGGTCACCTTATCGTTGACATCACCCACCTGAATACCACACAGCACTGCTCAACATCGCCTGACACTCACTACCTCACAGCACCGCATATCACACCTCAATGTTCTCGAGCAGGTTGTCGTCCACGTAGAAGAAGAGTCCGCGCTGCAGGTCGCCAGGAGGGATGTCCACGTCAAAGTCGTATGTGATGTAGCCAGGGATGGTGAGATTCACTGTGAGTGCCAGCCACACCTGCGGGGAGACGGGAGAAGGTGGTAGGCAATACAAGGAGTAGATGATGAGAATGCTTGGCAAGTGTGGTTGGACTCATGAACAACAGGTCCCCAGGAGGGATGTCGACGTCAAAGTCGTATGTGATGTAGCCGGGGATGGTGAGATTCACTGTGAGCGGGCCAGCCACACCTGCAGGGAGGGGGAAACGAGGGAGATGAGAATCAGGAGGTGGTATGGTTTGGCACATGGACAAGCAAAGTCATATGTCATGTAGCCGGGGATGGTGAGATTCACAGCCAATGCTAGCCACACCTGCAGAGACAAGGGAGAGTGGTGGGGAGGGGTGAGCTTGGGTGGCACATAGACAAGCAAAGTCGTATGTGATGTAGCCGGGGATGGTGAGATTCACCGTGAGTGCCAGCCACACCTGCAGGGAGAGGAGAGAGGGAAGGAGGATGGAGAGAATGGGAACGCGCCATGTTATGGTGCATGGTCACACGATATGGTGCATGGTCACACGATATGGTGCATGGTCACACGATATGGTGCATGGTCACACGATATGGTGCATGGTCACACGATATGTGATGTAGCTGGGGATAGAGCGAGGGGGAGGGAAGACACGGTTGAGAGGACGATGAAACAAAGTAGGTGATACTGTCGGACCAAATTCACCTCTCGCGAACCAAATTCACTCAACCAACAAACACACTTACAGAAACAGCTTTGCCGTTATTTGCCCCCACCACCCAAGATCAAGTGCACTTAACTAACAAACACACTTACAGAGGCAGTCTTGCCGTTATTCGCCCCCGAGTCCAGATAATCCCCCACCACTCGCCACCCGCCTGACCCACACTCCCCACTGCATCCAGTCTGGAAGCCGCTGGGAAGCTTCCCCTCTTCCACGGTGCGGAAGTGCTCCAGCAAGAGCATCCTCACTGCTGCCTCGCCAGGCTGGCACGGGTGGCAAGTTTCGTCCGATGTGGTTGAGGGGGCTGCAGAGGGAGGGGCAGCCGCGCCTGGAGGGGGGAGTGGTTGTACTGTTGATGCTTCTGAGACGTTCCGCGCTGTGCCCTGAAAAAGGGAGGGAAGGGGGATGGAAAAAGGAAGAGGAAGGGAGGAAGGAACATGGGAATGGCAGGGAGGAGAGCAACGTGAGGGGAGGAACGAGTGTTGCAGATTGAGGAAGACAATGGGAGGTGGGTGGGGGTTAGGGCGGTTAGCCAGAGAAGCATCATACAGGGTGGCTGCAAGAGTTTCAAACGAAGCAGGGATTGGCTAGAGGCAGATGGCAGAGAGAATGAGTGAAGGCAGAGAGTGAAGGCACAGAGTGGCTGGGCAGACGGCCAAGAGAGTGGGTGGGGCGAGGGCGTACAGTGGGGCAGAAGGTGCAGGTGAGAGTGTCAGTGGCAGAATCCACAACTGCGTACTGCCCTGACGGGCAGGGCTCTGCACACACGGGGCCAGAGGGAGGGAAGAGAGATATGTGCCAGGGAAGCGGCAATAGGGAGAAAGAGTCGACTTTTGAGTCGACTCAAACGTCAGCTCTGCACACACGGGGCCAGAGGGAGGGAGGAGAGATATGTGCCAACCTGGCAAGGAAGGGGTGACAGGGAGAAAGAGAAACACATGGAGGTGATTTCTGAGGTGCCTCAACGATGGTCTCATCTCACAGAAAGGGAGAGAGGCATGTGCTGAGAAATGAGTGGTAGAGACAGAGAGATGCATGGAGGCAGTGGCACGCCCTGCGTCAGCGCCAATACCACTGATCCATGCACTACAGAGACGTGCAGAGCCGGGCTGTAGCCAAGACTCAGTGGAGAGGCAGTGGTGTGAGAAGAGAGGCGGTTACCGCATGGCTCGGTGGTGTTGGGAGGGAGGCCATGGGCGGGGTCGGGCTGGCAGACTTGAGGGGAGAGCCACGACCACACCCTGGTGCGCGTGCGCGAGGAGGCAACGCAGGGGGTGAAGGTGGGCGTGGCGTCTACTGTCACGTTGCACACTGGAAGGGGGGGAACGGGTGAATGATATGGAGAGTGAATGACACTGATACGCCTTGGTGAGATCCACGACGACCGCACTCACGTGCGCGTGCGTGACGAGGCAGCCAAGGGGTTGAAGGTGGGGGGGTTCAAGTATTCAGGTGTTGCACAGGGATGAAATCATGGAAATAGTCACAAAGCTCTGGGTGTACTGGGTGTGGGGCATGGTGAGGGTGGGGTGCACTCACGAGGGCGTGGGGTGCACTCACGAGGGCGTGGGGTGCATTGGGTGCGGGGTGTGGCGAGGGCGAACGTGGTGCTGTTGCACGCCTCGCACTGGCCTGACCCCTCCCTGGTTGAAGGTGGCAGGGGAAAAGGACATGTGCGCGAGAGGGGAATGGGGGAAAGGGAAAAGAGGCGTGGGGAGACAGGAAGGTTTTTGGAAATGTGTGGAGAGCGTGTGAGAGCACGGTGCGCAAATTGCAGCAAGGCATTAAGAAGCAAGGGAGAAAGGCATAAGAAGCAAGGGAGCGAGACAATAGAGTAGAGGGTGAGGGAGTCATAAGCAGCAGTGGGACGGCTGTGGAAAGGGAAGTTGTAAACATGGTGGGCATAAGGGCCGTTCCTTTTGTAAAGACACACACCACGTGGTGTGTGCGATTAGGAGGGAAGGAGGAGAAAGAAGAGAACTAAGAGAGATAGGAGATAGGGACGAGGGGAGAGAGAGGAAAAAGAGGAGAGTGAACAGAGAGGAGAGAGGGGAGAGAGGAGACAGAGAGGGGACAGGGGGGGAAGAGAGGAGAAAGGATCGAGGAGAAAAGGAGAAGATGGGAGAGGGAGGGAGGTGAGCGTACGCTGAGATGTGGTCGGGAGGGCATGCTGTGCAGTTGGTGGCTTGCTCCCCACTGATGAGAGGATGACATCATGAGGAGCATGGGAGCATGTGATGATGAGAGGAGTGTGGTGAGGGGAAGCACAATCCCACACACACAGGTGTGCGTACCCACTCGCAAACACACACTCACTCACCCACCCACACCCCTCTCTTCCCCCCTCCCACACACAAAAAACGCACGCACGCAGAAACACAACCACACGCACACAAAGGCACATGAGGATTGTCCAAGCAGCCGCTCAGGAGAAAAAAACACAGCAACAAGAAGCAGTGTGATTCATGAGGTGAGCACACTGATAATGCAGCAGCAGCAGCGGGACCATGCGCATGCAGCAGCTCAGAAAGCGAGTGGAGTGGAGAAGCAGACAAGACCTGAAGAAGCCGGCAGGGCATTTGAGGCAGGCTGAGTCGGTGAATGCAATGCCGTCCACCTCCAGAAACTGCAGGTTAGATGTGAAAGGGAGGCATGCAGAGATAAAGAGGCAGATGGAAAGAGAGGCACACAGAAAGTGCGTTCACAGTTTAGAAACTTTAAACGCTTCAAATTCAGAAGGTTTAGACATGGTGTAGAAACTAAAAGTGTGGAGGAGGACGGGCAGAAAACATAGAAGCAATTATTTTCAACTCTACAGCAACACATACGACCATGGGGGGTGAGCCAAGGACCAGAGCTGGAGTTGCAAACCCTACACCTGTAGGGCGACAGAGTCCCTGCCCTGCGTGAATGAGGAGCCTTTGACATCAGATTCACATGAGCATGTGTGTGTGCCTCCCTGCTGCCAGTTGTGTTTTGGTCGCCGCAAAAACAAAAGCTGGCTACCAGACCGACAAAAGCCACACACCACCTGTAGGGCGACAGAGTCCCTGCCCTGTATGAATGACGAGTCCTTGACATACGCCCACACGAGCGTGTGCCTGCCTGCCCACAGCGAGTTGTGTTTTTGAGTTGACTCAAAACACGAAATGGTTACCAGACTGGCAAAAGGCACACCTGTAGGGCGGCAGAGTCCCTGCCTTGTGTGAACGACGAGTCCTTGACATACGCCCACACGAGCGTGTGCCTTCCTGCTGCCAGGGGGAAGCGGACCTCCTTAGGATCGAACTGCAAAGGGAGAGGGACCATGGGAGTTTTAGGGCACGGGAGGGTTGAAAACCGGAAAGTTGAGAAGGGAAGGACGTAACTCTGATAAGGGTGCAGCTTACACACAAGAGTGCTGACAAAGCAGCACCTGGTGCAGCACTCACCTGGTGCAGCACTCACCTGGTGCAACACTCACCTGATGCAACACTCACCTGATGCAACACTCACCTGATGCAACACTCACCTGGTGCAACACTCACCTGGTGCAACACTCACCTGGTGCAACACTCACCTGGTGCAACACTCACCTGATGCAGCACTCACCTGATGCAGCACTCACCTGATGCAGCACTCACCTGGTTGTAAGCCAGCAGCATGGCGGGGGTGTTAAGGTCGTCGATATAGAACACCAGTCCATCCCGCTGCCGCTCCGAGCTCACTGTGAAGCGGAATGTGACATACCTGGTGGTGGGTGGGGTGTATGGGCGGAGAGGGAGGAGGAAAGGAAGAGAAACAGGGCTGTTGAGTCGACTGGAATTCTCACCGCTCTGAGCTCACTGTGAAGCGGAATGTGACGTACCTGGTCCTGGTGGTGATGGATGGGCAGGGAAGGAGGAGGAAAAGTGGGTGGGGTGAAAGGCGACAAGGACTCAAAGGGCGAGTTTGAAAACTATGCCTTCCCTGTTAAGTGAGAAGGACGGGGAGGGAGTGCAGGAGGAGGGAGTGCAGGAGGATGTGGTCTAAATGTAGTTGAATTTGGCTCACCCGTCCCTGACGAGAGTGAGTGGCAGCTTGAGCGAGGACTGCAGGTTGTTGTGGCACGTCATGTTGGTGAAGTACGCACACTCCTCCTGCTCACACGGCCACAACAACAGAGATGAGTAACGGTTGCAGTGAGAGAGCTTTTTGAGGCGCCCTCAGAAAGCGAGGACTGCAGGTTGCTGTGGCATGTCATGCTGGTGAAGTATGCACACTCCTCCTGTTCACACGGCAATGAAATCGATGGATAGTGACTGCAGTGCATGGATGGTGGCATCAGTTAGTCAGGAAAGATGTTTTCCTGTGGAAAAGGAGTAACTGCACGTGTGTTAATCAGATCACGAATGGAAAAAAACACATGCAGAAACATCAGCACGTGCAAACGGGCACACGGGCACATGAGCACACTCCAATGTGTCACGGACATGTAGCAGTCAAATGAATGGACTGCTGGGTCACGCAAACACCACCCATTCTCCTGCACTCATCATCACCCAGTAAACAAAATTCACCAGGCAGGCACCAGCGAAATTCCATTATACTCCATTCCACACACAAGCACCGCACCGCACTGCACACCTCGAGCCAGTAGTTGGCAGGGTCGTAGGAGCCCACTTTCAGCTGCCCCTCCTCCGCATACCACCCCTCACAGGGGAACGTGCCCGTGTTGTTGCTGAACGAGCACTCTGTCTGCATGGCAATGGGTGAAACCAGGGGGAGGGCGGCAGGAATTGGCGGCGGAGCGGAGGGAAATGAGAGAAGAAGCAGGGACGCTGGGGCACACATGCTGCCCCTCCTCCGCATACCACCCCTCACACGGGAACGTGCCCGTGTTGTTGCTGAACGAGCACTCTGTCTGCATGGCAATGGGTGAATGATGGAAAGGGTGAGAGGAAGTTGGGCCGGAAGGCAACATTTTGAGTTTGGGAGTTACTTGAAGATAACATGCGCAAAAATGCTGCAGGGGTTGCCTGCAGAACCCCAGCTTGAAGTCAGGCATTCCCTAAAGCACAACACTTCGAGGACCTTGAGTTCAAGCATTATAAAGCACAGCATCCACCTGCAACACAACACCCTGGGTTGTTAACAAAGCATCGTGCTTTATGAATACTGTTTATCAAGCATGGCTCCCACCTGGAAAACCTTGAGGTCGAGGTCCTTGAAGACATCATAAGACCTTTCAAAGACCTTAAGTTCAGGCATTCATAAAGCACAGCACAGAACCCACCTGCAACACAACACCCTGGGTTCAGGTGTTAATCAAGCGCAGCTCCCACCTGGAAGACCTTGGGGTCGAGGTCCTTGAAGGCATCATAACGGAACCCGCCTCCCATGCTATAGTAGCCTGCATGCGATAGACAGCAGAGGATAGAAAGCAGATGCGTAATGATGCCAAAGTGAAGGCAAAAGGCATTTGTACCCTTGAATCTTTGTCACAAAGAAGTTCCTGAATATATCAACAGGGCCGCAGTAAGGGACCTCTCAAATGATTTCAACAGTAAGAGAGTTACGACCAACCCTCTCCCCCATTCCCGCCCCTCCCCTTTCCTCCGTTTCCACAGACACGAGTATACCTTGCGGGCACTTGTGACAGTTGTTGCCTTTGAGAAACATCCCCGGGCCACACCGCGTGTCTGCACACACATGCATTCAGTCAGTCAGAGACGCACACACACAGCAAGGCACACACACATATGCTTGCAGCCATAGGTGAACGCACGGAAACAGCAAGGCACACAAATGGATGGGCACGCATGTGGGAAAACAACGCATCCACACAGGAGTGAAAAAATGTACGTTTAGTGTGTATGCCAGCATTTATGCATGCATGTATGTGTGCAAGCAGGCTTGGGCGCAAGCACGCATGTGTGCAAGCAGGCATGTGTGAAGCAGGCATGGGCGCATGCACGTATGTGTGCAAGCATGCATGTGTGAAAGCATGCCTCACCGCAAGGAATGTAGTCGCTGGGAGGGAGGGCAAGGGAGCCACGAGCAGCAGGGTTGCACTGATTGTCGAAATAGTACACCACCTGATGGTGGGGAGGGGAGGACGATATTATGGGATTCATGAGATGAGCTTTGACGAGCGTGCACACTACATGCTGCAGGGTTGCACTGGTTTGTCAAAGTACTACACCACCTGATGGTGGGGAGGGGAGGATATGGGATGGCGGGGGAGAGGATAGGAAGTTAACAAAAGGTTTTTGAAGATTCTACACATCACAAACAGCAGGGTTGCACTGGTTGTCAAAGTAATACACTGCCTGATGGTGGGCAGGGAAGGATATGGGATGTCGGGGCAGGAAATATGGGGTGATGCGGGACGAGGATATAGGGAGGTAAGGAGGAGGATATGGGGTGGTGAGAGTAGGGATATGAGGCTCATGGAGCATGTTATGATTTGAGGAGTCTACAGGTCATGTGCTGCAGGGATTGCACTGGCTGCCAGAGCTATACACCACCTGACTGCTGATTGGTGGCTGGGTGGGTCACGAATGTAGTCCAATCCCATGTGTGCGTGCCATGCCACTGCCAACTCTCCAGTGGGGTTTCTACATATGTCAACCACTAAAGAGCTGTGTCGAGCCTCTGGCTGTGTCAACTAAGTGAGATGAACGGCAGTAGAGGGACGCACCTGGATCATGCGAGTCTTGGAGAGCTGCTGATTGGTGGCTGGGTCACGGATGTAGTCGCACGTGAGGTACATGCTCTTCACGTTCGCCTCTGTGCATGGGACAGGCTTCAACTCTGCCCATGGGCATGGGTATGGGTATGGACACAGGCACAGGCACAGGCACAGGCACAGGGATGGGAAGGGTGGTAAGTGGGTCTCAAGGATTTCGCCACAGGTGAGGTTCATACTCCTCCTTCCCACGTTGGTCTCCATGCAGTGAAGTGCAGCAGACCTGAAGGACGGGCTTTGGGTCTGATGAGAGTGACAGGCGTGGGCACGGGAGTCGGGGCACCAAGAACGAAAGGTTGGAGAAGGCTGCTGCGACACTGAGGACAACGGAGCTGCTTGACGGCAAAGGCAGGCCCTGGATACAAGTAGGGTCAGAGTGCGGACTGCAGTGCCGGGTGAGTGCTGCGTGCTGCGTGCTGCCTGGAGCGTGCTGTGTGCTACACTGCTGCTTACCACAGAACAGAAGGTCCACCAGGATTCGCTTCGACTCTTGCCCTCCCTGGCAGTCTATCGTTGCAGTGTGGAGGGGAAGCGGAGGGAAGCAGGGAGGGGGGAAAGGGGGGAGAAGCAGTGAGGGGAAACAAGTGAGGGGAGAAGTGAGAGTGAAACCAGCGAGGGGGAAATACAGTGAGGGGGGGATGCAGTTGGGGGAAAGCAGTGAGGGGGGGATGCAGTGCGGGGGAAAGCAGTGAGGTACCTATGGATGAGTTGCTACATCCAGAGGAGATCCTAATGTCTAACAATTGAAACAGTACATTTGAAAGAGCTAGAGCACTTACTGCTTGGGCGATACTGCAAGTAGCATTTGCCATCATCCCCTTTCGAGTACTCCTTCGCATAGTCAGAAGGCGTACACGCTGCAAGCACACCGGGGGACGGGAGGGATTCCCAGGAACGAGACAGTCTGAGAAGTCAGCGTGCTGAATCTACAAATTTGGATTTTCACATGCTGGTTCCTTGAAAGAAACCAACCCACAAATTTAAGCTGCAGAAAACCGCATCGTAAACAGCAGGGAGTACAGACGACTAGTCTAGCAGCAACACAGGGAGTAGCGGAAAGGAAGACGGAAAGGATGGAGAGGGAGCTGACCGCAGGGCTCCTTGCGGATGTTTTCAAACTGGAACGGGTGGGCCATCTAGTCTAGCAGTGAACAGGAAAATGCGGAAAGGAGGAGGAAAGGGATGGACAGGGAACTGACTGACCGCAGGGCTCCTTGCGGATGTTTTCAAACTGGAAGGGGTCGGTGCAGTTGCGATTCGCCTTCTCAAAGTTAATCTCCCTCTTTCCATCTGCCACACCGCACCACGCAACACCACATCACACCACACCAGTCGTCAAGACATCGTAGTAGATCTTAGGATGTCTCGAAAGGTGTCGCTCTTATGCCCTGGTGCACGATACGGAACGATCTCAGATTCTCATGGCAACCATTTGCTTGAGCTTTCTAAACGATGCAAGCCTTTATCATTCATGATGCTGCATTGTGCGTGCTGCTTTGTCGCGAATGGCGTAAGGCAGTCTTACCACCAGTAAAAACTAATAACGGATACCTTGGACAAGACCATAATGAACTTGGGCAAAGCAAAATTACCTTGTCACGGTTGAGACCAGGTTACCACGAGACACCTACTACGCCGAAAGCAGTTCAATACAATCCAAAGTTCTGCGACACTCTGTTTCTCAACTCGCAGATTACCTTGACAGGGTCCAGAAGCTCTGACGTAATCCGTCAGTTCGCACGTCTGACTGCCACTGGATTCTGGCAGTTGAGCCATCGTCCTCTCGACGCAAACGAAGATGGAGAATAGTACGGTGGACACAACAATCCTCGTGCGGACTGGCGCAGACACGTGGGATCCAGATCCGCGACGTGATCCTTTAGCGATTCGCGGTGCTTGAGAATCCATCCTGGCTAGAGTCGCTCGAAGTTTATCGCACGATTCGCCTATCCTGATGCCCTGGAGATGGAAAGTCCAGTCTTCTAGGGGAGCAGAGAATGGGGAAGCGAAAATATATGAAAATCGCCGCCGTTAATGGGCCAGGTCGACAACGGCGTTGACACGAAGCGAGCCCACTGTGAGTCGCCTGTTGACGCGACCTGCACCTATCCGAGCGACAAAGGTCATGGCAATGTCACCCGAAGCGGCCTCTACTGCCTATATCAGGGACCTCCTCCTCCCAGCGCCATAAAGTGCAAGTGAATCAGGAGTGGTGAATGGGTTGTGAATCGGACGTGACGACAATACGACAGGGAGCCTTCGGGACTGCCGAGATATGCTCGAAACTTTCAATAGAAGGACGTTCGCAGGTCAGATACTACAGTGGCAACATTTTTTATGAAATTAGCATGTACACCATCCTACTTCCAACCCTTATTTTCTACAAAGAAATCAGCATACTTGGAAAATAGCTGTGCACTCAAGGTCTGACACACAAAAAGACCTCATTTCAGTCCTAACATACCACACACTAAATAACACAATTGTCGTTTCAGACCAGCTAGTTAATCTCCTCCATATCGAGGATGAACTCCACTAGCTCAGCCTTGCGCATCCTCGAATACCCCCGCACTTTCCTTTCCTTGAGCAACGATTTCAAATCCTGGGCCGTCATCGCCTCAAGCGCATCTCGCCTCTTCACCCCATTCACACTCGGCGCTGCTTCCACCACCGCCTCGATATCTCCTACATCTTCTTGGGTCACCGCTACTTCTTCAGCAGCACTGACTGATGCATCTGACACAGGAGCAGGTTCCAGCTGTTTCTCCTGAGCAGCAGCAGAACCAGACAGGTTCAGAACGACTTCTGTCAAGTGGGTGCCTGGGCGCGGTCTGGACTGGAACCTTGGGAATTGGCGCTTGAACTTAGAAGGCAGCCGGGGAGGAAGTGACGAACGCCATCGCGTGGCTGCTTCGACAAGCTCCTGTTCAGACAGAGAGGGAGATTGATTGAGTGTTTGGCCAACAATGGAACATGAGGGGAGAGGGGGGAGGGAGAACTGAACATCAGGCAACAAGATCAGGATCAATGGTGAGGGTTAAAGTTTACGGTGCTGATGACGAAGCTGACTTGCAAAATTATGGACAGGGTGGTATGGAAGGAGGGATGGAATGGGGGCAACAAGAGGCCACGCTAGTTAAAGACATGGTTACACAAGGCAAACAAATTTCCCATGAAAAAATGGATGAAGACAGAGCCGTGTCCAGCGAGCTCACAAAAGTGATGTGGAGCTGGTCTAGGAGTTTAATTTCGCAATGGGTTCATTACGGGATGGGTTTTGGGCTTTTCAGCACAAAAACCAGCTCACAAACTGGCAAAAGCCTGCACTCTTCCACGCGCGGTTATGTGGAAAGGCAAATGTTATCTGCGTTCCCTTCGTCTTTCCCGCCCGCAACAATGACAAAAGCAACTCACCGATTCATCGTCGCTGGGCTCGCCCGCTGCGGCCGCTGCCTCCAGTTTCCTCGCCATCGCATCCTTGAGCGGGCTCCGCTTCACAAATCTGGTGGGCGGCCGCTCGGGGATCGCAACAGCGACAGCAGGAGCAGCAGTGGTGGCAGACGCATGGTCAGCAGAGGCAGCACTCTCAGCAGAGGCCTCACCTGCTGCAGTAACCACAGCTGCCCTCTCGTCCTCGTGAACCGCAGATGCTACTTCCGCCATCGCTCCCGCCACCGCGCTCCGCTTAGAGCTCTGCTTGCGCCGTGCATTGGCCACGGGGGACCGCTTCGCGAACCCCATGGGGCGCTGACGCGTAGCGGCACCTCCTACCGCTGCCGCTGGTTCTGCTGCTGCTACTGCTACTGCTGCCACAGGCTCCACTACCGTCTCCTCCGTTACAGGCGCTGCTGCCACCGCTGCAACTGCTGGCTCTATCTCAGCGGCTGGTGCCGACTCCGCTACGACTGCTGCCTCTGCCTCGACTGCTGCAGGATCTGCCTCGACTGCTGAAGGCTCTGCCTCGACTGCAGCGGGCTCTGCCTCGACTGTTGCGGGCTCTTCCTCTTTGGGAATATCGGCTAATGCGTTGTCTGCTGCTGCAGCGACTACTACCGGATCGGCGCTCACCTCTTCTTGCAACGCTTCAGTAGCCGTTGCTGCTTCTGCCTCCGCTTCTTCCACTCCTGCTGGAGCAATCTCCGCAACCTCAGCTGGAGCTTCGGGCTCAGCCGGTGCGGCTGTCTCGGCTACTGGCTCTGGCGCAGGCACTGGCTCGGGTTCAGGTTCCGGCTCTGGAACAGGCTCGGGCTCTGGTTGAGGTTCGGGCTCTGCAGCTTGTTCGGGAGCGGGCTCTGAGGCAGGTTCAGGGGTGGGTTCGGTTTCCTGTGTGGGTGTTGGTTCGGCAGAGACCTCAGGTGTAGGCTCTGGCGTTGGATCAATCTTTGGGGGCGCCGAGGGGTCGACATCGCCGAAGGAGTAGAGAACGGTACCGTCAGGAAGCTCTGCTCCAAATTAGAGTTGAAATGTACACAGGGAGGCACGAATGTTCTATCGTGAGTTTTTTTTAGAAAATGTAAGTCGTTAACAAAAAAAAGGTCTATTTTTAAAAGCTTAAAAAACAGAAGTCCTACTGACAAACAGGAAGTTGCAAACATCTATCTCGCGTGATAAAAAGAGAATGCATCAAGAACAAAATGAAGCAATACGTGAAAACAATCATACCTTTGATTTCGATAATGTCGAAGAACGAAGGGGGTTGGTTCTCATCAGATTGCGCTGCCATGGCTACGCACCGCCGACCATGGCTGCTCGACCTTGTTGAAATCCATGGAGAAACGGAAACCCGGTTTAACGTCTTTACTCCGCCAGAAGCTGTCTCCGCTACGACATTGCTCCGCGTTCTGCTCAGCGAGGCCGCCGGAGGCGGAGCGCAGAGCGACAACATGGAGGTTGCTGCCGCCGTACGACTGCTCAGCATTGTCTTACACAGGATTGAAGCGCGAAGGGCGGAGAGCTCTGGTCAGCCCAACTAACCAAGGCCCTACAATGACAATGATTCCAACAATGACAACGGCCTAGAGACAAACGAGAAGGACCATTGCGAAGGTTGCTGCTTGCATGTGTTGGGTTGTGGGGGGTTGGGACCTGCTGCTGCAATGCGGCCGCATTCAAGCATGCAACTCTGATGACATTTGGTTCGTCACACTCAACCAAAAAATGGTATGTATTGGAAGAGTGGTGCAGGAAGTACTGTTCTGCCTTTGCCAGAATGGGTGCGTATGAACCTTTGACTCCATTCAGAAGTCATATTCTCGAAGTTTCAACAGAAAACAGTTCCTCGGGAGTTCCGTTGGGCAGAAACTGCAGAATCAACAGATGAGCTGGCGGTGAGCGGGAAACTGTTGTACGTGTGGCTCAGCGTCCCTCGCGCGCACATCGTTATCCACTCATGAGAATCCACTCGCTACAAAGGTGACTCGCGATAATCATTTTCCGTGCAGAGAATCAAAACTGCACTAAATCTGTTCTTCATAATTTGTAGGGTACAGCAAGAATAATGAGCCATTCAGCATCCACACATTGTCTCTTTCAAACGAGTATGCATTGGTCTGTCACCAAACGCGCTTCACACAGCAGCTGCATCTCTGCTAGAAGCAACCACCGCGATTCGCACTGAGCATGTCAGCTTTGCTGCCTGTAACATGGCTCCCTGCTCCGGCGTATTTGGGCCAAACCCGACTACTCTCGTCGCGTCGTAGTTCTCTCGCTCTCGCTGCTCCGTATCTGTTTCGCAGGACAAATTTAAAAAATCCTAGCCACGTAACGCAGTCCCGAAGTTCGCGTCTGAAAGTAAGAGCATCGGCGCCGGATATGGAGTCAGTTGCCGCGGAAGAAGCGGCGTCTAAGCCGCTCCACGCGGTGGTATGCGGGGGAGGCGTTATCGGCGCGTGCACTGCGTTTTACCTAGCGGAGAAGGGGGTCAAAGTAACGGTCGTCGAGAAGTGCCACGTGGCATGCGCTGCTTCTGGAAAGGCGGGTGGGTTCCTTGCATTGGATTGGTGCTCCGGCCCTACTGGGAAGCTCGCACAGGTGAGAGCCAAGTAACGATATTAAGTCACAATTGAGAATTCAAGAGCCACTAACACAACGTATAAAATTCAGTGAGTATTTCTTCACATACGTTGTTCAAAAGCCAGCAAAAGCCAGTATGTTAAGTCTATTCCCATTTTGCTCCCTTCTCCAATCCTTTCCCCTCCCTTTTCCCTACCAGCTGAGCTATCGTCTTCACGAGCAGCTAGCACAGCAGTTCGGTGACTGTTACGGTTACCGCAAGGTGCACACGCTCAGCCTCCAGGTCGCCGAGCCCAAAAAATCGTCTGGCGGGCAGCGAACAAAGAACTCCACGCTGCCTGGATGGATAGACGGGCCAGTGCGGGGAGTCCAAACGATGGGATCGCCAGTCACAACTGCCCAGGTTCACCCACAACTGTTCACAGAGACTCTACTTAGAGTGGCTGGGGAGAGGCATGGGGTGGAGGTACAACTGGGGGAGGTTCAAGAGGTTGCTGTGGCGCCAGTGGGGGATGCTGCTGCTTCCTCTAAAGTCACTGGTGTGATTGTAGATGGTGCTACAGTGCCAGCTGATATTGTGCTGTTTGCACTGGGTCCTTGGTCCGGCAAGAATCGTCTCATAGCACGGCTGGGCCAGATTACAGGGCTGAAGGCGAACAGTGTCGTGGTCCGGCCGAACCAGAATCCCGATGCTGTGACCAACCATATGCTCTTCCTGCAGTACAGGACAAAGGACGGGCGGCATGCAGACCCAGAAATTTACCCCCGGCCATCGGGGGAAGTTTACCTCTGTTCCGTCACAGAAGGGGATAATTACCTTCCGGATAATCCTGAGGAAATCACCACCACCCCAGGCGTCCCAGAGTTCTTAAAACGAGTTGGAGCCACAGTGTCGTCGGCACTATCAGATGTGACTATAGTGAAGGAGCAGGCGTGTTTCCTGCCATGCTCCCAGGATAATGTGCCTGTAATAGGCGCTGTGCCAGGGATGCAAGGGGCGTACGTAGCAACGGGGCACAGCTGCTGGGGCATTCTGAACGCCCCTGCTACAGGCCTGGCTGTAGCAGAGCTGGCTGTGGATGGCAGGGCTAGCTGTGTGGACCTTAGACCCTTTGACCCTGCTAGGTTCTTGTAATTTTTTTTCGTTGTAGAGTAATTTTTTATGCAGAGTAATTTTTTATGCACAATGTTGGCTTCCCCTCTCCTAATTGGTTGCGTGTGGAACAGTGGGACCTGTGCATGCTGGCATGCAAGGCGAGTCGCATAGCAGTGTGGCACAGGTGGTCATGTTTTGCCCTTGTTGTAGGCCTGGGCTGCATCAGTGCTGACAGCTCATTTCACTGCCAGGATATAAATAGAAATGTAATATATGTATCATCACTGTCATTTCAGAAGATATATAGTTTAGTTCTTTGGTGTATGGGATGTTTTTCAACTAAGTATTCTTCATTGATAGTGAAATACACCCTATAAGAATAGCCCATGTCTAGAAATGTAGCATTCAGATCAGTTGGTCTGGTCTAGCGTGCGGCGGTACGGTGTGCACAAGAGATGCGAGTGGAGGGCAACCACAGCGTCTTGAGCGGCGAGGGCGGGAGGGCGAGCAGGCATGAGAGGGAGAGTGAGAGGGAGAGCAAGAGGGGGAGTGAGAGGGGGAGTGAGGGGGGAGAGGGGAATGAGAGGGAGATGAAGTGGGGAATTGGAAGAGGGAGTGAGAGGGGGAGTGGGCGGTGAAGTTGCCACCCTCAGGGAGTGGGTGCGGGTCTCTGGTGCTCTTTGAGCCTGGGCGGACCCCACTCTCCCACTGCTTCACTGCGCTCAGCCTCCCTGTCCGTTCTCCCTTTCAAATGCCCCCTCGTGGCCTTCCTCTCCCTGTCCCGCTCCCCCTGGCTCCACTCCTCCCCCCCCTGCTCCGCCCAGGCGGGGGCCACAGCCGAGGACCTTCATTTCTTCCAGCAGCTGGGAGAAGCGCTGCTGCGGGCGCAGACACGTTATTGCCTCGTTGAACCGCCTCTGCCTGCGTGGGGGGAAGAGAGGGGAAGAGGGGGGGGAAAGGGGGGGAGATGGGGGGAGAGGGGGAAGAGGGGGGGAGAGGGGAGGAGAGGGCGGGAGAGGGGGGGGAGAGGGTGGGAGAGGCGGGAGAGAGGGCGGAACAAGGAGGAAATGAGAGGAGATGAGGACTGCCGCTGCGGACGCAAACACATGATGGCCTCATTGAACCGGCGCTGGCTGCATGGGGGGAGGGGGGGGGGGAGAGAGATGGGTGGGAGGGTGTTGTGGCGGGGGAAAAGGGTGGGTAGAGAGAGTAGGAGAGAAGAACCACTGCTGCGAGCGCGGACACGTTATGGCCTCGTTGAACCGGCGCTGGCTGCACGGGGAGGGAAGGGGGTGAGAGGGGGGGAGAGGAGAAGGGTGGGGGTGTGGGGAGGACAAGGAGGGTTCACGGACTGGATGCCAGAGTTGAAAGCAAGCAGCGTTGAAAGCAAGCAGCGTTGAAAGCAAGCAGCGTTGGAAGCAAGCAGCACAGCACCCTAGACTATACGACACGCTTTTGTTGATCATACCAGAATGATGCTCACTTGGGCAGGCAGGCTCACTGGATGTTTGGTGGGCCGTTGGCAGGGCAGCAGCGCACCACTCACCGGATGACAGCGCTTACAGCGACTGACGGCACTCACCAGATGTCAGCGCTTACAGCGCTGACAGCACTCAAGTGCCAACTCTTGAGGCGCCTAAGAATCATTTAGAAGTCAAACACAACACAGCACTCACCGAATGACGGCGTTGACGGTGTCCCTCAGTTGCAGCCCGCCCCTCTGAATACCTGCACGGATGGGCGCACGGGGATGGGCGCACGGGGATGGGCGCACGGGGATGGGCGCACGGGGATGGGCGCACGGGGATGGGCGCACGGGGATGGGCGCACGGGGATGGGCGCATGGGGATGGGCGCACGGGGATGGGCGCACGGGGATGGGCGCACGGGGATGGGCGCACGGGGATAGGCGCACGGGGATGGGCGCATGGGGATGGGCGCACGGGGATGGGCGCACGGGGATGGGCGCATGGGGATGGGCGCATGGGGATGGGCGCAGAGGGATGGTGAAAATGCAGTCAGGCAGGGCACATGCACAAAGGCATGGGCATGCATGGGCATGGACATGGGCATGGGCATGGGCGTGGGCATGGACATGGGCATGGACATGGGCATAGACATGGGCATGGGCATGGGCATGCACACGCACGCGCACATGCACATGAACCCCCCTTCCTCTCCCAGACTTCCCCATCTCTCCCACCTGTTCGATCATGAGCGCGGAGTGCGGCCAGTGGAACCCAAAGTAAGACAGCATGCACGCGTCCAGCTCCGCGATCAGCTCCTCCCCCAGCTGCTCCCCCGCCCCCGCTCCCGCGAGCCCCCGCCTCCCCCCTGTCTGCGCGACGAGCGCGAGAAGGTTGGCGCGGCTCTTATCGAATGTGCTCTTATCCGATGTGCTCTTATCGCCCCTCACTTAGTCGTCCGCCACCTGCGCCCGTAGAGCCACGGCTGCCATGTGACTTTTGAGTCGCCTCAAAAGTCGCCTGCGCCAGTAGCGCCACCGCTGCCAGGTCCGTGGGCATGCCCCACTGGCGCACTGGCGGACGGGGAAAGCGGAGAGGAGGACGGGGGAGGGGGACGAGGAGTGTCCGAAGGGAAAGGCGCGGGTCGCACATGATGCCCGTGCGCTCACTACCACGTACCACCTTCTCGTCCTCTCTAACCTTCCCGTGGCTGTGCGTGGGACCGTGGAACATTTCCGGGAGCTGCGGCTTCCCAGGCGGGAGTGCGTGTTTTTCCGCACATGACACCAAGAGTTGGCTGATGCTTCATAAAGAAGGTGATTGTTCAAGGGCAGATCCTCGACATTAGTTTGAAAGCACATCAATTGCAGGTTGTACCAGCAAACAAATGACGCCCCAGGCCCACACTCATGCGTCAGGCCATGGATCACAAGCTTTGTTTTAGTCAGATATTAGTTGATCACAAAATAACACACATTTTAGATACTTTATGTTGAAGTAAGATAAGGAGGTGAAGGGCATCTAAAGTGGAGTAGAAATGAACTTAAACACAAATCACACAGAAAGTTCATGTGCTTTCATTCAGTTCTCAGATTGAGGACGTCTTTGACGAGGAATGGCATCTTATCGAAGACATAGAATATTCACTCTTGGTCTGACGTGTAAAGTTCACCCACTCCTAAAACCCCGTTTTGCCAGCGTAGAAAGTCCAACTGCAATCCTTGACACCCTCGAGTTTTGGGTTTGAGTTGGTGAGGGAATGGAGGCATGCTGGTTTCTTGACTAGGTCAATGGGTCAATGGCGTTGCAAGGTATGGAGCAGTGCGTGTGTGACAGAACAGAGAAGCAAGTTCGAGGTTGGCCGAGCATTTGGTGGTGTAATCCGAACACGTCAGAACAGTGTGCCACGTATGCGGATAACCACGAAGAATTCCCCGCAAACGCCGCAAGCCTTCGACAACCGTCGATCTCCTTCGCCGTAGCCACAAGAATTTCGTGGCAACCAATCATGAGCGGCAGAGGATAACCCCCTATGTTCCTGCATCCCGGGCATGTTTCAGCGGTTCGAAAGATTCTGTGGTGGTCCTCCCTTCCTTGGGTCACGGGCACCGTGCCTAGAGCCTCGCATGAAGTGGGGGCTGGGACCCAGCGTGTCGCTCTGCCCGCTGACACGTTCGGAGCTCTGCAAACGAATCGCTGGCGGGCAAACGCAAAATATTTTCCTCAGAAACGGCCGAAGCTGCTTTACTATTGCCCCTTTCAAGCGTCATCGCTGTTCAGTTTCCCGTCAACACTACTGACCAAACTCAAACCCAGTCTGATGCTCAGTGTGGTGAACATCGACAGTAGTCCACGGAAAACCAGGAAACAAAGTCAGTTCGACGGACCGCATCTGAAAAATCTCCAAATTTCTCTGACCCATGTGAACCATGCCCCCGGAGATCGGGCCAAACAAACACCCAGAGTGACCGCTTCATTCATTGTTACCCTCTGCCGCCCTGCAGAACACACCCGCTGCGCACCCCTTGTAACAACCTCCCCGTGCCATCTTTCGGGAAAATTCCCGAGATGCCCGTAACGAATGTATGCGCGCCTGGTTCCTGCTGCACCTGCTGCGGACGAATGGCACGGTTGCGTGGGCAGACGCTGGCGGAGCAAAGGACGCTCACGCTGCACCCCCAGCCGAAGGCCATTTGCCATTCATCCCTGTCACATAATCTCCCGCACCACCCCCAGCACCAGTTCACACCAATCATTCCCCCCAGCCTGCCTGTCTGGTCCCACTTCCAGACCATTCCTCGATTCTGTTTCCCGCGTTTCTGACCCTCTGAAACCGTTTCTGCTCCTAGCCTGTTACTCCGACCTGAAATGCAGGACCGCCATGGATGCTACTCACCCGTACGCGATGCTGCCTATAGAAGACCCGGTTCCCCATCATAATCGGGCAATTGTGGGTGTGAACGTCGCAGTTGGAGCGGTCAGCATATCCAGTTCGACGCTCGAGGCGTCAACCATGGCTGCCGTTTGGACCCTTGAGTCTTCAACACTCAGCTAGCAGGACGTACATTTACTATTTTTCTTCAATCGCTGCTCCAAACTGGTGGACAAGGCCGGTACCTTGGCGAAATCATCGCGTCCGCACGAGTCTCTGACCGACCCGACTCTGACATCTGACAAGACTGAGCGTCAAACATCGACACTAACATTTTTTCATTAAGCCTTAATTTTTCCCCTGTTATTTTGTAAAGATCAAGACCAGCCATGACCAGCGCAGCCCCTTCAGCAATGGCTTCCCGCGTCGTGGGGTCTCCAAGCCCGCTTCTTGACCGTGCCGCCTCCAGCTCGTCATCGTTTCTCAGCGGACGGCCTCCTCTGTCTTCTTCCGGTACCAACTTCTTTCGCGGGACAACTTCCCGGGCGCGTGGCGGACTTTCCTCGAAAGATCGGGTTTCATCTTCTTCAACCATCAGTAAAAAAACCGGACCGCGAGTCAAGGCCAGACTCGCCCTTGCACCTGCTCTTAGAAGCGCGGATATATGGCCTCAGCACCCTTGCGGCTCGGTCTTGGTGATTAAGGCTCCACCAGCACTGCGGTCGATTAAGCGCTTAATCTCCGCCGTCTCTGCGCGCCCCGCGGCTTCCCGGACCAACTCTGCGGAGACTTCTGCGGGCGGAAGCGAGGATATTCCGGCAGAATCGAAGCTTCTCTCTCAGCAAGACGACGAAGCGCAATCGGCACCTGTCCCCGCGATCGTACTTCCGCAACTGCCGTCTCGGTTCGCTTTGCCTACTCCTCGTCTGAATCGTCGCGCTCTGCTTGGCATCGGCGCCGCCGCACTCGGCGCCGCAGCCGCCGCCGAGCTGGGGTTGGTCAACGCGGCGGCGGCGGAAGCGGGTAAAGAGAAGTCGCCGTTGTGGTTCCTCGGCAACGCTAACGGCGCCGGGGTGAGCGTGGATGGCGGCGCGAAGGCCGCGGCAGCGCCGAAGGGCCCCGAGTCGCGTGTGTACGACGCAACGGCGGTCGGAGAGCCGGCGCTGCTGGGGGATAAGGAGGGCGTGTGGCAGCGACTTTTGGCGGCTCGAGTGGTGTACCTAGGCGAAGCAGAGATGGTTCGCGACCCGACGGACAAGGTGAGGCTTGACGATGGAGGTATAGTCTTAATTCCGCCATTGTTTTTGTGTTTTGTCTACTTCCAACTAGTTTTCGGTATATCTTGACACATGCTGCCCCCATTTCTGCAACATACATATTAAGGCTTAATCGTTGAAGACCATGCTTCCCTCTAAGACGTTCTCTTTTCCTTTTTTCGCCTACCTCGCCTTTAATTATTCAGGTCGTGGCTCTGGAAATCGTAAGTCGGTTGAGAGACGAGTGCTTCAAGGCGGGGCGCCCCGTCACCCTCGCGCTCTCTGCGTTTCCGCGATCCACGCAGCCGCTTCTCGACAAATATCTCAACAAAAGGTGAGGCATCTTCTTGTACGCGCTGCACCGTTACTCTATTTCGAGATGTTATTTATTTCCCTGTATCTCGTATTTCTGACCGCATCTTGTTTCTCTGCCAGGCTTTCTGAAGAGGACCTCCAGGTGGCAGTGAGCCATTGGTCCAAGGGTCGCTTCGAGGAGATGGTTCCGCTTTTGCAGTACTGCCGCGACTCGGGCGTCCGCCTCTTCGCGTGCGGCGTGCCTCCTAAGGTGAGCGGCGCGTCGTAGTCATTACAAGAACCTCGGCACATCGTTAATTGTTTAGGCCTCACTTCTTCGCTCCCTCGCTCCCTTTTCTTCTTCACCTCGAAGACTTGACTTAACATTTTCTCGACCCCGCCCTCCGCTCCTTCTCCCCCGCGCGCCCCTTTCCGCGTCAGATTCTGCGCACGGTGCAGGCAGGCGGAGTGCAAGCCCTCGCGCCCATCGACCGCCAGCGCTACGCCCCTCCCCTCGGCGGCTTCCCCGCGCCTTCGCCCTCCGCATCAACCGACCAACCGCTTACCAGCTCCGCGGCGGCATCCGCGACGGCGGGGCTGTGGGGGCTGGAGCCAGCGGCGGTGGCGGCGGAGGTGTACTCGCGGGAAGCCGTTTCGCGAGCGTCGCTGCCTTTCGGCCCGGGGCCGTACTGGTTCGCGCAGGCGCGCGTGGTGGAGCAGCACGCCGTGGCGCGCAGCATCGATCAGGCCATGGCGGACGGCGGAATCGTCGGGCTGCTCGTCGTCCTCACGGGCGCGTCGCAAGTGCGCTACGGAGCGCAGGGGTCCGGAGTCCCTGCCCGGATCAACAACGGGCAACTGAAAATTTCTGCTGGGTCGCAACGAGTGGTCCTTCTCAACCCCGAGCGCCAGCGCAGCCGGGGAGACGGTGAACTGCCCGAAGCCGATTTTTTCTGGTACTCGGGCAGCCGCATGTGCACGCAAAACTGTTATGACAGGGCGGAAATCGCGCGCGTGATGGGCGCAGCGGGGAGAACCTTCGACAACCTACCGCAGGACCTACAAACGGGGATAGAACGCGGATTAATCTCTCCGGA